GTCTCCCACCAATCCCTATGATGAAGTTGCAAATGACAGCAACTTGTTGCTCAAGTACGTTGGAATCAACAACACGAGAGTGGGTGAGGACTTGGAACAGGGGCTGTATCTGGCTCTTCCATAGGTGTGCTTTGGTGAAATCGTTAGCCGCCAGGGGAATCTGTTGATCGACGAGGTTTTTAATAAACGCAAGACCAGGATCCTGTGCCATAAGCTTTACTGTCTCTTGAGAAGCCCCAATGTCTCCTTCCATCAATTCGAGAGCGAGCGCGAAAAATCGGTCGCAAGCCTGCTGATTTGTGGGAGCAAACGAACGAGTCGACTGTGAGTTTGATGGGGGTTGGTTGAGTAGTCTCTTCCATTCCCGGAGACGGTCTTGGACTGGAGCCTGTCCTTCCTGTCGGTTATTTTGCCATGCTGATGTCCCAGGTGAACCTGACGAAGAAGAAGACGAAACTTCATGGGAGAATTTGCATGCTGCACCATATTTGCATCTTCCAACCCGCAAGAAATGGTGACACGGACCCGGGGTTGACCCGCGTTTTCTTCTAGATGTGCATGTCAGCTAAGCGGAAATTTACAGGTCGTAACAACTACCCCGTAAACTGTGATATGGATTGTTTGCAAATAAATAAGCAATCTCACCTGTCCATTATCGCTTCGTGGAGTGATGCTAGTTAGGGTGATAGTTGTATAGAACAAACAGAGCCGCAAGGGGAAAATAGATGCTGTTGGCAGCCTTGTTTTAGAAGGAGTGGTAGGCGTTACTAAAGCAAATAAATAGATACCAGATACCTCACTATTGTGGTTAAGAAACAAAATTGTGCTTTGAGATAACTAAAATGCGGTAGGCAAGAGAAGTTAAAGTAACAAAAAAAAGAACTACAGAGAAAAAGAGTAATGCAGGCAGCCTGCTGACTTAGATAGTAAGTACAAGGCACCCACGGGGTTGCGAGGCGACCACGCCAGTGACTGGGTGATAGGTAGGTAGGTACCCAAGGTAGGCATACTTTCTTGCATCACTAACTTGGCCCTCTCATAACCCGTTTACAGCAACACAGCAGCAATGCATCATCATCTACGTGTAAGAAGAGCCAGTAATCTGCCTTCAAACTTGGGTAATGAACAAAGAACTTGTGTAACTATACCAAGCAGCAGGAGTGAAACATAGATTGCCCAGATACGGTCAACCGCCGATCATCCCGTACTTCAGCCTTAATAAGGGAATACGCAGCATGGCGATGAGGCCTCAAGCACCTAACATTGGTGTTCTAGAGGGTGTCTCTAGGCCGATTTGCTTAACGGTTCGCTCAAGTGAATATTGTGAGGTCTGAGGCCTCCTCGGTTGGTTCGCCGAATCAGCCCCAACGCCCGACCCGTAGCCAATCATACGATCGATTTTGACCGTAAACGCCGTTGACCTTACTGATCCTTCTTATGCGAACCAGGGGAAGTGCCGTTGGAAGCTGTCAACTCGATATTTGACAGGTTTACCAATCGCTGCAGCTTTTTTAGCAGGCAAGGCAGATCATTGAAGACAGGGGAGTTGGAACTCGACACCTTCTACATACATAGATGGAAGAGATACTATCTCCACCGAAAGTTAGTCGTTCTAATAGACATACTCTCAGAGGTCTGGATAAAATTATTACACGTCGTTTCTAATGATATCAACGACTTTGTGTCGTCCCACGACAGGCCAGCCTCGCGAATGTAAGAGAGTAATCGAACTATCCAAAGCGCTAGATGGTGCATCTAAGGACTAAAATTATAAAAGTAAGGCGTTTTCTGATATCTTAACATGGTCATTCTAGAGGTGACCCGGATTTAAGAGGTGAACTGGATTTAAGAGGGTTGGTTCGGATCGCATCGAAAGGTTAGGATGACCTAAACCTCATTTATAAGTAGTCCGTATATCAACCCGAACCTACCTAACTGAGTAGGTAGCTATATAAAAAAATAAAAAAATACGGTATTAAAGGTATGGCATCAACATCAAATAAGGTTATCATGTAAGAGAGATGTGTTGACGTTCACGTTGACGTTCACTTTGATCAAAACGAGTTTCTTAATTAAGAAACACGCTAAGAACCGCACCTTTCTACACTTTTCTGAAAGAGGGAAGGGATCACCACTCAACACCGCTCAACTATGTATTCCGTATATTTTTATATTTTGGGGATGGTGTCCGCTAGAGGTTCACTGACTAAACAATCACGAATACTGCCTGCGAATTACAACTATTAATTACCTTACCTAACTATCAGTTACAACAAACTCCACTGACCTTTTCCATACGAACTGCTGAGTAAATGAAATAGGAACCCTGAAAAATATTCGATTTCAAATATTAGCAATCCATATTTAGTAACATCAACCCCAGTCCTTCGTCATCGACCATGCTGGGTTCTGGGCGTTGTCGCATGTCCGCGCACTCCCGTTTCATCCGATGAGACGCGAGATGAAGCAACTATCGTGTATGTTACCGAGATCTTCACGGCATTTGCATGACCTCCACGGATTTACAGTAAGTCCATGACATGAGCTCCATACTGTAAGTCATTCAAATATATCCACCATGTCTCGTTCCTAGCGATTTTTCTGTTTGATCAGCTTCGGTTCATAATTTTTATTCAACTCATTCGTATTGCTGGTCAATCTACGCCGTCTTAATTTCATCAAGATGCTGTGCAAATCCCTTCTCATCTTGGCGGGTGCATCCGCAACTTTGGCTTCCACTCCCAAAGGCTTTGAGCCTGGGACGACGTCTGCTCTGCTAGTTTCCTTTGGCGATGTCGCCGCAGCAAGTGGAAATGTCCTGGAAAAAGCGGGTGAGTCTTGGACCTAGGATTCTTACTATAACTCAGACTTGCTAACAAGAACTGTAGCAACTCAAACAGCTCCAACCATAGGAACACAGTCTAAGGTTGATGGGACGTCGTTCGCGGTATTGATGATCGACCTCGACATCCCGACGGATAGCCCACCGAAGACGAACACTCTACTGCATTGGATGCAAACCGGTCTCACACAGAGTACGGCGGCGACGTCGATGAAAACTTCAACGGGAAGTACGAATGCCTTCGTATTCAAGGTTTCTCAAGGACAAGCAGCATTTGCAGAATATATCGGGCCGGCACCTCCCGCGAGGATTCCGTTGTCTCATCGATATACCCAAATCCTGGTAGATACATCAAGCGCCACAGAAGCCAACTTGAATATCCTCAAGAATGCGGCTGCAACCCGGATGGGTTTCGATGCTTTGTCTGTCTTAACGCAGGCTGGACTCGCGAGCAAAGTTTTAGCCGGCAATTTCTTCAACGTTACGAACCCTGGTCCGGCAACGTCCTCAGCTTCAAAGAACTCTACGACTGGCAATGGAAGTGCTGGCAGCACAGGAACTGGATCTGTTACAAAACCAACCCAAACACCGTTCGTTCGTGGTGCAGCCATGACACACAAAGCAAGTGGGATGCTGTTAGGGATCATAATGGTTGGCGCTGTGTTTACTACTCTGTAGATTAAATGCAGACTGGAGAAAGGCGGCATGGAAAGCATCAGTAATCTAAAATCTAAAGAGAGACATAGATACAACTTTCAAAACTACACGCCGTTCACGTTTGCCGACATCCCTGCTATTAGATCCGCGGAAACCATAGCAGTAATGACTTGGGCATAGTTGACTTGGGCATAGTAGGCTCGGTATTTCGGAGACGCAAGCAGCCAGATTATCCCATCTAAGCGGCGCGAGCAGCCTACTCGGGGAGATGCCGAAAATTCCAAAGACGCGCACGTACTTGACCCGCTAGGATGGGAAGCTCCATGCAACAGTAAGCTCCAGGTATTATTGCGGGTAAATATCTACGCCCGGGGAAATAAAGCTGTGTTAGGCCGATGCCGAATTCTGCGATCGTGGGTTATCATTTAATATACGCTTTTCGTCCGATATCACTTACACTGTACCGATGATCCTCGATGAGACCCGAACTGCCGCGAAGCTTTGAGAACATATGTACATGAATAAAACAGTGCCCGTTCTCTTACTTAGTTAGGACGACTTGACCAATCATTGATCTGGATGCTACATCGTTCCCAGATCTAGAAACGTTGGATGTGTATCCCCTCCTCCCCTCCTCAATCACCCCCCATTGTCCTCTTGGCCGCCTTATTTGTGGCATTCCCAAAAGACGAGCTCCAACTCTTTGGCAAGCTTCCCCGCAAATTTATGTACAAGATATGTGAGGTATGTGAGGTATGTTTGTGTTTGTAGTTCTAAATGTGACTCCACTTCACCGAGGGCCGAATACAAAGCTCTTTACGCCAAACAGCTTCAAATTATCTTCACCTGCCTTATATAATATTAACCTAGATATGTGGGCAGGTAGGTGGCCATATCAGTCTTGAACGTATATAGCCTCCTCGCTAAGCGGATATAGCCGTTCTCATAAGCTAGCATAGCTACTCCCTATGTCTAAGCATTGCCAGAGCTGACGATAAACTAACGATGGGCGTCCACTAGGTCCCCTAGTCCGTCCCCAAGGGCGAGGGGCATCAGAAGTGCGGGACCCTTGCCTCACACACCGAAACATCGCCGAAGCTTCCCGGCGGGCAGCCGAGTCTCTTTGTGATCAATATTCGGGATATACACCCACCCACGCGGGTTGGACAGACTCAAAGAAATACACCCAACGTGCGTTTGGAAGCTGTCAGACAACAAACCCCCTAATCTGCAGCCTCGGAATGCCTCCTCTGTACCTCAATGTCGCTACTTCCATTTAATTCACTGTGTACAAGAACTACATCAGACCAGGTCGACTATACGGTAGCGGAGTGTAGCCGCGGTTCCTAGTCGTTGCCTATGCATACCTAGTGATCATATTGGAGACTACTACGTGACCGCGCTCTGCAGAATTCTCAAACGACGGGGACTATCTCTACCTCTGGCTAGCTCTGTGTTCGAGACGAGCAACTAAAACATTACCCGATAAGTGTCCACCTCTCCGCTTCCCGAGCTGTGCTATGTTTGAATCGCTACGGACGAAAGATGCCGTTGTGGTCCCCCTTGACCGTTGTTGGTTGTTGCTCTTTGCTCTTTGTTCGCGAGGTGAGCTCCAACCCATAAATGGTCGCAGTCTCCCTCCGTCGTAGATAATTCCTTCTTTCTATGCTTCTCTTTTAATCATTCTACCTTCATATCTCCGTTGTCGGGTCTCTCTTCCTTTTCTCAGAGAAGTTCAAACAGTACTAGCAAATCGCTTCATCAATAAGCTCTACACGTACAACTTCCTGACTTATACAACGAACTCACATCAGCGGCTGTCAAGTCTTTTTAGATAAATATTCAAAAAGACATTCAAAATGGTATTATTAGCTCGACCCCTTTCCTCCTGCTGCATTCGTCCCATCTCTACGCGGGCACTCTCTACGGCTACAGCAGCAGCAGCTCGTTCTGTTCGCAATGCTTGGTCTTATTCGCCGCTGCGCGCTGATTTGACGTCACGCACAGCCCTGTAGTATAAGAGTTCACCCGCCACCATATTTAATCCCCTATTTAATCCCCCATCGTTACGAGTTCCTGCTTCGACGCGTTTACTAACTACGCAACGTGAACAGGTCAAAGTTCTACTGGTCCTATACGATGGAGGCAAGCATGCCGAAGAGGTAAGTCATAAAAAAGGAAAAAAAAAGACAATATTTCCTATTGCCCAATTCCATTATGACGTTTTTACATTTCTTCCCTTCCCTTTTACTCCAATTCCAAAACTCGCCCTCTTGTACCTCTTTTGCCGTATCCCTGCAATACCGTTTCCCGCCATGCGCAAACTGCCCGGCCAATGACGGCGGTTTGACACGTTATTGGCTGAAACGTACATGCAATAGTCTGTCTTTGGTAACTGGAGGTGGCGGCAGATGTAAAGGTTGAAGAGAAGGAGGGGAGAAAAGGGGCAAGGGGCAGGGGATGAGGGGTAATTGTAACAAGCGTCTCTACACCCCAAAGTTCTAAAGTCCCATCCATTGTTCCCATCACGATTTGCCTCTCTCCACTTTTACAGCATAAACTAACCTTTCTTTCTTCCACCCAATTATAGGTGCCCGAGCTACTGGGAACGACCGAGAACGAACTTGGTATCCGGAAATGGCTCGAAGATCAAGGTCACACACTCGTTACCACATCCGACAAGGAGGGCGAGAACTCCACCTTCGACAAGGAGCTCGTAGACGCTGAGATCATCATTACTACTCCGTATGTGACCTCGACTATCTCCTTGTAGTTTCAATATCGTAATACGAATACTATAAACCATAACCAACCTAACACATGACAGCTTCCACCCAGGCTACCTAACCGCCGAGCGATTAGCTAAGGCCAAGAACCTGAAGCTCGCCATCACTGCCGGTATTGGGTCCGACCATGTGGACCTCAACGCGGCAAACAAGACGAACGGCGGTATCACGGTGGCCGAAGTGACAGGCTCCAACGTCGTGTCCGTAGCAGAGCACGTGGTGATGACGATCCTAGTCCTAGTCCGCAACTTCGTGCCGGCGCACGAGATGATCGAGGCCGGCGAGTGGGAAGTCGCCGCCGCCGCCAAGAACGAGTACGACCTGGAGAACAAGGTTGTCGGCACAGTCGCCGTCGGCCGCATTGGCGAGCGTGTCCTACGCCGTCTCAAGGCCTTCGACTGCAAGGAGCTCCTATACTACGACTACCAGCCCCTGAAGCCCGAGGTCGAGAAGGAGATCGGCTGCCGCCGCGTCGACAGCCTCGAGGAGATGCTTGGCCAGTGCGATGTCGTCACCATCAACTGCCCTCTGCACGAGAAGACCCGCGGCCTGTTCAACAAGGACCTCATCGCCAAGATGAAGCCTGGTGAGTACACACATCATCCCTATTCGACGCTCTCGCGACACTTAGCTAATATTCACAAGGCTCGTGGCTGATCAACACTGCTCGCGGCGCCATCGTCGTGAAGGAAGACGTAGCCGAGGCGCTCAAGACGGGCCACCTACGAGGCTACGGAGGTGACGTGTGGTTCCCTCAGCCGGCGCCCAAGGACCACGTGCTGCGATACGCCAAGAACCCGTTCGGCGGCGGCAACGCCATGGTGCCGCACATGTCGGGCACGTCTATCGACGCGCAGAAGCGCTACGCCTCCGGCACCAAGGCCATCCTCGACAGCTACCTGTCCGGTCGCCACGACTACCGCATCGAAGACCTCATCGTCAAGGACGGCGACTACGTCACCAAGGCCTACGGCCAGCGAAGCAAGTAAACTACTTAAACCCAAGCTTAAAAAACGCGGATGGCGTGGCATGGCTACCCAGCTGTCCGGAGATGTCTAATTATCTAACCTATACTTTTTTTGTATGACACTTTACTACTACTACTACCTATTACTAAGTCACAGTCATCATTATTGGAATGAGATGATGGGAAGGATGATAGCCGGTTGGTTTCCCGGCTTACAGATAGTTGTATTGACGGGCAAGGCTATATGGACCTATGAATCGCTCGACTGGGGCGGATATGGCTAGGTTAGATAAGTCAGTATTACATATATAGCATAGCCAATGTTTTGAACACGACCAACTTCTGAAAGTCTTTTACGTAAGTTATCTATGTAATAACTAATAAGTTACATATGTATGCCTTAAGCCACCAAGCTTATGCCGCACCACTAAGAGCTAGCTCTTGTGACCATCCCCCCAACGAATAATCAACAGTATCGAACGGCCACCTGATGAGAGCCAGTACCAGCTACCCACCCCCTCTTATACATACATGTACCTAGGTTAGGTAGGTATACAACTCACTGTAAGTGGCTAACGCTAGTCCGCCATCCCCTAAACTAAAACAGGTCAAAGCCCAGCTTCCCCCTCTCCAGCACACCTCAGCTGGGGCCGCTGACGTACCATTTACACCACCAGCGTACGATAGCGGGAACCCATAACCGCATCGTGTCGTCAGAGATATCGACTAGTCTCTCGCTCTGAACAAAGAACCAACTCACATTACCAGCTAGTAGGGAAAGGCTTGTTCCCATAGCTCTTCCACCATGTAAGTCTACCTAAGGTACTCAAGTAAAACAACCAACTATTACACAGCACATCCCTGGTTTTATCAAGGCATGTATGTATATAAATAACCCCCCTTTCCTCCAACCTTGATGGCCAACTTCCCCCATCTCGACTACCTCCCAGCCAATCAGCAATTGAATAGCGCCTATTGCAACATAGCCGTTCAAGATTACAACAACTGCATTACTACCATAACCATAACCATAACCATAACTATACCGACTTGAAACTCTTTAAGCAGTCCAATAACACTACACAATGGCTTGCAACTGCTCCAACGCCGGCTCCTGCAGCTGCGCCAGCTCTGGCACCTGCAAGTGCGAGCAGAACTGCGGATGCGCAAACTGCCCCGTTAGTTGACCTCCTCCTATTTGCTGCCCTTTATTACTTGTGTATTGTATGTAACTATCCTTACCTATGCAACTAACCTTGAAATAGAAGAATTAAAGTAAAGAACATAAAAATCACCACGACGGAATTGGGAGAATGCTATTAAACTCACCGATCCTTAATGCCAACTTCCAAAGTCATTCTTGTAAATTAGATAGTTAGAGCTCTCTATATTGCAGTTGGAATTGGATGTGACCAGCGGGTATCCCAGAGTAGCTCTAGTCATTCCTTTAATAACAAAATTATAAAACACAATATATTAATGTTCAATAAATATCTTTAAATAGCCGCTATGGATGTTCAGGCTCCATTCATCAAGTTTGTTTGTTTATACATCATCCATAATACGTCCCAGCCCATGCTAAACCACACCCCAAACACCGACTATGCAATCTTTCCCATCCTAATCATTACTCTTCATCACTACTATCGACGATAAATCCCGCTCTAGCTCGCCGCCTCGCAGGCGCTTTCGCAGCAGGCACGTCATCGTCATCTGCATCTGCATCTGCATCTGCATCCGCATCCGCATCCGCATCCGCATCCGCATCCGCATCCGCCATCTCGGCATCTTCATCAGTAGTAGCTGGTGCCGAACTAGGAGGCTCTTTCGACAAGCGCCTCCTCTTCGCGCTCGATACCGAGCCCGCACGCGGACTCGACGACAATGGTGTATCATCCGTCCCTGGCGTACCATTTTCTCTCCCTTCACCCTCATCTTCATCCTCATCCTCTGACCCTTGTGGTAAGATGAGATCATCATCATTATCGCTATCATGCGCCAGTAACTCTTGCGCCTTGCGCTTCTCGGCCTGTTTGGGGGCGGCAGATGTCGTAACTGCAACCGCGTTTTTCGCCGCCGTCGCACTTTGCCGCTTCCGAATGCGCTCTTCGTTGGCGTAAAATTCGGCCCACCGCTCTCCGTCGTCCGACTCGTCGTCACTCGCGTGCACGTATAAGTCACTCTTGAACCGCCGCGCCTTGGCCTTTTCACGTTCCTTACGCGCACGCGCTTTCTCCTCTAGTTGATCCTCGCTAGGCTCTTCTACATCACTGCCGCGCCGTCGCCGTCGCCGAGTCTTCTTCGGCTTATCTAGAAACTCGTCTGCTACCTTTCTTGCCGTTGGGCCGCCTGCGGGGAAGAGAATTTCGTCGTCGTCGTCGTCTGCGATACCGTCATCGTCATCGTCGAAGACTGCCTTTCTTCGTACTGCCGTTTTCCTCCTTAGCTGATCTTCAGCTAGCTTGCCGTCTTCGAATGTTGGCGGATTGAACTCGGCCTTTTTGATCAGGTCAAGAGAATCCTGTATTTGGTCGGCCGTCACGTGCGGCGGGATAACCCAAGCAGATTCAGGAGTCTCGTCCACGCTTGGGACGAGTCGTTCGAAACCAACGAGCTTCATGAGAAGTCGGAGATGGGAATTTTTGAACATGGCAGTGCGGCGAGCATCATTATCCGGGCGTATAGCTGAATACCTATTAATTACAACTCATTAGAACCTGACTGGGGAAACTTACAAATAGGAGGGGATTCTTTAGGAGTACTCTCTTCATTCTGCTGCTCGCCTTCATTACTGGTTCCTTCTATTGAGGGCATTGCTTCATCGGCTGCTTCCCAGGCCCTTTTCTCGGTTTCTGCTGTGGATAGCTGGCCCTTAACCCAGTTGATATGATCAGCCAGGTTTTTATCCAGCAAAACACCGACAGCAATCGCGATTTGCCGATCCCGCTCCTCGATATGTCGGAACTCCAACTCGGCTCCCGGCCTGGTCTGCGACGTGGATAGGGTCTGTTTCTCGTAACCATACTCCAGGTAGTGTGCTGTAGCATTGATTTTAGAGAACAGCATTTCGATGATCAATTGGGGTCGCTCCTCGATTTTGCGGATGCACTTCTTGAGAATCTGCTTCGCCAGCTCCTCCCATTCCTTGTACATCGTTGAGCCCTTGTCCAGAGGTTCCTGGCCCTTAATCATACTGTAGAATAACTGTATAATGTCAATTCGAAAGAGCATGACGCTCATATTCTGCTTAAAGGCTATGCGGTAAAAGTACCGATGTGCCCGCTTCAGCTGAGAATCAGTTAGGTCTTTGTAGTATTTCGTGAATTGGACGAACGTATCCACCACGCCTTGAGGGGTAAACCGATTCACAAAACGACCGAAGTCGAACTTTCGCTCGCTTGACGTTCGCTCCGCATTCGCCTGGTCGTTCTCAGAATCGTCTTCCTCTTCTACGGGGTTCTCTTCATCCTCTCCGGTGGCTTTCACGGCCTTCTTCTTTTTTCGGACGCGCCGTCTTGACCGGACTTGCATGTCCACGTTCTGTTTCGAATACGCTTCCAGAACGCGAAGATAGGTATGTGTAAGATCGGTGCAGGCATCAAGATACTCGAAGCCCTGGTCCTTATAGTTCCTTGCAATATTCGCAATTCTGTCGTGCGTCTCTTCTTCGTAGAAAATGCGGCTAAGAATGTTCTCCGCAATCTCTTCGTCTTCCTCATTCCCTGACTCTGACATGTCTTGAACCGTTAAAAGTATCTGGGTAAAACATCGCATAGCAGCGCACAGCTCTTGCCAACGCTTGCTTTCTAATGAATCTCCAATGGCTCTATTCAACGTAATAAATGTTTGTTGATTGAGCACCCCAGCAACAAGATTGAAAGAACCAACGTCTTCAGTGCTAGCTGACTTGCGATCCCTCGCAGCCTTCTTCCGTACTCTTTCGGCCTCTAGAAACCAGGATACTAGGTAGAAGAATTGGCGCGAGTGATATTCGAAGATATAGTCCTTTTGCTCGTCAAGCTTCTTTCGGACGTGCTGGAAGAGGGGATTGAAACCAGAATCTAGGAATTCCTCCACAAAACCTTTGAGCTGCTGCCGCGCTCTAGCGTTTAGTGATACTGGAGGGCCTAGATCCTTTGGTTCCATTTCCTCTTTTCTTGGTCTCCGTGGAGGTCGATATACCTTGCTATTATCCATCTTATGCTGTCTCCTCGTCGCATCCAGCAAGGCGTCCTGGCCACTGACAGTTGAAACCTTGCCATCACCTCGATCTACCCAGACCATAGTCCCCCATCGATTATGCCTAGATGGGGCCTTTCGGTTGTAAGGTCGGTGCATTGCGGCTTCTTTATCCATCATTGCTGTGAGTTCGTTCGACTGTGTCTTGCTAAGCTGCTTTTCGTCCATGAATAGTTTAGAGACGTCAACACGCTTGACTAGATGGAATATGATCTCCATCACAATAATGCCTTCCTGGTTAAAATCCTCCCCCGTATTTGAGGCGATCGTAAGGAGAGTAAGTAAAATATCTTGATAAGAAAATGCATCAATTAGAGCCGATCGAGAGATCTGAGATTCGTCACCATCGTACTTAATTCCGGGAGGTGGCGAGATCATGGCAACGTTCCGTAGGAATAGTAAGATTAGCTTGATAATGCCTTCGTCACGTCCAGATCGATCGCCACGGGACAGAGCCATAGAAGGCAATGCGACTCGTACAGCGGTGTGAAGAATCTGAGCGGCGTCGAAGTTTATTATAGCACGTTTGTAACCGACCTGGGCAATCTGTAGCACCGGGAGATGTCGATGGTGGTTGATAGTCATCTGGTCGAGATCCCGTTCCAGTGGCCATGTCAACGGAACCATAATCTCGAAGCATGCCAAAGCAGCTCTCGCCCTGAATCTGTTGTCGGTCTCGTTTTCGGACCAAGCCGCGATAATATGCAATAAGTCGCCCTCAATTATGTTCGCCTCGGACAAGCATCGCGCAACGTCCATTCGGTTCGTTTTCTCGTCGTAGAATCGAATCCATTTCTTGATATCACGTAAAACCTCCAGGGCGGAGTCTCCAAGCACATATCGTCCATCATCGTCGGTGCTGAAACCACCAAGCTACATATCGCAATCAGTATTTTTATTAACAAAGGGGACACAGCAAAAACTACTAACAGCAGAGACAAGACTGTTGACGTGCGCCCGAACTTCGGGATGCACTATATCAGTAGTAGTGCCATCTGAAGACTCCATATCGACGGTGAGGAATTGTTTCCTTGCACCTCAGTTTCTCACAGTGGTTCAATCTTGAATAGTCGTCATTAATGCCAAGAAGGGGAAGGCTTGAACTGGTATAAATTGAAAACGCGTTGAGACGCGTTTTAATTTCCAGAAAGACGCGCCAATCCTCTTCCAATTGGAGTAGGACCGAGGGGTCTTGTGGCTTGTGCACTGTACAATTAGAAGTAGGTACAATACGTACATTAGTAGGAAGTACCTCTTATCATGCCCGTAGGTATCTAGGTATAATACAAGACCTATGTACCTTGACCATATGCCCCACATATATCCGTAACCCGAGGCTATCCGGTAACTGGCCGGTTCATCCCATCTCAACTTACATCAATGTATCTCAAGTCGTCACAACCCGCTAACTTCAATATACATGTATCTACTCAATTAACATAATGGCAAGCGCAATTGGGAGAATAAGAGCTTCTCAGCTCATCCGTCAAATTAGGCACTTTAGCTCCAGCTCGGCTCGACATGCAGCTGAGGTGAAGAGCTTAGGCGTCATAGGCGCGGGTCAAATGGTAAACTTGCTTCCATCACATGTGATCCGAGGTCTTAACCACTCAGCTCACATTTTTTCAGGGCCTAGGTATCGCTTTGGTCGCCGCTCAGAGAGCTGGTATTCCTGTTACACTTGTAGACTCTTCAAAAGCCTCACTTGACAAGGGAATTGGGTTTGCAGGTTCGTCGTATTATTCCCGATCATGATGTTCATTCAATATGAATTGGAATGCTTAACAATATCCAGAGAAGTTATTGTCTAAAGATGTTTCTAAGTCGCGGATCACACAAGAGCAAGCGGATGAGGCAAGGTCTCGGCTCTTACCTACCACAGCTATCGAAGAGCTCTCGAAGGTTGATTTTGTAATTGAGGCCGTGCCGGAGATTCCGCAGCTGAAATTTGACATATTCGCCAAACTTGCTGAAATATGTCCGAAGCACGCTATCCTAGCAACCAACACATCGTCCATCTCCATCACGAAGATCGCCGCAGCGACTACTAAGGACCCCACCGACACATCGGCAAGTTCTCGCGTAGTATCGACTCACTTCATGAACCCCGTACCCATCCAGAAGGGTGTCGAGATCATTAGCGGGTTACAGACAAGCGCCGAGACCCTCGAGACTGCTGTTGCCTTCTGTAAGGCCATGGGGAAGATTCCCTCCGTATCTGCGGATTCCCCGGGGTTCTTGGCGAACCGGATCCTAATGCCGTATATCAACGAAGCGGTGATATGCCTGGAAACTGGCGTTGGCGACCGAGATGCTATCGATGCCATCATGAAGAACGGCACGAACGTACCGATGGGGCCGCTCCAGCTAGCCGACTTTATTGGACTTGACACATGCTTAGCTATCATGAAAGTCCTTCACCAGGAGACAGGAGACTCAAAATACCGACCGAGTGTGCTTCTTGCTAAGATGGTAGATGCTGGCTGGCTGGGGAAGAAGAGCGGTAAGGGGTTTTATGACTATTAAATGAGTAGGATTTAAAGGTCATGGCATTATATATTTATGTTGGCTCAGCATATGGTTACGGGTTTTGTGATATCAATACGTAAGTACATATCTACCGGAAGGGGGATTTTCATCCACATATCACTACAGAAGCGGATATCGGAAGGCGAAGAGTCCCGAGAACTAGTTGGCTGAAGTTGAGATTATCATAAGAAAATATACCAATGGAAGAGGTTATTTACCTAAGTACCTATTCATAGACATCAAAAAGTATGCCCAGCTGCGTCGATGTTGAAAGGCGTGTATCGCTATTCGTTACCGGAATGTATCGAGTACCATCAGTAATGAGTAATTAAAAGATATAAACAAACAAGTGTGAGAGCATTTATTCGGAATTGCCTCAGATCACCATGATATCAACACAGATTCAGAAGAGAAAGGTTAAACATTAACATCATAAACCGCATAAAGTAGGGGGGAGGTGGAGGTTTGTAAGTAAATAAAAACTTGCTTACTTTATCTCTAGTCTTCCGGATTGAAATTCTAAGTCTTAGAGAGAGAACCGACATCTTAAGACTGGTGAGGATACCTAGATGTCGTGATTTCTGCCTGGCTCCTAGCACATGTTTACAGTTAGCAGCTAGCCAATAAGGTACAAAAATGGCAATAGACAAGGAAACAGATCTCAGATGGAATGAGTACGTTTGGGTCGTCGACTCCTCTGCAGGGCCTCCCGAGAAAGATACTTGTCATCATAAACACGCGTCGTTTGTATCGTGTAGAAATATCTACCTAGGGTATGTTTGGTACTTACACGTCAGATTAGCACGGAAACCATAATCGGGGATCTAGGTTGGCGAGGCACAGCAAAAGCACCTGAGGACGCTCTCAAGGGATAATGAGTAGGTAGGTAGGTAGGTAGGTAGTAATTTTAATAATTTTGAAAGGCCTTGGGAGGTTGTCGACTTGGTTATCCCTTCTCGTAGTTCCGTGGCGTGCAGTGTTATATATCAACATATTTGATACGCAATAGGGAAGGGAGAAGTCATGAGTTAAAAGTGCTTTTTGGATAATTTTGGGTTTCCTTAGAGATATATAATTCCGAGCGCATTGGATAGTTGGTCGCCAAAGTAACCGCGAGTGACACTCTACCTACCTTCTTTAATCAAATCTTAATTTTTAAGGAATCTACCTCCATTGTTAATCTCCATTGAAAGACTTTCATTGCTTATCTAGCTTTAGGATTCTAAATCCGAAATTTAAAGGCATAAAGAAGCTTACCAAAAGTTATTGGTGGTCTGTATTGCCTTAATAGCTAAGTGATACTTTTGGTAATTCTTCCATTGCTCTATTGCACACGGATTGTAAGGCAATTAGATAGAGTCCAGGAAATCATCTTCTAAGAGTTCTTAGTTTCAGTCGTGAATTTAAAGAAGGATATTTAATTTGTGCATCTTGGAAATACATGGCAACATAGAAAGGGTGGTTATGACAAGCAATCTAAAGACTGCTTACTTTAGTACCTAATAGTAGTAAAGGGGTCTAACATCAATGCCTAGAGTCCTTTCTGTAGTTTTCCGTTATTTCCTTTCTATCATATTTATCAAAACTGTTGCTTTAATTTTTTGAACTACCGTTTTCTCTATCTTATGTGGCTACAGGCCGTGGCACCAGGCCCAAATAATACGTCGGGGGTGGGTTGTCGAATTACAACTGTTCTACGATCCTCGACACACCATATTGTCAACACTAGTAGAGAAACTTCCTTGAATCAGCAAATTGCAACTACTTTACACAAGAGAACAACAATAGTATAATTTCACGTCTTAACATTTATAGTTTTACTCGGCTTATTCGAGAAAAGTAAAGCCGGCCTTCTAAGTCCGCGCTATTGGGTATCGCCGCCTTTCAGCACCTCGGTCCCTTCTCAAATCAAGGTCCTCGTTACCACATGCCCTATTACAAATAAAAAATATAGTTGAAGAAAATGAAGTAGAAAAAAATCTCCCAGCCTGCCTTAGGCTTCCCCTCCTTTCAGACGCCTGGTCTCCGATGATGATGGGTAAGTGGTATATGTACAAGCAAGACCTGAAGTCTTGGATGCCTGTTACTACATACAAATGGGGCGCGGGCTGCATGCCGACGATGACGCAAACGAGATATATTGTCTAAGCTGGTGGTACGGTACTGTGCGAGCTACCGAAACCCCTCGCTCGTTTGTCTCGCTGTGCCTGTTTTCTTCTTTTCCCCGACCTCTTCAGGCCCTCGCCAAAAGAGCATTAAGTCTTGCATCGCATACTGATGCGTTATTAGATGGAACTTCCTATTTACAAACACCCGTATCGACATGTTTAGCTGAGGTTCATGACTAGCGGTCCAGCTAGTGTGATATCGTCAGTTATGACACCGTCAGCGGCGGCGGCGCTGGTGAGAGTGACATAGACAGTGCCAGCTAGGTTGGGCGGGAGAGCGCAACCCTGAGCGGGGTCGAAAGCGGCGAACGCAGTACCGCCCGGAGCAGCGGAGTTGGTGAAACCGCAGAATTTGGCTCCGGATGCAGCGTCGCTTTGGAAGTTCAACATGGTTCCCTCCGCTAGGGCCATGACACCGGCTACCGGAGCCGGGCTGGTCATTGTCAGAGTCGGGAAAGCGGTCAGGATCAGGTTTGAACCGGCAGGGCATGACTTGATGAACGGGGCAGCTAAGGAGAAGATGGACTTAGGTCCCAGGGGAGTGTCGAAGGGAGAAGGAGAGGCAGCGACTCCCAAAGCGATACGAACAAAAGACTGATGTCTAGCCTCGATGGTTAGGATAGACGCAGCCGTGCTGAGGATCTTGCTGTCCGACACAAGGGGCGCAGCACCGAGGTAGGCAGAAATGCCAACACTCTCGAGGATGGCTGCAGTAGCAACCATACCCGCGGCATCAGTAAAGCCGAAGTCGTACACGCAGGGCTGTACGGGTTGGACACCAGCCTGTGCAATAGAACTCTGTAGCAGACCGACGTGAGACGCTTCACTGGCACCAATGCCCTTAAGATCGCTCAGCTGGGTAGCGCTTAAGCCTAGGGCGACGAACTGGTCATCGCTGAACTTGGCAAAACCCTGCTGGTAAAAGGTAGCCTCAAGCCACTCTAGGGTCAGAGCACTGTATACCAGTTAGAAACCTATGCATTTATAGTGGGCAGTAAGGGTATAACTTACAATTGTAGGATATCGACGTCTGCTAGGCCGAGGGCAGCAGCAGCCGCGTTTTGTCGTTTAGCGAGGCGATAGATTTCGCTTTGTCTTATGGTCAACTTCGGTTGGGCCGGTAGAGCACAAGCCACGGCAGCCAATCCCACCATAACACCCATGATCTTCTTGAAGGAAGGCATCTTGTCTGATTAATATCGAATGCGTCCGTTTAACTTCGTGTTCGTTTCGTTTCGAGTCGGGCTAATAGTTGACGGAGTCGTAAGAGTCGTAAATAAAAGAACGTCGAAGCAAGAAAAAAAAATATCGAAAATAAGACCAGGCTAGCTGTTCTAGAAAGAATCCCACCTGGGTATTACAAGAATTACAAGGTGTCGAAAAGGAGAGTGAAGACGTTGATCCCGCGGGAAGCAGACCGGCGCTTTTAATTCGGAGTTGGACACGAAAATATACGGGATGAGAATAGAACGGAGAAGAAGATGGTTAGAAAATGGGAAATGGGGCTTCATTAAAACCAGTCGCCAACTGGTAGCTTTAGGATGTGATAGACGTTGCGGGTCACGGAACGAAGGTAGGCCGGCAGCAGGGCGATCCTAAGCGTCGGCCCCCCTTGAGGCTCCTTAACAGTAGGAAATGCCATCTTCATTTGGTATTACTATGTCACCCATCCTCCCACGCGCTTCCGACTCCGAGACTCAAGGGGCAGCCCCAGCGCTCCCGGGTAATCTAGATTCCATAGCTTGCTCGAGATCAACTAAAGACAGGGTTCCATCCATATGTTGACAGCGGGAAGTTGACAATAGCGTTAGATAGTAGACAGGAGGAGGAAACGAAACGTGGATAATGAGATATGCATGTTTGCGCCGGACCAATGAGGGCTGATTTTGATGATCAAGCTCATAGATTCAAAGTTGAGATGAAAGAGTTTATTAGGCCCTGGTCCGAAGGGTCGCAGCCAAGAAGTTGCCGGGGGGAGGACCAGGGGTCTTCTAACTGCTTGGGGAAAGGAGATGTCGCTGGGCACGGGGTTTTTGCAGTCCAGTCTGCCTCAGATGTCGTTTGAAAGAGCGGATAGCCACCCAGCCGAACCCTGAAACTGAGGACTCAGCTATTCCGATTGATTCGTCCTTTACTACGATCCCGAGCAAACTCAGAACTGAACTGACTGATAGAATAAGTTAAGCTTCGTAATTCACCGGTGCAATGTTATGACACAGCTTGGCAGCGGATGTCGGATCTGCTTTTAGATCCTACTCATTACAGATCGTGTTGAGACTTCTTAGAACTTGATCTACCCCCACGGATGATGATGATATACATATGTATTGTATGTATTGTTGGTTATACATTTCATAGTGACTTGAATAGTCTATAGTCGCTGAATAGAACTGCTCCCTCGGTACATGTAGGCATTAAACATTTACCTATCATGAACCGTAAAGAACGAGAATCAAGGTACCTATCCCAAGGACCTGGTAGACCGCCGACCAGGGTTCTCATTGGTGTATGCGAGTTTGAAATGACAGGAACGGGCAAATGTCGTATCGCGCGTTTCTTGACACTGCTAATCTTCACTTCACTTAACCTCAACTACGCACATTACGGCTCGGCGAACGGGCCAGAAAGAGGACGAGAACACAAACAAAATTTTGCGAAGGGCCGTCTTTCGGGCTATCACAGTCGCATCTAGGTTAGATGTGTACATAGGGCATCTCTCTATATCCGTGTTAACCCCCAGAAATGACGAGATCTACTTTAGCCTCTTAACATACTTATTCCATAGCTCAGCCAAATCTGGTTCCAAAACCCCAATAGAGAATATAGCACGTGAGAGGAGAGGGGAGCAAGACGGGTCGCTACATAACATGTACGAGGTCTTGCCGTCGATCAAGCTTGAAGGACCAGGGGTTCATATCTCGGAAAGGTGCATAAAACAGCGGCAGCTGTAGCACGTTGCACATCCGGAGATCCATCTTACCGGATCTGTCTGACTTCCTGAGATATTCCATGCATCATGCCGGCAGAAGCAAAGGCCTATCGTAGCTCTGAAAACTACAAATATTTCTCCCAAGTAGCCGCTGCAGACTTCTTGTGAGCCCGATTCTGGTCATATGGATACTTGAGTAGGATCTAAGGATGTAAATTTATTGTCATGGGTCGTGGGTCGTGGGTCATGTCAAATATATTATATTACTCACCTGTACATCGCATATAATCAGATATTAGGAACGGTTGGATCTTCTTCATAGTGATCTTATTCATAGCACGATTTCGTATATTTCTGTTGACTGTGGCAGCTCCCTAGTTCTATCTGCCTTTTCATGAAACACTTTTATCAACACAGTAAGAGCTGTACTTCTCGGGTTACGGTCGCGGCCGCGGCCTTACAATCTACCCTATCTTCTTGGCTACTTCGCTCTACATCACTCAAGCAACATACCAATCGCTCCAATGCTCCCAAAGTCCATTGCCTCGTCCAGCCGTACACGTCAAGCAAAGCACATCGTTGTTAAGAAGACTCATAGAGCATACGGGTTAAGCGAACGTATCGTCAAGCACCTGCATTTGGTTAGTTTATTTACTCCGTAAAAAAGCGTAGGTTAACATACGGTGGGCTCTTGCTGAGATCCGTCTTAAGGATCACAGGCACTCTGGTCATCTCTGTTACATCTTGGATGTACTCGCCACCTTCTTCTCTCAATGCGAATAGCTTGAGATACTTCTCCTTGTTGGTCAAGCGAGTTTCTACGGCTTCTGCCATAGGCACCTTTGAATCGGATCTGGTTCGATGAAGGACACCGGGGTTTGAGGAGGACCGGGTCGGTGAGCCTGGAACGCTCTGAGTCGGACGCTCGGCTAATGAAGCACCCGCCATAGCCTCCGTGATATCCGAGGCATTGTCGTCATCATCGTCAAATAGAGCTTCGGCAGCATCCGTAGGCATCGTGCCCGTCTCCGTCTGCTTCCGTGCAGCCTCCTCTCGTTCCTTCTTGGCCTTTTCGGCCTCTTCTGCCTGCCTAGCAGCCGCCATCGCATTCGAGATGCGCTGCGATGCACCTGCCTTGGGTCGTTCATCTTCAGGTACATATGCTGAACTTGGGACGCCCTTCTCCCAGTAGAGCTCTAGAATTCTCTTCTCCTTCCTGAACTCGGCTTTCTTAAGCGGCAACTGGTCACAGTGCACACGCTTCTCGAAGCCCCATTCGGGGATTAGAACATCAAAAGCAGATTCATAAACACAGATAACAACTCCCTCGCTGATGAGATCACCGTTGACCTCCTGGCGTTTCTTATCCATGATTCTGCATGACTCGATGTGAATGCTTTGCTCCTGGGCATTTTGTGCCGATTCCTTCTTGGTGTTACAAGATTCAATCGTCTTCACAAGGTTTTCGATATCATCGTTGTATTCAACCTTGCCTTCCGAAAGGACGGCTTCAAGTTGACGGTGAACGATGATGTCGGCATAGCGCCTCGTAGGCGCGGTAAAGTGAGTATAAAGAGGTAGATTCAGAGCATAATGAGGCCAGAGCTGTTTGTTAACCTTGCCAGTGATAAAGTACTTGGCATGGTGCATGCTTTTGAGTAACAGTGTTTCCATACCCTTGCGGATATCGGAGTCATCGACCTTGAAGAGGCTATTCTGTAAGGTGCCGCTACTAGTAGTATCGATATCGTATCCAAGCGCCCGCATGCGTTCGACAAATGTCTGCAGGCGTCGGGCATTGGGTGGGGACTGGCGCCGAAGCAAAGCCTTCTCAGGGAGACCTTGAGCAAGCTTTTGAGCGACGGCCGCATTGACCTTGTGCAAAAGCTCTTCAACTAACTCGGTACCCGGTGTAGAGTCGAAAATGTTGTGTTGAATAGGTATATTTTCATCATCGAGTTGATGAAGGAGCCGGAGAGGAGCCATGGGCTCTCCCTCAGATCCTAAACGTGACTCGCGGAATTTCTGTGCAACGGCCTAGAGGGAAAAATATTAGAGAGCTCTCGATAATTTGGGGAAAATAGAAACTTACATTAAGAATTTGGGCATCCTTGACTTGTACGACATCATGTGTGAAGCCGGCCTGGTTCGCGAGGGCATCATCTAGTTCCTTTAGTGCTAATGTAGCACCACTCTTAATAATACTCTTGCCAATCCAAGTGTCACCCTCCGCAACCACACCGGTGTGAGCGTTAACGCGGAAGACAACACTGACAGTAAGCCTATCCTCACCCGGAGTAAGAGTGCAAAGCTCTGCAGCGATCCTAGGGGGGAGAAGGGCACAGGTTCGGTTCACAAGATGAACGGCAGTACCGCGCTTCTTAGCTTCGCGATCGACGAGCGAATTGGGCTTGACAAAATGAGTGACATCGGGTATATGGATGCCAATCTCGATCTTTCCATCTGATTCAGTCTTAACATGGACGGCACTACCAAGTTCCCCAGTGCCGGCAAGGTCAAGGGTGAAAGTCTTCTCGTCGCGGAAGTCCCGTCGAGCCCCAATAGAAGCCTCGTCTTCCTTAGCGATGGTCCAATCTTGGAGGCCAACACTTCGCAAGACAGCTTCTGAGAATTCATCGGATGAGAAGTTGTTGTCGCGCAGGAGAGCATCAGTCTCCACTTTGAGATCACCCATCTTCCCAAGCTGCTCAACAAGCGTGCCGAAGGGATGTAGAGAAGTAATAGGCCAGCGTTTGATACAAGCAACAAATATGCGATCGGCGTATTCCTGGTGCTTCTCTACAAAGTCTCGTGGCGCTTGTTCGGTGGGAATAGCAATTAGAGGGACACGCTTATCGGTAGGCTTAAACCAGACAATCTTAGGTTTGTCTGGCTGGCGATTGTCGTGCGATCGACCGCCGTCTCTGGCGGCTCGTTCAGCCTCTTGCTTCTCCTTGGTCGCTTGGCTGCTGGGGCGCAGCAGGCCAAGCGTGCCTGAGAACATTTGACCAGCGACACGCTCGATAACAGCTACAATGTGTCCAGCATAAAGTGGTTTTGATTCGTCGTTAATTTCCTCTTCTTCGACGAGAAGAAGACTTTGCCCCTCCACTTCTACGTCATCATTCTTTTTCTGTGTAGGTCTCTGCCGAAGACTGCCACGCCGGCGGATCCCTCCTTCGCCGTTGGCAGCCTCTTCTGCGTTGGCAGAGTTGGACTGAGCGTTACCGTTTGTCGAGCCAGACCTTGTATCGGTGATATCCTTTCTCTTCTTCTTTTCCTCCTTTTCTCGTTTCTGTGACCATACCTCGTCTACGTCAAGGAGTTCAACTGCGACAAGATCGCCTTCTAGAGCTCGATTACGGTCTTTGCTGCCACAGATAAAGATATCCGCATCTAAAAGACCGTCCGAAGTAGAGACATAAGCGTCACTGCGATTCTTCTTGTTCACTCGGAGAATACCGGAGACGAGTTGTCCATCGCCAAGCAACGCCGGCAAAGTAGCTTGAGGGAGATAGGGGGTAAAGAGGGTCTTCCTCTGTTGTTGTTGTTGTTGGGCTTGTTGGCCACCCAGTTGTGGTGCATGTTGGCTTCCCTGAAGACCAACAAATTGCTGACCATTCATCTGCGCAGCTTGAAGGGCCTGGAGCTGGTTAATCTGCATAGGATTAAGCTGCTGACCAGGGTACATCTGCATCATCTGCATCTGACCGGGCATTTGCATTAGTTGAGGCTGGCCAGGATATTGGAAAGCTCCGATGTTGGAAATAGATTGCTGGCTCACAGAACCACGGGGACGATGACCAGGCTGAAACCCCTGTTGGCCCTGACCAGCCTGATCCTGACCCTGACCCTGGTTTTGACCTTGCTGGTTACGCCAATTGCCCTCGAAATTGCGCGAAGAAGTTCGTGCATGGCCGCTTGAGGCACTACCACGGCGGCCAAAATCACCGTTGTCGTTAGGAACGTGCAGAGCACCCCCACCCCGAGCACCTCCCCGGCTATTGACAGCCATGCTTTGGCTTCGTCCGTGTCCGCCGCGTCCGCTGCGTCCGCCGGGAGTAGATGAACCCTGCGCTATGGGGGTATCCGCGGTAACGGACCTGGTTTCCTCGGCAGGGGAGCCTTCAGTGGGTCCCGCAGCCGGAAATTGAAAGCCAGAGGTCGTTCGTTTCTGCTGAGCAATCTCAGCTGCCTTTTTGGCATCAGCCAGGGCTAAAGAGTGCCTTCGCTGGTGACCGGAGCCGCCACCTCGCCCTCCACGAGATGCGTTCTCCCGATTCTGCTGACCAGACGAGTTATCAAATTGCCCAAAAGTGGATCCAGAAGCTCCGGCAGAAGGAGCCGGAGGGGGTCCGATTCCCATGTTGGGGAGGGCCGATTGGTTACGACGGTGCGACATGGGTTGACTTGGTCCCATGGGAACATTCTGCTGCTGTGGAAGCTGGTTGGGGAATTGGAAAGCCGTCTGTGGCGACATATTAGCCATAGGTGGCTGTAAAGGGTTGAAAGAACCACCGTGACCCAGCTGGCCCGGTGGCATCATTCCCATATTTATGTATTGTTGCTGTGTGGCTTGTATCTGTTGCTGCTGCTGCTGCAACAACTCGATCTGCTGCTGAATAGCGAGTTGCTCCACTAGAAACAAAGCAACGTGGTTAGTATCAAGAAGTATCAAGAACAACAGAACAAGCTACAGTACAAGGAACGGGACACGGAACGGAAGCAATGGGCTTCTGAAGGCGAGAGGTGAAAACTTACTCCCAGGAGTCGTGAACATGCTCATCAGAGGGGTAAGCTCAGAAGGGCTCCTGCGATGGGCGATATGAAGGCGACGGCCAGTAGGTCCGGGGACACCCCCGGCCTGAGGAGCGGGCTGTTGCTGCTCCATGTCGGGCTACCTAGGAAGTGAAGTTGCACGTCGAGTGCGAACAATGCTGCTAAGCTAGCTGAGGTGTGTTTAGATGATGGTTGAGGCGAGGGCCAGTACTGGTTTGGAGCTTAAGCTACTTGGCAGTTGACAAAACTTGATAGTGGTTACGTTCTTTGGTGGTGATTGCGTGGACTTTTGCGACTAACAAAAGGAGGGTAAATGAGAGGATTGAACAAGGCTGCAGTGATGCTGTGTGCGTCAGAATCCCGTAGAGAAGGAATGTGAAGATGTGTTGAGAGAGGGTAAATGAAGCGGTGCAAAGATAAAGGGAGAGAGACAAGACGAGAGATGGTGATGGGGATGGAAGTTGGGAAGCTTTGGAGTTTTTGGGAAGATCACTCTCCAATGGCCACCTGGGATACGGGGAAGAGGATGTGAGGTCAGGACTAAAGCGAAGACGGGCAAAATGGGGCAGTAGGTCTTGGCAGGCCAGGCTTTTAGCTGGGTTGGGGAACCTCTGATTGGTTAAAGGTTTCATAATGTGGTAAGAGGTACGAATGTACTGATACTAACACTGATACTAACGAGGTAACGACATGGAGGTAGGCTTGCCCCTGCTGTAAGTCTAGAGTTTGTACTATGGACAGAACCAGCGTGCTAGGTTGCCCTAGGCAATTTGAAGTTTAGAGGTAGGTAGAGGGAGGTAGGTACGTATCTACTTATATGTAGCTAGGTACATTAGGTACAAAGCAGTCTAGGTGGCCCCAGCCCAAGCTTAGATCAGAATACATACCTAGGTTAGATAACTTACACTTGTCCTTGCTTTGCGCTTTGCGATATTTGGCCACTGTTCCCTTGTTTGAAGACTCTTTGCGTATACTTGACTTGCATACTAGGTGGAAGCTATTGGAAACATACTCCAATGAGAACTAATGATAATATAGAAAGAACACGAGTGCCTATATGCATACATGTATGGGAACACGGTGTATGCAGCTAAGTACTGTACTTGATCTCAAAATGTCCCTACTAGGTAAGCTCAGAGCGCATGTGACTTCATGAAAGGACGCAAAGGACGCGTACCTACATGTAACTTAAAGTTACCTTCAATTGGGAACTTTGGCGACACATGCTAGGAGATTATCTGACAAGAGGATAAGTGGGATGAAATTGGAAGGGAAGGCAGGATTACTCGATACGAATTGCAATGCAGGTAAAGATAGTACATGTAGTATTGGGAGCGGCAGTATCTTGGCTTAGAGCCTTCCTTCAAATACAAATTGGGTAAAGAATTACCACAAGATTAGTAGACCATCGTCATTAAGTGCATGATAAGTTGACACTCGGAGTAAATATACAAATATACAAATATACAGCACCCATAGTAAGCCTGGGGGGGGGGGCAAAAAGAGCTAGGGTTTATAGAGGGGTCTCGGGAAGCTTCGCACAATAGGTAAACTAATTAACTTAGTCAGGTATTTACATGTAGGTATAATATATATGCGGGCGCATATTTATTGATACGTTAAGGTAAGTTTAACGATGAGCTGAGATGTCAGTGTACATAGTGTATATCTTACCTTGTTGAGGGTCAAAGTGCTTGATGAGACTACATAAACAAGGAAACCCTGATCTTGAGTGAACCCTAATAAATTGGATGCATATTGTCCTCCAGATAATACCCAGGCAAGTACTAGGTATTGACGTGAGTAGCCCACCTACCCACTTATAAGGGCCACTTATCTCGACCTATTAGTATACTAAATCAACTTCCAACTTGCACCGGCACAAGTCTGACGAAGGGATGATATTACATAGAACTCCACAAGAGGTCCCTAGTTCCCTCATTCTCTTCTAACAACACTGTAACAGCAGCATCTTACACTACCTAACTACACGATACAGCTTGAACTGGTTAAGAGAAAATCGAAACACTCAACAGCAAACAGCGTTGCAAACCGATATGATGTTTGACAATACCAAAAGAAGCCCGATAGTGGATCTCGTTCCCTCATCATCATCGTCGTCGTCGTCACCATCATACATACCTGATATGCTCGCAACTTATTCCAGTTGTGATAATAAAATAAAATAAAAAGGTGGGATACATGGTACTAAAAAGAAAATAGCAAATATGCCACGTGAGCCCTTACTACCTTAAGTCTTTCTGATATGTACTTTGAATATAGGCAATAGTACCTAATCGAAGAAGCATTTCCCTCTTAGAGGAGTATTAGATGAGTTTCCTAAAAAGGTATATTGCTTAGTTACTCTTTGGATAGTTTCTTTGGATAGTTAACGAGTCGATAGGAAGCTTGACTACATCTCCTACGTGGCTTACCTAAGGCGCCTAGGTAGTATCTAGGTACCTAGGTATTTTAGCTAGTTACACGTACCTACCTATGTATAATATACAGAAACTGCATGGCCACATTAACTATGTCAGCCACGCCCGCATTCAGTAGGTACATACCTTCCATCATTGTATTGTACCTGCCTGGTGAGTAGCCTTATTAAGTAAGCAGATCAGCGCGTACCTCAGTCTTTTCCTAACCTTCATATCGATAGCTCGAATTGGTCTTCATAATACCTACACCGTCCACATTATTTATCCCTGCGATCCTCGACTTTGTTTCTTATTCTTCACAATCAAGCAACGTAAATACGCGGTCGCTCTTTTACATATACCTATACAATTGAAGCTGACGTCTCATACTTTGACTTTCTTAGGTATTTAATCCCACCTGTTCACCATTATTTTCCAATCGGCCTACTAATCTTTGACACAGTATTTCGACTGCTGTCGCGCGCCACGGCCACCTTTGCAAGATCCGCAATGCTGTAGTACGGCTCGGTAAATGCAATGGCTGGTTCTTCTCCCGCTGCCCGTACATCACAGCAATGGTCCACTCCTGACCGTCCTCGCATGTCCAGTATATCGTGTATCCTCAGTGAAAGTCGTAACACGGCGATTAGCCATCAGGATGCTCTCGCACGAGCTCAAGCCGAGCACGATCGAGTTCGCGAGGCTGCTATCAGAGTTTACCACGATCACGAGTTGCAAGAGGAACAAAAAAGGCTGTTAGAGCAACAAAAAAGGATACTAGAACAACAAAAGCTAGAGGAAGAGCGAATCCGAGCCGAGGAACGGCTGAGGGCGGAAGAGGAACGCCTAAGAGCTTTGAAGGCCAAAACGGTCCCTAAGCTTCCACCAGAACCGCCAACACCTGTTGCCCACACAAATGGGTCCGCTGCCGCTCTAGCCCAAATCAAAGCTACCCCAACCACAGCGAATTCAGGAGCATTGTCCAACTCAAAGTCACCCTTATTCGGTGTCCAACAGCCCGCCTCGACCAACGGGTTAAGCGGACATGCCAATGGCACAGTGCAGCCACATCCATCACAGCCGTTTGGTCAACCCAAAGCTATACCTCAGGGTCAATCATTGAACGGCCCGTCACCATTTACACAGCCGACAAAAGCAATCTTACAGCCCAATGGCTTGTCAGCTGCAGCCCCTGCAAAACCTCCCGTCGCTATCAACGTAGATCGGTATGTTGAAATTCATAAGAACCTTAAAAGGCTACGGGCATCCTTGTTGCAGCAATCCAAATTATCTCCACCCTTGAAGAAGCGGATGGGAGATATGCGGCGAGAACTAAGAAAGAATATGGGCCAATTAGTAGGCGAAAAGGGCGGCAATAAGAAACAGGTTTGTTCCCCTTTGTTCTTTGATAAGCTTTAAACTAATTGGAAACCAGATAGTCGCTATCCAAGCGCTACTGGATGAATCGCTTAGGGGAACTGTACCAAGCGAGCTGGTCGACCCGTCCGATTATATCACGGACAGAAGAGAACCAGTCGAAGGTGCATTGCACAACGAGCCACGGCTTCCGTCTCTATTTCTCTACCTTCTAAATCACTTCTCCAAAGCTGTTATCAACCAGTTTATCAACGAATGTGGAGCTCAGCCCAAAACTGCTGATCCCATCGGCGTCATTGTTGCTATGATTTTCTCCAGAGACCTCTACTTGTGGAGGGGAAAGACTTTGATCGATATCCTAATGGCGAAACTACGCGTCGTCTGCCCCGTTCTTTTTGGATATCGCGGCAGCGAGAAGACAGAAAATGGTCGTCTTTGCCTAGGTTGGAAGAAGACAGAGACTGGATGGGCACCCGAGCAGCAGCATAGTGACCGAATGAAAGGCTTGGGAGCAGGATACGCCGCTATTGCGCTGAGGAACTTTTCAAGTTCCAAGAACACCAACCCATGGCCCCCGTCGAAGTACTGGGCTAGCATTGCGCGGATAGTGAATACTCCACCAGCCGAAATCACGAACACACAATGCGTTGTTCTTAGAGCTATGATCGAGACTAGCGAGGAGAGGTTCATTCAATTCTACGGGAATGCAGCGATAGCCGCATTGAGGAAAGCGTTGGTGGAATTCCCCGCGAAAGCCGTAGACAAGTCACCTGGCGTTTCGGGATTGCAGGTTTTGGCACAGATTTTAAAGCGGGATATAGGCTTGGAATTATGAGCCACCTGTACAGTACTCAAAATGGATGGTTCGGTGTTGGTATAGAAGGCGGTAAATCAGGTTTTCCCTTCTACGGCGTTCAAGGAGTTAGCACGTCAATTAGCATAAGAAGGCGTCTAGAAACACCTCGTATAGATACTGCCTCTTCTAGAGTCTTCGAATATACCCAGCGGAGGTGGTTAGGATATTCGCTCTATTACTAACATTGAACAACTGATCCTCAACCGAAATTATAGTGAACTTCGCCTGTGCCCGTGCCAAACGCCTATAATATTAATAGTAGTACCAATAGTATAATCAAAACCATAATGAGGACCGCGATACAACAGCTACTATACCGATCCTCGTTTTTCTGCATGACGTACCCCAGCTTCTGCATGCCCGTCTGCAGACGGCTGCCGACGCGGTCCGCTAGGGTATCCACCGTCTCGAGCATCTCAACCTGCTCCTCAAGCTCCCGGCCCATGTCATCAGCCTGTCTTCTTAGATTCCCCACTGTAACAAAAACACCGTCTAGCTGCTCGTCCTGATCGCGCATCATCTGTAACTGTTGACGGTGCTCGAACTCGGCATAATTATCCTCACCCCCCTCTCCTCCCTCGTCGATAGCAAACGCGCTCGGCGGTGGTAGGTCCCCATTGGCGGCTGCCCTAGCTGCGCGCGCTGCGCCAGATGGTGTCTTGGGGCCCGACGCTGTTGTCGCGGTTTTGCTTAGCTCCTCGCGCATATCCTCTACCTCGCCCCCAACTTCCTGCACGAGTCGCTTGCGCCTCGTCACCTCGTGGGCAGACAGTCCATATCGCTCCGGGTCCGACTCAGCTGCTTGTACGGATTCAACTAGGTCCGCGAGATCCTCGGCTAAGGTCGCAAGAGCCTGTTCGAGGTCGGATCGCGCGGATGCGAGCTCGGGCGAAGTCGAACTGCTCGTTAGGCTGCGTATGCGCAGGTATGAGGCGAAGAGCGGGCGGATAGTTTGCATTTGTGAAAGGACATCCCTACACAGACAATCGCGTCAGCTATGTACCTATACTCGCCCGAAAAGGAGGGAATGGGAATGGGAGCTTACGCACTGTTGGACTTGGAGGAACGGGTCCTCCTCATTTGTTGAGGACATCATCCTGGGGGCTCTATTGTATGCCGCTGCATCTATTGGCTACATCTACATCTGTGGCGGAGGGTCTTGTGTTATAAGAAATTCGACATTTGAAGCCTAAAAGGTATATTGTTGGATTTTGTCAGGTTAGTATAAGGGGAGCCTTGAACGACGCAGCTAAGGCGAAATGACGTGGTGTTGTCTTTTTAGATTGACAGGAAGGTTTGGCAGGTGTCAGGCGGTGTCCGGCGGTGTTAGACAACTGGCAAGTGCAACCATTGGAAATTCCTAAGATAACCTAAACTTTTGCCAAATATTATAAAATATTATAAATCATTAACAATTTAAAAAAAAAAAAAAAAAAAAAAACTCACGTTATCCAAGTTTCATATTATCCAGTCCTTCAATTTCTTGTTCTACCTACACCCACTTTCGTTTATGAATACGACAGATATATAAGCATGAGGCCTACTAAGCCCTTGCCGTACCCGGATTGCTGGGAAAGCACCGAAGACTATGTCGAACAACTCTTAGAGTTTGCGACCGCATCTGATTTCTTCCAAATTTTGTGTGGAGGTGTGCACATTTTAGACTTCTTTACCAACGAACCGGGGCTCTTCCAGACGGTGATACCGTCGGATTGGCAATCATATATCCTACAATGTGAGCCTATGAAGTTCCTGGATCTCTTAATGAGGAACGACCTGGACGATGTTCTAGACTCTCAACCACCAGAGAGCTTAGTTGAGTATATCAAAGATATAAGGCGGTTTTCATTGGCGCGCGAGTTCTCCCCAAAGGCAGAGAAGCTCCCGAAGTTGACACGCATGGTGTCGGCGGGAATGAAACCGAAGAAAATCCACGAAGTGAGCCACTTCGCAAATTATGTGGACACGCTTGCTAAGGGAATTGCTACTGAATACCGTAAGGAGATCACTCATTTTGTTGATTTCGGCAGCGGTCAGAATTATTTGGGAAGGGCATTAGCAACCCCTCCTTATAACAAACAAATTGTAGCTGTGGAGGGTAGGGAGCACAATATCATTGGTGCTAAAAGGCTCGATATGCATGCAGGTGTTTCTGAAAAGCAGAAGGTCATACGAAACAAGAAACTTTGGATGCAGAAGCTCGATAGTATGATTCCTGAGAATCAGCTCGACGAAAGAGCTTTAAAAAGGACCGCTAACCCTGTAAAATTCTCGACCGATTACGTACCTGATTTCAGGCCTCCAAGTGAGCTGGAGGCCATCTATACGCTCGAGGAGGGTAAAGGCTTCATACGTTACATCGAAGGGAGACTCGAGTCGGGAGATTTGACAGACGTTATCAACCAACTTGAGCAGGAACCTTTTGCCGGCGAGAAAGAACAAGGCGATCCTAACTTAATGGCAATTTCCATTCATTCTTGTGGAAACCTATCTCATCACGGCATACGCTCTTTAATACTCAATTCGCGAGTCCAGGCCATTGCCATTGTTGGCTGCTGCTATAATCTTATGACGGAGAAACTAGGCCCGCCCACGTACAAGCTCTCGTATATGAGACCAAGTCTTCAAGCCCTCAACGGTCGTGTGGTCAGAGAATCCGAGAGACGTGACCCTGAAGGGTTCCCAATGAGCAACCGACTTTGCAACTACAAAGATGTAGGAGTCCGCCTCAATATTACGGCTCGGATGATGGCTTGTCAGGCGCCGCAGAACTGGACTGAGGCTGAAAGCGATGCTTTTTTCACTAGACACTTCTACCGCGCTGTTCTGCAGAAGATTTTTCTCGACAAGGGTGTTATCACTAAGATTTGTCATAACGATGACCTTGTGGATAGTGATCAGAGTCCGTTTAACACAAGCACCAACCCGGTCATCATCGGTTCTCTCCGGAAGTCGTGCTACAAGACCTTCGGGGCATACGTAAGAGGAGCGATCGGTAAGCTGACTACTAATTCTGAGTATCACGAGTACTGTAATATAATTAAGGAGAAGATGAGTGACATCACGGATGAAGAGATCACGAGATACGAAGTATCATACCGGCCGCGCAAGCGAGAACTCAGTGCCATCTGGAGTTTGATGGCATTCAGCGCTAATGTCACCGAGTCCTTAATAGTGACCGACAGGTGGCTATTCCTACGGCAACATTCCGACTTAGTACAAGACTGCTGGGTAGAAACTGTATTTGACTACCGTGAAAGCCCTCGGAACCTAGCTGTAGTTGGTGTCAAAGGCCTAAGCTCATGCCAACTAACCTAGGTTACTGACTTCGGTCTTCACCGAGCCACGGCAACACAAATAGTAACAATCAGATACAATCAGATCGCACTTAACTGTCGTCACGATCCGGACTCCTGCAGATCCCGCGTCAACTGGACCAGTTGTCTATGGCCAGCCCCGCTAGACCTATTTTCTAGGCAACTTGGAGGTCTCCTTTCGCGGTAATTATGCAAACCGGAACGATAATTGGACAGAAATTAAAACTATGTCATGCATGAACCTGCATCGGGGGGCATCAGTGGGCCGCGGTAAAGTTGCCTATCTACAGATTGCATCGATCGGTCAAGCAAGTCCCAGATAGAGGAAGTTTGTCTCGATGCAAGGCAGCTCGGATGAGCGCATCGTGCCGAGGAATCTCAATCGGACTTCTCACCGTGAGAGGTCCGGATAGCTCGACGATTAAGTTCTGAATAGCGAGCCAAACACAGGCTTACTATTTGGAAACCCCTGTCTTTTCTATGACGGCCTAATGCTACGCACTCCCCACGCGTGCCTGCAGACTACTCTCAACGCAATTCATTCTACCGAGTGCTCCATCTCCAAGCTCTCCATCATCGTCGGTTAGAGATGGCAGTTTTTCCCGTCACGGAGCTTGATGGCTACTCGATACGGGAAATCCTCTAGCTAAGCCAGTCGGTGACGTTCGAGCTATGGGCCGTACGAGGTTCAATGCGGTCTAGTTTCATCATTCATGACGACAGTTATGTCTAAGTTCATCTATCTTAGATCCTATCAGGCCACCTAGCTAGTTCCTATTCGCCTTACCGGTCACAACCTCGCGGGGAATACCCGTGACCCAAAAACAATTCGTTCATGGCTCTGGCGAGTGACTGGTGCCATCGTAAGCACGGTATTTTACGATTGATTATGTGTGGCACGATGGCGGTAGGAACGCGAGTGGATATAGTGGGAGAAGGGATATTTCGTGGGGTTGTCACGGACGAATATGATGGGTCGAGATTGTGTTTAAGACGTGGTTACACTCGGCTCTGATTGAGAACCCTAGAATCGGATCGAGCTAGTCCAATTCTGAGGGGGGAATAGGAAACGTGCTAATTGAATTAGGCATTCAGTGTTATTCAGTATTGCGGTCAAAGAGAACGGCATCTTCAGTCGAATATTCGACATCATATCACGCAAGTTATCCGTGATTAAAGTAAGCCAGTGAGACAAGCCATATCGATATTATACCTGCACCCGCCGTTTTGTTACGCCAACCTTAGACAAATGGCGTTACCATGTTACGTGCAGCGGTGGGTACAATAATTGGTGGCAGGGTTGACGAGACTCTTAGGCGGGCAGCTCGAGACAGGAAAATGCGGGGCAGCAAAGGGGTCCTCAAGCTCAAGGGTTAGGTACCTTATCCCCCCAGCCTCTCGCTCATAGGCCGGACAGCTGCATCAACAACATATGCATTGGCGAGTAAATCTCCCCGACTCCAGGTACCGATGGATGGTCCTTTCGCCAAAGTCCGTACAGGTAGGATATTACATATATCCTACATACAACTCACTATCTATTCTCCTTCCATTCTCCTTCCTAGAGTTGCACTCCAGATAATGCACTCACCTGCATAGCACATCGTCTTCTACCTACCAGGTCGATAATTCCTGCTGTCCTGCTGTGGTACAATACAAGGCCTCATCTAACGTGTCTGCACTAGTATATTGATTCGCTCCCTCAGGACTTACCTGGGTATAGCGAGTGAATGAGAGGCGCAGGTCGCCCCTCTCGAGAGACATCATCATGCAGAAGAGTAAAAACTCCTTGCAGGTAATCCTAGTATGGTACATCTCCCGGTAGTCCAAGACCCAAGCCTAAAGCTCCAAGCATTCCCCCCACGCTAGACAGCGTTGCAAAGTCGCACCCGTTATATAGAGTCGTCCTGCAAGATTCTCCCAAATCCACTTAGCTCCACCCGGACGTCGACCACGCGCCCTAGGAGCTGATGTAGGATGGCGCCGTACGTAGATGATATGTCGAAGAGTGGCTGCATATGTTGCTCGGCCCCCTTCTGCACGCTTTTCATTTTAGCGGCTTGCCTTTTTGAGGCAGACGGCATGCAGACGCGCATATGTTATTAGTTTGTGCCTAGGAACCTCAAGCCAGGTTCACGAAGCTATATAAGTTAGGTATATGTGCTAAGTACCTAAGATTACACCACCCTGAAAAATACATAAGGCTCGGTGCCCCTCGCCATTCACCTGACTGGTCGAACTCGGTTTGTTGTAATATGATAAAATACGCCTCCTCGACGTTCTTAGTCGTTGAGGATTTCGTGATTTCGTCTCGACGCCCTTACCTACAGAGATCCGCTCCCGTCCACTGTTTGTAGGTGCGTCAACTTGCATCCGCTGGCGATAAAACGAGTATCCACAGCGGCACCGAACCGCGCTTCCTATCAGTCCCGGTCCTGGAGACCGCGACGGGCATCGATCCTTGTGGAATCCTACTATCAAGTGGTCAAGTGGTGTGTGTCATGTCACGCTATCCACCTAAAGCTACCCGACGAACTCGAAGCGTTAAAGAAGTCCTTGCGAGGCCTTCTTTTTTATTCTATCAACCAAACAGACAACCTATGTAGAGCTAGTCCCCTTACGAGGTCTAGTCTCCATAGTACCTCCGATTGACAGCCCTATCGCGGTTCCTATCTCTCGAAACCGGCCAATTATTTTCTTTCTTTATCCTGGCTCCTACTTAGGGTCGAAGTCTATCTTGTTGGCATTGTTTTCTTTCGGCTTTTATTTCCCCTCCTCTGTACCTACGACGTTTGATGTTCTATGTCCTCTATCTATTATTATTGTTATTATTATAATAATAATAATTATTATTATCATAAGGATTAAGCATCTTCTGTTTGGACCTATCCGAGGACTCAAAATTCAAGTCTAGGAGAGTGAATTCCACCAGTCACAACATAATTCGAGCTGGATCTCCGTGATAGGTTCGACTCTATCCGTGCATTTTAAGGGTCCTCTGACCCCCGATCTTCGGGGTCAAAAGCTCTGGCCATTGGTTGCCATCTACGGCGTCACCAATACGACATCGTCATTATGAATGCTCAGATATCATTTCTCGTAAGCTCTCCCCTTAGTTCTTATCTTAGATTTATTATAAGATCCGATTTCTTGCCGCAATGGGTCGGTAGACGATAATCATTATTACAATTGTCGCAAGGTCAAGTCACAGACAATTCCCATGTGTAACACCGGCCAAGCCACGGTGACAGCCCATATTTTGGTATATCCTACGATGCATGCGACAAAGGAGTCGCCCGTGTCTCGTGAGTATGCTAACTTGTACAACTCTAGGACGGGACATTTCGCCTAATACACATCCCCTTACACTTGTACCCGAACTTCCTTCAGCCAATATTGCAGGTTCTTCTTCCTCAAGGTGACGATGATTCTCTCAGCAACGAGGCCGAAGGTCTCAGCATCGATAATAAGCATGGGTTCCTTAACATAAGCATTACGCCCGTTGAATGTTCGGTTGTGTGCCATAGTAGTTGGGCCAGGAATGTTTTCGAGCCGGTAATTAAGCGCCTACCGCCAAATATTTCCAAGGCGGTTACGATTTCGAAGGATACCTATCTAATTCTGTCGGTAATAAGTGCCGGCATGGATGCTGGAAGTCGAGTGATGGACTTGACCTCACCCCTTGCGTTAGCGGGTGTGCCCATCTTTTTCATTACTACTTATTATTCAGACTTTATCCTGGTTCCTTGCAAAGATCGGCAAACGGTCGTGCAGGTACTTCTGGCCCGAAACTTCGAGTTTGATCAGGACGAGTCGGCCTACGTATCACCCAGCGCAATGTCTCACGTTCGCGGAAGGAGTCAAGGTAGCGATCCGCCATCGACGCCACCACCATCCACCGTGGCAGAATTACAAGTACGTACGTTTGAGTTATTGAAAAAGCGAAACGTCGTTCCGTATATCAGCCCTTACCTCAGCTTGGTACAATGTTCCGGCAGGGATCTGTCTCGGTTAGTCGATTATAGCCGCCGTCCCGCTTTGAGCAGGCGTCTGAGCGGGAATGGACACCGAAGAAGTTGGCTCGACAACGTCGATACCAAATTATATACAAGTCTGATATCGGTTCTAGCCAAGCAACCCAGGTTCCTGTCAATTACTTTAGCTCAGGAAGATCCTCCGTCTTTACTACTTGATAGAGAATATCTAGGTGTTTTTGGGGACTCCATAGTCGGCGATACCGAAGGCGATCTGGTCCCTATCTTTCTCGATCTTGTGAACCTCCCTCTGGAGGCCACGGGCATCGTCTCGGGAGTTGCTGGAAAGCTTATCTCAGAGATGGGGATGGAAGAAACAGGCGTCAGTAGCGAGCTCTCGTATCTTTCTACTGCGCAAGCCGGCGCCGTTATCCTATCAAGCAAACAGGCTATAAGGGCCCTTGAGGTTTTAAAGCCTCTCCTCGCTAAGGACTAGAGGGAGTATAATTGAATGAATGAAAAGGGGAAAGAGTGGTGGTGTGTAGGATATTGGCAAGCACAATACGGAATCACGACGAGACGACATAACAGTTTCCTCACGCAAAAAAACACGGCGTATTGGACAGAGCGGTTTGCATGGGCAGCATCTCGGGTCTTCATCATCAGCAATTTTCGATTTCAAAATCATCTCGCCCCTCCATCGTTGCATCATCTCAATCGGTGTTTGGCGGTTTTTTCTTTCTCTCCTGACAAACAGAGAGAGCATACAAGTTAAAAGGAAGCGCACCGAGAAGAGGAAAAAAGTGAGCAAACATCTGCATCCGGCTACCTGGAATTACAGCACAGGCAGCTGGTCTAATTGGTTATGAAAAGGAGCAAAAAGGATGTGTATGGATGTACCTATGTATGTATCTGTTGTGGTTGGGAATATCGAGACATTCTCTCGATGCTAGTCTTACATAGTACGGAGATGTCTTTAACTACCTTAGGTAGATTAACTACTTAAAAAGACTTAACCTTAGTTGCCTCTGTCATGCTAGAATGCGTCATAGCCCACATGTAAGCTTTCCAGAGGCTACATGTATCAGGTATTGAAAGACCCTGCATACCAAGTTGCACACAATACATACAATACATACACTACCTACCCTGCTGCTTCACACTACACCTAATGCTACCTAGTCGTTTACTAACTGTATGTAGGGCTTGTCAATTATGTCATATGCACATGAGGTATGTATGGAATTTGACCTAGCCTTAACCTTTTGGCTCGTTATTCGCTGCAGCACTAACCAATAACAGAGATCTGGTGACCCGTCAGCCCGTCCAGCGGGGATCCCTTCAGATCCGCTACCCGTGGCCAGCCTGTCAGCATGTCCGCTAGCTTCGCTCTGATTGGACCACCCACGGGCCAAGTACGCCATCGACTTGCTAGTGGTGGTGGTGGTGGCTGCTGCTGGGCCAGTGGGCTTAACAATGAGCGTTTGACGACGAGAGGCGAGGCGAGTCAGGACTCGGCTTACACGGGTGCGTGTCACCGGGACTTGGGGATTGCATGACTACCGGGCTTTGTTGTCCGGGCAAGGCCATGGTTGCTAATATTCATAAGGGTTTCCGATGCGAAATCGAGAGTTCTATATCGCAATATTGGTCAACCGGGTACTAGGTATCCGCGCAGGAATAACATCGGGGCCTTACGATGCGGGCTCTACCCTTTGCCGCCGTAGTATCCGTGGTCGTCGGCCGGGGCGTTACGGCATATCTCGATTCTAGCGATGGATCCGGGTCCCAGAAAGTACTTATGCCTGGTACGGCGGGAGGACTTCGAGATGGTTTCGATCCTGGTAGTATAGTCGCCAGCACCAGAGAAGATGTGCAGAGTCCTGCGTCGTGCGCGGCTTGTGAGGTAGGACTTTGCGCTCCTAGACCGTACCTAATATAACCATACTAATACAGCAGACAGTCAGTCCTTTTGCAACTTAAGCTTATAGCTGCAGCAGGCGACAACTTCTTCATCAACTCCATGACAGAGCTCTGCCAGCGATCCGGCGTACAGTCCCCTCCCATCCCCTCCCTTTTTCTTCCTTCATAGCTACTCTCAGCTCGCTCGCTCGCTCGCTAACTCTCCCGTCCTTAGGTCCAAGACGCAGACGTCTGCGCAGGCTCCATAGCTCTCGAGGGCCCCATCGTCGCGCACAGCTTGCGCGGCCTTGCCATCGGCTCCCGGACGTCGCGGCTGGTGTGCGTGGCGCTCATGGGACTATGCCAGCACCCCGAGGTCTTGCCGCATAACGTCTCGTTCCCGTCACCGAAAAGGTTAACGGGTAGACCGTCGCCCAGTGGCTTGGAGCCGGTGCAGGTGGTGCATTTCTCGGATATGCATATCGATCCGCTGTATGTCGAGGGCGCGAATGCGAATTGCACGAAGCCGATTTGCTGCAGGTAGGGTTGTCCCCAGGCTTAGTTTATATCTACTGTCACCATAATATCCCTTTATAAGTTCACTCACTCACACTACACTTCTATAGGGAATACACCGACGCTGACAAACCCGGCTTCAACGACTTCCCGGCCGGGCGACACGGCGAGCACACATGCGACTCGCCTGCCAGCCTAGAAGACAGCATGTACGCGGCGATCCAAGACGTCGCGCCTAACGCTGCCTTTGCTATCTTCACCGGTGACATCGTCGATCATGCCGTGTGGGATACGTCTGAGTCGCAGAATGCGTTCGGCATCGAGGATGCTTACGGACGCATGACACGCGCCGGGTTGCACGTCTATGGCACGGCGGGAAACCACGAGGCTTCGCCCGCGAATTCGTTCCCGCCTACCTCTGCAAACGGCGACGATGACACTGAAAATGACAGCAGTATCGCGCAATGGTTATACGACCTACTCTCGACGACTTGGTCCCGGTGGATCGGACCACGGGCCGCGGCTACGACGAGGGAGTTTGGTGCATACTCGGTGCAGCACATTTCTAATAGAGACGGCGTAGGGAAACTACGCGTGATCTCGCTCAACACGAACATGTACTACGGACACAACTACTGGCTATACGAGGAGCCTATGCAGAGAGACCCGAGCGGACAGCTAGCGTGGCTAGTAGGGGAGCTAGATGCCGCGGAGAAGACGGGCGAGCGTGTGTATATCATAGGACATATGCCTATGGGGAGTCGGGACGCATTCCATGACGGATCGAATTATTTTGATCAGATTGTGCGGCGATATGAGGGGACTATCGCTGCTATGTTCTTTGGTATGATATTTACCCCTTTTTTGTTACCTTGTCAAGATATATATATACTAACCCGAGACTAGGCCACACTCATTTCGACGAGTTCGAGCTCTCATACGCAGACAACTCGAACAAATCTCACTCTAACGCACTAGTAACCTCATATATCGCGCCCTCCATGACCCCAACATCAGGACACCCCGCCTTCCGCGTCTACACCGTCGATCCCATCACCTTCGGCGTGCTAGACGCTACCACCTACATCGCCAACGTGAGCGACTCGTCTTTCTCATCTCCTTCGGGACCAAAATGGACGAAGTACTATTCGGCACGGGAGGCGTACGGGCCACTAGTCGGAGCAACTGAAAAGTCGGAGTCGGCCGCAGGACTGGAACTGGAAGAGCTAACTCCCGCGTTCTGGCACAACGTGACCTCAGCCTTCGAGCACAACGAAACAGCGTTCGCGGAGTACTTCGCGCAGAGGCGACGGGGGTGGGCGGTAGGGAGCTGCGACGAAAAGTGTAGACGCGCCGAGATATGCAAGATGCGGGCTGCGAGAGCCGAGGATAATTGTATACCGCCTGGCCTGCGGTTGAACGATAACAAAGAGGTTGATAGCGGCCAAGGAGAGGAAGACGAGTGCGGAGGCTCGATTGTACGTGACACATTGGGGAGTTTGGTTGGGAATGTAAATATGCTGGAGCTGCTTGGAGAGTTGGTGGTTGCGAGGGAGTTATTATAGGGGTAGTTAAGCTTTTAGAATACCTAGGTTAGATGAATGCTTCTTTTTCGTATAGGCTAGTTAGGTCCCTCTCGATAAGAATAACTACCTGGGAATCTTCCGTCTAGTTACCTAATTCTCACGATTTGTTTAACGGGTAGTTATAGGGAGAATATATAAACTTCAGCATTACTAGTTCTAAGTCTAGGTGTCTTCTAACTAATCAAAGAGAGTCTACACTCAAATTTGATAGACTAGTTAGAGCTTATGATACTTGTAACTAGTTGAGCAATAGAATGCCATCTGTACTCTGACAATCTCCGTGGTTATAGACTTTGGAGAGTGAGTGCTTGGATTCTAGATGAGAGATCCAGAACACATGATATTTTCAGTCCGCATAACCGTAGGCTCCCATAGTTAACTCAGAGTTCTTTGCGGAACAATAAAGTTGTTTCCTTGCTTCCTTCTTCTTTTTATTTCTTCAAGCTCTACCTCGGGTGGGAGATAGACCTGCAAACCTCCCATCCGGACTGCAACATCTGCTCTGACCGTCTGCGTCTTTAATGACGACGGCACTTATGCCTTTTCCATGGTAGATATCGGACTGTGTTGGATGGAGCTCATACTGCGTATAGTTTTCCCGAAGGCAGAGAACTTTAGAGGTCAAAATTGCTAAGAATTGCTCGTTAGTATGGATTATATTGATAATCGTGTCTTTATTTATACGGGTGTTATAGAAAAACGTACCTTTGAACGCGTCTATTAAATTTGCCTCGTTTGAGCAGGCCTGGCATGCTCGTAGCCCCAGGTCGCCATACGGATTAAAATGGAGGATAGTTTAGGAACGATTTGTGTAGATGTATACCGGGATAGTAACGAGTTTGAGTAAGGTGTTATTAGCATATATTCGCTGTTATCGGCTTCTTATGAATTGGCTTGGTGTATAGTTCGTCAACTTCTACGCCTCCTTTAACTCGGCTTTCGCGAGGGTCCGTATGACAATAAAGCAGACTTATGTGATCCAGTCCTTGGGGGCGGGGGGGGGGATCATTAGGAGAGTTGCATTTCCGGTTCGTTTTCGCCATCAAGCGCTTTGCCGAGTCTTCATATTTGCTGGAGTTCTTGACAGTTTGTATTTCGAAACAGACAATCTTGCGTGGTCAATGTTGTTGATTTCTGTCTCTTAGACTGCTTAATTCCCATGACCGTAGTATAAGGTACCTGAGGTAGAAAGGCTGTGTAGAGTGTGTAGAGTGTGTAGAGTGTATGGGTTGTAGCAAACCAGCCATAGTCACCTTTTTATCTGTGCAATAAAATAATGACTTCCTTTAGAATCTTGATAAGGAGTAGTCCATATATCAGTCAAAATGGTGAATAAAATAATGAGCTTATGGCAGTAAGATTATGGTTGTGGGTTGTGAATTATGAACTGTGAATTGACTGAGTGTTGTGAGGAAGAATGTTGCTTAGGGTTAGGCTTGGAAATTGTAGGCTTGATTCTGAAGGAGCACAAAATAGTTTTAAATTCGAGGCAGGAAGTGCTGGTATTTCTAGTGCTACAAATGCTGCGTACTTATCCAGAGGTACCACGCGAGGAAAGGGGCGGCGATGACCGTAATTGCTCGATGCCTCGGCTGTTGTGTAAAAAGGAAAGCTACCCTGACGATGTGATTTCATAAAGCCGTTAGAAGAGTCTAGCGAGAAGATGATTGATTTTCTTTAGTCTAGAAAGAACGGTCAGCGTTATAACATGAACGATTCGAAGATGGGTGCTACTCCTATCAGGTACGAGGCACGATAACTAGGCTTGCTACGGGCTTACATTGAGATATCAAAGGTGAGCCCGTGATATAATATCACACGTAGAGCAATAGACAGCAAGACCAAGGCGAGCTAGTAGATAATGCATTCGCAGGTCCGTTGACGTTTACTACATCTGAACTAAGGGGCTAAAGGGGTTCAGGGTTCTCTTGATATAAACGGGAGCTTTTGTATTTATTATCCTTATTGGTCGATATATCTTTGAAAAGAATATTCCAAGTTTAAGAGATTTAATCACTCATCTTCTCTACATCAACGGACTCTATCTAGAAATGCATAGATAATTTATCCAGTCTCCAGCTCACTCTGGCTTTCCCTGCCATACTTCACCCAAGAACTGTTCTATCTCGGCGAACTTGTAGTTCGGCAGTCGCTGATTCCACTCATCCGATATGTTCCAAGAACCCTTAGCACTACTTAGGAGCATACCTACGAGTACGCCTTTCAGCATGTTTGCTGCCTCGTCGTCCGCGACGCTGGGGTGGCGCGCTTCCAACTTCCACGATGCTGTTAGATTTCCAGCTTCGAGGTCTTCCAATTCGACTGTATCAATTGTGAAAGGGCCCCCTATGATGTCTACTTAGCAACCCTAGACCTATAAATATCGGTAATCAGTAAAGACTACCCTACCTCGGACTTGCTCGCTAATCTCGATAATTTTCGAGACGGGAAGGCTATTACCCCTGATACCTCCAATTAGCGGCCACTCGCCTTCAAAATCAACTGCTTGAGCTACGACTGCTGCCAAGTCTTGGACAGTGGTATAGGTCATGATAGAATCGTGCCCCTTAACGACAATAGCGCGTCGGTTATGAAGATCAATGAAGGCATTAAGTGGTGTCAAATGTTTAGAAGTCTTATGGGGGGTAGCAAGATAGTTCAAGAACAAGCCGGGCTGGAAGAGACAGTATTCTAGGACCTGTGTCGTGAAGGGTTAGAGTTGGTCCGCGATGAATCAGGGGTACTATCAGGGGTATTATCAGGGGTATTAATTATCGACTTACTTTTCCGTTCTCGTTTACCTTTTTCAAATACTCCTTAACCTCGTCTTTGCCCGTCCACCAAGGCATACCTGCACCGCTACGACTAGCTATCTATCAACCGGGTTTCACGTACTTTTGACAATTCTACAAGTAGGATCAATTTCTTACCTTCCCCACTCGCTCGGCGCAAAACGCTTCACACCAGCTATGACCGCAGCATCAATCAGATTCCTCTGCGCCTTATCCCCTGGGTCTTGAAGGAGCTGAATGAAGGACAGCACGGTGTCAATGCCACGCAAGACTGCAACTAGTTCATCTCTGTTTTCGTAATCGACCCGACGCCATGTAATACCATGCCAATCGCTGTTTTGAATTCCCACCTCCTGTACTCTGGCTTAGAATAAAACTCCACGACGTGATCCGAGATTCCGAGTAGTCTGATTATGGTACCAACCTTCCTACTTAATATAGTAATGTCGTGTTTCTTAGGAGCCATTAAGGCATCAATGACCTCCCGGGCGACTTCTTTAGACAGATTAATATATCATGACCACTTCTCATATCGGGGTATCTTACCTCCTGAGCCTCCAGCAATGACAATTTTACCCATTGTAGTTATAATACTGATATAAATGAAAATACATCAAAAATGATGTTAGAATCCTGGCTTAGAGGTTGGAATGAGCCCATTGTTATATACGTACTGGATGGTAGTGGTTTGAAGGGATTCGCGGGGAGATTTATGGCGCTTTCGAGTATCCCGTGGCGTTTTCGGGCATTTCCTTAACGGGATTGAATTGACCAATAGGGTTCAACCTTTGGAACCCGAAGTTCTAGAGGGACTATTCCTTAAGGTGGCGATTCGGTTTAAAACAAGAGGATAAAATAAGTGTTCGCGCAAGGCTAACTATACATGAACCTAGAGGACATGTCGTCGTGAAGAGCAAGATGATACAAGTACTAAAATTTAACAATCCTAGAAGGATGAAGGTACACTTTGAAGGCGAATAAAATTTAATAGATATACGTATTGTTTCGTCAAATCAGATATCTGAAATATCATTTAGAGCTGTACGTTCAGCTCTCAGATCTCTCATGGTCTTATCATACTCGTTCCGAAGCCACGCTGCGATGTATGTATAGAGGCTACCGGCGCCAGCAACTGACGACTCGTCCGAGAAATGTGAACTAAAAAGATCAATGAGGGCTGACATCTTGTTTAGCTCGCTTAAAACTAGGTGGTTTCTGATTGAAGCTTGCATTTTCTGGTCTTCAATGCCAAATGTTCCTAACGTAGCCGGTACGTCAGTAACGATGAAGCCTGTGGTTCGGGGCAATATTCGCAAGTTAGGGGAACGAGCGTCTGCCGCTTCGTCGGACCCCGAGGATGAAGGGGTTGAAGGGGATGGCCATCCAGCGGCCTGCTGATACCATATTAAAATCCGAGAAATGATTGATGCATGAACCATAACTCTATGGCCAGACTTGGCGCAAGAGCACTCTAAAAGGCCACTGAGTCGGTCGATTGCTTTCCTATTGAAGTGAAGTACCTGATCCAGCCGGGCCGTTACAGTATCCGAGTTAGTATTAGGGGCATGAAGATCCGGAGCAGGGCAGATCAGATCTGCGAAAATCTCATATGACTCCCGGGCGCAGCTATGAGACCCACGGGTATCTTGGACCCCGTGAATTCGAGTACCAACATCTAAGAAGTCAAACTGAGGCCACTGCTCAATATCTATAGGGCTTGATAAATGTAACCCATCCAGCTGGTCGTGGTTATAAGTGCTTGATAATGGGACGTCAGTGTTGCTTTCGGGTGGCAATGTCTCATGTACTTGTCTTGGTTCCTCGAAAGCTAGATTTATAAAGCTCTCTGGATTAGTGTCGGGCCACAATCTCTGCGCTTCTGTGGATGTTCTGATTGTAGTTCCGGAATTGGCTCTTGCAGATAGCCTCCTTCTCGGTGCTCTGCCGAGTTTGCGTGAGATGCCGTATATACAATCGATACCGAGGGTAACGCAACGACGACATCTGGGCCGGCAGCGATCACATCTGACCTTAGCTGATCCACCCGAGTCGCATGAGGATCGCACTTTTGGGCTTGTCATTCTCGGAAGTTGTGACGCGTTTGATAGTCCGTCTGATAATCCAGCCATCATTTTGTGGATAGTACATAGTATAATAGCCAGGAGTTTACGAAGTTTATTACTTGCTTGATATCTAATACGGGTTCTTATCGTCTGTTTTGTCTCTTACCACGGAAAGATGCGTATTGCCCGACTTTAGGAGAGTTGTTTTGTTTTAACATTGATTGACGATTGAAGCCAATGAAACCGCTTGAGGATTGCGCATTCGTACCTTTAACAAGAGGATCTTTTGTATTAACCGAGATTCACCCGAAGGGGATCCTACACACTACCTAGGTACCTATGTACACATACCCTAGTATTGTTAATGCGCTATAAGCTTAGGTACCTACCTACCTAACCAATAAAATCTAAGGTAAGACGGTACTTTCTTTTGCATACAAATCGCAGTACAATCGGATGTACCAAAGTCTCTAGTATATGTGCTGTGTCTACAACTCCTTCTAGGAAATTACTCAAATCACCTAAGTTGCCATCGTATGTACGAATTCCAGGCCTCGCTAAGTGGGACCCCCCAAAAAGTTATAGACTTCCATGGCATAAGAACGACCCTAGAGACTCCATAACGATAGACCCTAAGCAAACCCTACCTCCACATAGTTGGGTGAAGACCCATTGCTTGATGGAGCAACTAACTGTACAACAGTATTACATACTTGTTAGCCTCTTATAGTTTATATAATATTTGCAAGCTCTTGTAGTAATCATCTGCTAGTTACTGCAGATTTAAACTATTCGCCGGCTTTGATTTTGTCAGTAGGTTGGTCTGGAGCAGACCAATGTAAAGCTGGCCCTTACGCTTGGGATGGATTGCGGAGTTCCAGGAGGTCTAACTTGGGATGTGATATTAACTAACAGGAGGAAATGGCCGAGACCATAACCATAGTAGCACCGTGGAAAGAAATGTATAAATCTCTCCTTACTTTAAACATACATAGAACAGCTTGTATACCTACCTAGGTATGGACATGAGCTACTACTCTTGGTTAGGCAAATAACTTTTATAAATAATCCCATCGCCGCACATAAGGTGCCGACCCCCTGAGTGCTAAATGAACACTGTCAATACCACGCGCCTAACTTGTATATGATATAGTAACCCGACCCAATCTATCCTTTCTATCGCGCCTAGTATACCATATACCATATACCATATACCATATACCATATCCCCCATACTGTATTACCGAGTATCTATCTAACACGCATCATCTTACTCAACCTAATAGTAACAACGAAACAGTAAACTACCGCGACTGAAGCCATGCTAAGATCAAGCCACCACGCCCCCTTTCTCAACCCCGTCTACCCCCTTTTCCTCTTCCCATAACATCCCTCCGGCCTCCCTCAATAGCCTTATACACTCCTCGCTCTTAGCCCTCTGCGCCAGAAACATCGGCGTGTTATTCGCGCGGTTACGCGGGTGCACGCTCGCCCCCCTGACCAGCAATTCCTCTAGTATCGCCGGTTCCGGTCCCAGTGCTGCGAGATGCACCGCGGTGTTACCCATGTAATCTGCATGCCGCAGTAGCACCATCGGACCCTCGCCCTCGTCGCGGTCTGCGGCTTCCAGGATCTCGATAGTAGCCTGTAGATTTCCCGTCGCGATTGTATATCCCAGTGCCGCGAACGCCGCCTCTGCTCCGGTCAGACGCTCCGCCCACGAGGTATCCAGGTCGCCTGATGGGTGTGCGAAGGACGTCGTTGCGGCGAGTTCGGTGAGTTCGCCGCGGATCGACCGGCTCATGCGCGCTGTGATCTCTGCTGCGTTATCTCCCTCGCCGTCAGGTCCGGGAAGTAGCGCGAGGAGGTACGAGAGCTTAGTGAGTGCGGCTTCAGAAGTAAGATCGTGGCCAAAGACTACACCGGCACGACCGAGCGCGAACCCAGGTGCGTACAGCGGCGATACGAAGCCGTTTGCGCATTGGCTGACGTTAACAATGATGATGCCGCGTTGGACGGCTTCGGAAATTACTTTAGTCAGACTACCGTCAACGCCTTCGGGTGCATTACCCATCCCGAATGTTTCGAGGATCAACCCGCGTAGGTGCGGCACACGAAGCACCGAGTCCACCATCTCAGGCTTGATGCCCGGGAAGATGCGCACGCAAGCTACATGTGCGGTGTCCACGTACGACGTGACGCGGAACTGTGCTATCTTAGTCGGCCGCCGTACGAGCGACCAGTTCACGTCGACACCGAGGCTGGTAACCTTGGCTAGAGGCGCGCAGTTGGGACTAGCGAAAGCATCGAACGAGGATGCGGAAACCTTGGTCGTGCGATTTCCGCGGAACAGTGTGTGGTGGAAGAATAAGCACACCTCGGGGATTGTGAAGGTGCCGGCTATGATGAGGGAGCCGAGTAAATTATCGACAGCGTCTGACTGGAGTGCAAAGATGGGTGCTTGAGACCCGGTCAAGATTGCCGGTTTACCTAGATCTTCCTATATATAAATATTAGTGACGCCAAAAAAACGCATAACTTTATTCGAGAAATCCATTCGAGCCATAGGGATAAGTTCGAAACTGCATCTCTCTATGGGTGGCATATCCACGTACCATCATAAAAGACAAAGCCGAAGCCGTATAAGACAGAGAGTCAGTTCCATGGAGTACCACAAAACCATCGAATAAGTGATAATTGGCTTTGATAGTCGTAGCGATCTGGGTCCAGCCGATGCTGCTTATACTGGAAGAGTCTAGCAGCGGTGAGAATTCGAGAGCGCCATAGCGGATATGTCTCGAGTATGAACTCGGCGGTGTGCGCAAGCTATCGATGGTAACCTTAACCCCATCTTTAACCGCGGGTAACGGGACTGTGTAAAGTCAGTCATAGTCTTAACTCCCGTGCCCGACACATGCTTATCATAACTGGAAATGCAACGTACCTCTTTCTGACATATCGTTGAACGATAGACGCGGCGCCATAGCATTATCTAAAAATCCATCGACGGGCACGAGGCCGCTCGCCGATGGCTGCATGCATATCGTGCCTCCGGTGATGATGATGAGCACTCTTGACTCGGGATATGTAGTAACTTCGCCATTGCCGCTTGCGACAACTGTGATGCCCCCCATCGTTGCAAGTGAGCAACAGGCAGGAGAGATAGGGCGAGATATTCTCCTTTTCCTTGCTCTTATAAGTTATATCTCTGCCTTCTTCTTAAAGACGCCGTTTAGGACGTGTCTGAGTCGCACGTCCCAAGCTACCAATCAACCAGCCAGCCAGCAACTAAACAATGAAGTTAACGATTATTATCGCAAAGAAAAGCCACGCCGTTTGCTGTGTAGTGGTAATACCTAATCTTCAACTTGTAGTAGTTGTCTCACTTAAAGCTCTTCCTATAAATCGCAGGCTCGTCGGCCAGGATATAAGTATATAAATAAACAACACCAAGAGCTATATCGGAACCCGGTCCCTGGAATTCGTAATACCCTTTTACGTCAAAGAAAGCGGGAAGAGGGAAAAATCGGTAAACCTTCAAGGTTCGCTAGAACGGACGACTCCACATAAGACTTGAACTAAAAGCTAAGGGACAAATACGAGTAGTATTGATTACCTATGTAAGTGGGTAGTAGGGGGTAGGGGGTAATAGATACATTTTCTTCCTAATTTATATGTAGAAGCCTGCTTGGGTTAGGCAGGCTTGTATCTTTACCTTTTGTTAGTTTTATGATGTGCCGGCTTATCTATCTAGTTCCGGATCAAAAAGGAGGAAAATGAGATATATCAGATACTGGCGGATGCACATCTATCTCAATACCCCTGGAAAGGGATCAGTATAGACCAATCAAAAGATGAGCCGATGACGGACACCCCTTACGTAGGTATTCATTCCCAGACCACCACCTATAAAATTTATACATGTATCTAGCATTGACCGAGTATTGGATTCGGATGGTCAAGAAGTTTCGTGGTCTCCCTCCAAGATTTCTTGGATTCATTATTTATCTTGATTCTCTATTGCAATATTTTTTACCGTCGCTTCTTAAACATCGACAATATTCATCTTTCATAAGCCCAACCATCTAACCAGGCATCGAAAACAGTCCGTCTTTGGTGGCGAATTTTGCCATCTTTTGCCATCTTTTGTCGTGCTACATCGTAACTAATCATTACGCGGGCTCTCTATTTTATTGAACCTGCCTCATCTTCTCTTTCCACGTTTATTCCTCTAACCTTGCAAGCAAAGTTGGGCCTGACTGCTACTCTATCTTATTATTCTCCTAGGTAGACCTGGACGGGCCTATCATCTGGTTGGCTTTTCGCGTAATAATCTCATGCTTGTATCCGAATCGTACCCGATAACATTCGTAAGGTAATAAAGTCTGTCTGAAGTTAGTAGCCGTATCAAACATGGAAAGGGAAGAATGTGATTAGACTCACTTCTCCGCATTCGCCTCCTTCTCCTTGAGGTTCTCGAAGCGTTGCTGGCAATCTGCCCAAGCCAATGTCCGCTTCTTAGGTGAGATAGATTTGACAGTAAACCTGAACTGGCCAGTCACAGGCCGGTGATCAGACACCCGGACCTCGTGCCGTCTGTATTCAAGTTGCTGTATTCTACCAAAACCTCGGTGAAGGAGGCGATCGCACCACGCCGGGGAGCGCTTCTTCTCACTAGTGTCGTAATTGTCAGTTCCCACGTCATATTTATACGTAGGAGGGAACTCGATAGGCATCTCGTCGAATGCCCTAAGTTTGAATGCCGGATTCCTCCGACGGGCTACGAGGAGCTGATCACGTTCCAGAAGTTTGGCCAGATTATTTTGCTTTACAGCAATCACGACCGTATCCCGCGACATGGTATCAATGCGGTAATTGAGGTCACCGTTAAGTAGGCATAACTCGTGGTCAAGGACCATGGTACCGTCGCCACCGCCTATATAACTGTCGATACGAACACTTGGGTCGCGCTCTATAGGAAGGAGGGCGGTTTCCATAATTGCGGCAATGTCGTTGTGTCGCTGGTTTGCTGATGATTGTCCAGCCGCAAGATGGCAATTGATGAAGCAGAGCGAAGTATCGTCCACCATGAATCGCACAATAATAGCTCCTTTGTTGCCATGCAAACCTCCCATTCCACGCTTTATCTCGGAACCGTTGATATTGCGTATACGATCACGGAGAGTCGATTTCACGAATATACAAGTAAAGAGGCCCACCAGAGTCGCCGTGTGGAGGAGGTGATAGAGATGTTCGGCAGGCATATAGTCATCCAGGCATCTAACGAGAAAATCTCTCCAATCTCGATATTGATGGCTCATCCGCTCTTGGTCCGACGCATCTTTCTTCTTCGGCTTGAAAAAGCGCTTTGCTGTCGCGGTTTTATCCTCTAGATCAACTAGTTCCTGAAATCCAAAGATAAGAATATCGGGTGAATTGCTCGACTGCAGTAAATTTTGCATAAACGTGGCATCCGACTCAGAGTATCTTAGGCTGTTTGGGGTCGAAGCCCCAGCATTCCATGTCATCGCCAAAAGCCTAATGTCTTCAAATTTGCAATATTGTGCATCGAGGGACTTCATCTCGTTTTCTAAGAAGTCATCTTGAAGTAAACCGTCCCAACACTTTATCGTATTGTCGGCTCCGAGGGTGACGGCCTGGAAGCGGTCGAGCTTATAGACGCTCGAGGGATCGGCAATGATTTTTATAACCGGGTTATCATGAGCTTGCCAGTCCTTTTTAATAACCCAAGGCGACTCTGCAACATCGTACACGCATATCCTCCCGTTATTAAAAGCTGCCCACATATAACCACCTACGCCAGCTAGAGAATTAATTTTGTAGGAGCTGACATTGAGCACGCTAAGACATGTAAAATCTTTTTGAGAGTAGATGCTGACTTTGCCGTCATTGTGACCGAGGAAAACCTTTCCGGGCTGCGAGTTGAGAAGAGCTCCGGATGTAACTTCGCCTGCTCCTTCTGAGACTAGAGGTCTCATGAGGACTTGCAATTGATTCCGACCGCCGGCAGTAGGAGTGAAGATGCGGATTTCTTTGCCCGTTGCGTGCCATAATTCTTCGCCAACTACCATCGAAAAAGTATGTCCTTTAGGTAGCCTATAAGTTTGATGGGGGTTGCCACCAAGATTCGGGACTCCGTCGCTCTCTGGTCCCCAAACATGCAAGGTCCCCCCTTCGTCCAGGGTCCACATCTCGTTGTAATGTCTGTAAATCTTGACTATTTCATGCCGTCCGTGAGCGTTCGTCTTACTCTCCGTGATACCCTGAGATGTGACATCGGCTTCTATAATCTCGCCGACATTGTTGCCAATCCAGACTCGCGTCCCTTCATCTTGTATATCTGATGCAGGTTTAAACGCTACGGCTGTCGCTTTAATCCCCTCTCCGTGGGCGAAGCTCGTGAGAAGCTCGCCATCTAGCAAGCTCCAGACTCGGGTGAGGTGACCGGTGGTACATACATACTGCCCACAAACATCGAATATCCTGGTATCGTATTTGGTATAAATTTCATGGGTGCCTTGCTTGATGAAGGGCGGTCGCCGATTCACCCTGGTAGTGTCTGGGAATTGAGTAACAATTTCTACATGGCCCGTGGGAGTGGGGCCTGAAGATTCAAGAGGGCGGCTATCTGCATCAGTTACGCCCAGCCTTCTTGTAGAATCATAGGATTCGATGGGAGCCTTTTCTGAGGGCCTATCTACTGTTAAGGATCTTCCATGAGTGCGTGGTGGGGGAGGCGCGAACTGAGCGGTTGGTGTTGAAACTACACGTTTAGGCTGAGGGGATAGGGGGCTTTCTATAGTAGCACTGGCAGTAGTCACAACAGGTCTCGGAGGTCGAGGTGGTGGCCTCACGGCTGTATTTGCTGGAATTCGGGCAGAAGCTGGATCCGTAACAGTCTGTGGTCGAGCTGGGAGAGTAGGTTGCTTGTCCGCAAGCTGAGAAGTGACAGGTGATTTGGCATTTCCGTTGACTTCGTAGTCTCGACGTATGGTTGCAATTGTATGGTGGACTGGGGGAGGATCGAAGCCTGACGGCAATGTGTTAGTCCTCGGCACGGTCGTCTGAATCAGCGGTCGTGCTGGCCGAGTCGGAAGCACTGGCGGATCTTCACGATCGGGGCTGCTGGCGCTAGAAGGAGGGCTATTAAACGGCGAGCGCTTCTCTGCAATTTGAGGTGCCAATTCTAGTTTGTTTGCATTGCCCATCAGCCTCGAGAGTCTATTGGCTGGCTTTTCAGCACGATTCACAGGCGGAGGTATCGGCGGCGATGCCCTAGCTTCACGTTCTCTTCTCAGCTCGGCCGATCTTCGCGGAGGAGGCGGTGATGGCGGTTGAGTAGTAGCTATCCTGGGAGATCGGCCGGGCTCGAGTATGGGAGTATGCGGTCGGCTAGAAATCTTCAAGGGTCGAGGTGAAGTAACTGGAGTATTTAGAGTCTTCGAGGGATCGGGGAAAAGGTGGGTATTCGTATCGCTTTGTATGATAGAGAGCGGTCTTGCTTTAATAGGTGGTGACTGAGGTGGTTCAACCAAGACGGCAGGGGTTTTGATAGGTCTAGGACTTAACGGCGAGGGGTTCGCGATCTGAGTAGAATGAAGACCTGAAGTATTTAGGAGTTCCTTTGGCTTGGGCTTTCCATTATCCGCTGGCACATTCCCGCCCCGGATAGGTCTCGTGTCTGGAATCGGGGGAAGATTTGGGGATGGCGACTGATTTCGTGTAGGTGGGGGCTGAGATTGTGTAGCTACTGCACCATCTTTGGGCTTATTCATATTCTCAAAATGAGATCTCAGGGACGAGACTGGTCTCTGCAGCTCTGGTTAGTATCATAGCAAGTATATTAGATTAGGACACGAGGACAGGGGGACAGAGGGACAGAGGGACAGGATATCTTACCAAGGACGAGTCGTCAAGACCATCTTGACCGTTAGATTCCATGGTGACGAGGGGCAGTCTCTATAAGTCTTCAATATACCACCCCTTATGCTCCCACGGCATCACTGACCGAAGAGCTAGTCTCCCGGGATCATCCAACAAGACAATTCCGTAGCTTTTAAACCGCAAGCTTTTAGTGACGCGACAGAGGTCAAGGTCAGAAATAAGAGGTTAGGAATTAAGTGGCCTCTACTTTCGTTCGTGCTCGGTGTAGATCTTCTTCCAAAGAGTACCAACGAATGAATGAGCACGTGGCCGTGTTAAAGCTTACAATTCTGGTTGGATGAGGAAACGATGCTGTCAGACCGAATATTATAGTATCAATGGGATGTTTTGGCCGCTAATTGTAGTCATGTTTTTTTTTCGGTTCTTTATCCCGTCTATTGTATTCCAGCGTTCAACGTCCAGAGCTTCGGCAGAAAAGTTGTAACGCTGTCACATAAAGGTGAAGGTATAACAAATGAGGCGCAGTCCCGAAGAAGTAACGTGCATGGGGTCATACAGTCATGAAAAGAAAAGTTATCATTCGAAGTTTGTCTAGGTTTTAATATGTTACGCAGTCTTCAGAGGGTTAACGGAACGTTTTAATTTGGGTTCTCCTTTGGAGTTTGGTCCCAGACATGCGAAACCTCTAGTGAGTGGCTACTTGTGCTACCGAATTGCAGATCTTTAGGCGCATTGAATATTCCCGTCTGGACTTGAACAAAATGGAGGTGTACCAGTTGTACATGTAGTACAAACTTAGTACTCATATGGACCCCATAACTACCTAAGTACCTACACTACATAATATTCAGGTAGGTACTTCCCAACCTTATGTACCTACCATGACCTAGTACCTGATTACCTATAGCTTACCTGGGTAGGTAAGTACAATACAATACCTACCTAATAACGGCATGCACATGCACTGCCTGTTTCCAAGGTTATGGGTTGGTATGTTGAAGGGAGAAGAAGTTGCAGGTGCCGGCCTATTGCATGTCATAAACCCTGCCATAAGCCCCGGTTGCCGGTAGGTACCAGGTGCCCCCAAACGCTGGAACCTGGACAGCGCCCAGCTCTTGCTACAGAAGGCGACCGCACCTAAGTATGTAATTCTAGACGGTGACTATAAAAAAAAGTCGACCATCAATGGAGGTGCGCTAAAACAACGGGAGTGCTTGCAGGGTTGTACTCGTTTCTATTCTGACCTGATAGGTACATGTAGCCGGAGATCATAAAATAAACGTACCACTTTATGACTTTATGACTTTAACTTTATGATCTTGAATGTTTTCAATCTTTTAACTCTTTTGAGCCTCCCACATTAATCTACTTACCCGCCTCTATTTTTTCTTCTCCCTCAGACATCATTGAGAGAACCAATAAGCCAGGTCTGAAGCGTCCATAGCTAGCATTCAAAATGAACACAGTACGTATGGATCTTATAAAGAGAAAACTAAGTACAGACAGCGCAATTATGCTAACGCTCTGTCCCTAGGTCAAATCGTTCTGGTAGGTAATCGCAACGATTGCGCTGCTTAATGAACTATCTTACTGATGGTCTGCGCTTTTATACAGGATGGGATGGGGCTCCCTCTGCCTTGGTATGTATTTATACTAAAGTTGCGCTTCTGTGGGCTTCCTTCTCACCCTTGTGCTATAGCCGGCGCGGGAGCGTACTACTTTGCGAAGAAAAGCATCAACGCAGACAGGGCCGCGCGCCTCGAGGAAAGCCGCCGAAAGAAGCATATGATCGACTCTCTTGAGTACTCGAGCAATGTCCCCGGCAAACCGCTCTCCGCATCGACAATGGGTGGTTCGACGAACGGAAATGGCACGCCACCCCGAACTGATGCAGCCGGATCACCAAGCCAAGAGGCAAGCCGCGACCCAGCACCAACTCGACATGCTCCGGCTACAGAAGGACAGCAAGTGATAGAAAAGAGCAAGTACGAGAGTAGCGCACCGTTTACGAGTCCAAAAGGCGATCGGTTCTCCTAGTCGTGGTTAAAAGCTAAGCTGGGCACACCCTATAATGAGAATATTACGAAAACATGCATGTACACAATATTATTTAGAAGAGACGGATGAACACAACTCTATTCCCAAAAGTTTCGTCATGGCAGCAATGGTATCTTGATGCGGACCGGTTGGTCGGCTATGTAATTCGGCCTTGAAACTTGAAAACTCTGGATGTTGGCAAGATTGGTATGCGTTACATATGCGTAGATATTTATGTGAATTCCCTCATATTTACCTAGGTTAGGTTAATCAATTTTGGGATTGTATCTGTACAAACGAGTTTGAAATCTTGCGGCTATTCAAGTTGATACTTGAGTTATTATTACGCCGATTGCCACGGCCAAAAAGGGCTGGAAGGTTAAAAAGGGTCTTGTCAAAATGGCTACGTAAATTCCATGTAACGAATTGAACTTTTTCTGCTTCCATACCTTATGTACCTAACCTAGGTAGGTACTTCAATCATAGTGGGATATCGGAAATATTTAATCCGACGCCTACCCTATGTAACACTTATCTACTGGGCAGCCGGGGTACCTGCACCAAGCATCCACAATCTAGCTTAATATGGTTAGTGCTGCAGGTCAGACAGGAAATCTGCCCAAGTAACCAATCAAGTTAAGAGCCTTGCATCTACTGAGTTTCCTACATAGAATTCCATCATCCATCATACCATCATTGTTCTTTACATACATAGTTGTGCACCATTCAACCACCGTTATGTAAACTCGAGAGTATGCGCTCTACCAGCATTGTTCTCATCATCACTTTACAACCATGGCATCGCCCCAGCTAGCTATAGCTAGAGTGTCCTTCTCTGCCGTACTCCTACGTCCGGATCCAACATCATGTTCGCGCGGCGAGATTGACGAGTTCCTTCAGCTGCTCGACGCGACCATCTCGCGATGCTCCCCGCCCAATGTTCAGGTTTGAGCAACACAATCTTTTGAAACTTGGTGTCTTGTACGACAGCTAAACGGTCGCCACATAGAAAAGCAAGCATTGGATATTAAAGAACCTAGTCCAGTCTCCTGTTAGAACCGCCGCCTTGGGGAAATACTTGACGGCAGTGGCTAAGTCCTTCAACTTGGATCTTGCCGCTAGCAGACAAGCCCGCGAGCCTTCTTCGAAACGTAAACGCCTTCATATCCTCTACGTTCTCAATGATACACTATACCATGTCCATATCCGGGACCGGAATACCAACTTCGCGCAAAAGCTAGAACCTGCTATTCCAGACATCATTCAACTCGCTGCTGCCTTTCCGAACTGCCCGAAGCATTCCAAGAAAGTATTGGATCTTATAGACCTTTGGGGCGAGAAGCAGTATTTTTCGGAAACATTTATTCAGAAACTTCGGACTACTGCCCAAGAAGCACCGCATTCAGCAACCAAGGTTGATACGACTATTGACGGCACCCAAATCACAGGTACAAGATCTTCTAAAGATGCCCCGTTCATCATGCCAGCCATGCATGGTGATGCTACTGTGTCATGGTATGACTTGCCTGCAGCGAACTGGCTCCCCGCCATTGAACCTAACTCTACGAGGCCAATGAACCCCGATATCATCAAGCCCTTACAGTTTGTTGCCGGCCCTGCAGACGAGAAATTGGTCAAGGCCGTTCAAGACTTATTAGTTGATGTGGATCGCATTTACAGTAGAGGCCAGCGCGATGTTGACCAGCACACTGAAGACATTGACCAGCACACTGAAGACATCGACCAGCTAGGACAGCGCGTTGTGCTTGATGAGACGACTGGGGACGTTGTCGATGGAGATAGCTACTACGGCTGGTCTCGCGCGTTTTGTGAGAAGATGAAACAGCGCCGCAAAAAGACTAGTGTTTCTGGGAATGGTCACCGTGGACGCGGTACAGCACGGTCTCACTCACGGTCACGTAGTCCATCTCGTAGCTCATCGCGGCCCGCGCACAAACGACAGCGCGTATCTAGCTCGCGAAGCTCTAGTAGAAGCCGAAGTCGAAGCCATAGACGAAGCTATAGCAGAGACCGACATCGGCGAAGATCGTATAGCAGTTCGAGATCTCGTTCTCGTTCTCATTCTCGCTCAAGAGATCGTCTACTCTCGCAATCCCAAGGAAGGAGTCCGCCGCCTGCTCCGCGGTCATATGACCCTCTTCACTTCGCCAATCCGAGCGGAAAGCCGCTACCCGGTTTTCCAAATCAGCCACCACATCCACATCCAAATTCCCAATACCAACAGCATTCTACACCTCCGCCTCCTTTCCCACCACAACCTTTCCCTCCTTTACCCTCGGATCTCAGCCAGTTCATACCACCGCCACCCCCTCCACCACAGAATTACCAGGGCCAATGGCCGCCGCCGCCTCCGATCCCGCCTAACATGCCGCCGAATTGGATACCTAACATGCCGATGGGAGGATGGCCCGTACCTCCCCCACCGCCACCTGGACAACCGCAGCATCATCATCGTGGTGGTTTCCAGCAGTACGGAAGAGGAGGCAGGGGAGATTACCGCGGGCACGGACACCGTGGGGGCTGGGATCACCAGGGCTGAAGTGGTTGGTAATCATACCTTAGGTACCTAGACACGAGCATAGCTTTGGATGCTGGAGCGGTTGTATCATATTTTGCTCGGTATCTGCGCGCAAGGAAACGGCGCATTATCGCGATATCAGAATATCAGAATATAGCACAGTTAATAAGAAAATTCGATATCCCAATAACTTCGTATTGTGTATTAGGTTGCGTAATATTTGAACGCTGTAGAAACCAGAAGAGTTATTCGCGACGACATGACTTGTAGCTAGAAGCAGTTGCAAGTAGTTACAAAAAAAAAGCAATATTGCTCTAGCCTTGTGGTTATCGATATTTTATGCCTGTTTACTTCAACGAAATACCAACTCATGGTGACAGATTGCAATGGCCTAGATATGCTCCCCCCATCCTCGCCTTTTTGTACCTACCTACCTAGGTATATATGAAGATCTATCGTTAGTAAGTCTCTCAAGAGACAGGTAGTTAACATTCATCACATATAAGCATATATCTATTCTAGTCTATTCTCTATACATTAAAATGTAGATATATTTGATATCCAGGTAACCGGCTCCAATAGGGGTTGAATCGAGACTTCATCTTCATTAGCTCATCTCACATTATCTTTTTCTCGTCTAGAATAATAGCTTATGGCGCACTTTCTTCGATATTCTTTTGAAGTTTTCGGGTACCTAATGTAGTTCCTAACCTAGCCTAGATGATGATAGTGATGATCTTCGCTCTCGTCTCGGTAGAAATAGGGATAGAGGAAAGGGGAGGGCGTACGGTAGGAGGGTGGGAGAAATTGCTATGCTAATCTATCTAACTACGTGCTATCTACTACGGTTTGTTTTGGTAAACGTAGCAAAAGTATGTTTCCTGGCGCCTAACTTTTCTTTTGCGTATGTGCGAAAAAATAAAAAGCTAGCCCAGGCCTTAATTACCAACCTGGCGGTATCTGTATGAATTATGCCGTCGACGTTGCCATGCCGTTCATCATTCATCCCTATGCGTGGCTTCTTTCATCGACGGCTAGACCGCCATCCCGTATCCACTAGAAAATGCTAACGTTTTTTACGCCTTGTGCGTAACACCTATTTTGCCCGTCCTTCGAATTTGCAACAGCTACGCTGGTCGATAAGCTAAGGGTTTCGTATCGCAACACACATCTTGATGCAGATCCCGGATCCACAGGTACCAATCGCTGTTGACGTTCTCGCCTTCTTCAATTGGCAATAGTTTCATGTGAGATGAGAGACCAATCCTAATCTTGGGGCTTGGTATATCGCTTATTGTACTGAGTATTGGAAGACATGAAAGTGAATCCACTCATGACCTTGCGCAAGTATTGTTGGGCCCGGATTACTCACGCGGTAATCAGCAACACTTCGTTCAAAAAGTGTACGTTGTTCTTAACGTCTGCTGATCTTGAGGCTGCAACTGGCCGAAGAATTGGTCGAACTGAGGGATGATCTGACGGTAAATGCCGAGAGCCTAAATTCTTGTCAGATATTAATTTTATCAGTCAGAGACTTGAGACTGCTCACCTTCTGGAAATCCTCATGGAGGCCGTTCTTGGTCTCACTACGCAACTTTAGATCTCTATATCGAGCAATCGATGTAAAAAAGTGTAGGAGTGATTTCTCCATAGCCATGGGGTTCTTCTCAACAATAGCAGTGAAGCCCCGGAATGCAGTCGCCTTCTCATCCGACGGATCAACCTCATCCATAGAGACGAGGAAATCTTCGGCAAAGTTAGCCAGATGCGGTGCTAGAAGCTCGCCATTACCGAGTCCAAGCCTCCCCAACGCAATCGCGGCATTTTCGGTTACTCCTTTAGGAATGCCTGGGTTAGATACTATTTCTACGAAGCGTTGGAAAAGCTCTGGTACGTAAGGTGCCATATTAGACTTGTGTCGAATGGCGATCTCTCCTGCGGACCAACAGGCATTGTTAATGACACCGAATCCATTCTCAATCTCTTCGTCGATTATGTTGTCCAGATCCAACTGTCTCAACAGTACCGGGAAAATATTCGGCAATGACGATTGCAGTTGCTCGAATACGTACTTAGCACAGTCTCCGAGGAGCGCGTACGCCGATTGTCGTACTTCGTCTGTCGGATCTTCCATGCAGAAGGTCAAGAGCTCGAAAAATGCAGGCTGAGATTCCTGAACAAGTTTGGAAGATTTTGCCGGATTTAGCGCTTGGATAATAGCACTTAGGAGATCCAAGCTCGTAACTAGAAAGTCTTTGTCTGGCGCATCGAGGGATGGGTTATTTGCTAACGCTAGAGATGCCTCTAGGTTTTGATGAATGATGTTGACACAGCGGACAAAAATAGGTTGCGCATAAGGGGTAAACGCATCGTTCAGTGCCATGGCAACATATGACAGGCACTCCAATAGCGGGAAAATCTCTCGGGACTGGTCGGAGACCTTGGTCCACCTCTCGATGAGGGCTGGCATCAGTTCATTGACGAGATCGGGTCGGGCTAAAGCAGGCCCTATGTGTTCGGCTAGCGTCTGTACACAGTCGTAGAGGATATACATATTCCGGTCTTTATACTTCTTGAAGCAACGGACGAATTGCTGAATGATCGGGAGGCTGTAAGGCTCCAATCGCTTACCGGCTTTCTCCTCGAGATTAGCGAAAGCCGACGCACCAGCTTCTTGGACTTTCTTGTTGCTGTCCAGCATTTTTGTCAAGATGCCTTCCATCATGGGCTCGAAGTAAAGTTGCTTTTGTTGCGGGTCTGACAGATCCGCGGCCCAGGAAGAATAACGACCCAACGTCCAGCAGGTAATTTGTCGGACGACGGGCTCGGGATCATCCAGAAGAGAGATCAGGTAAGGTACCAACTGAGGGAGGTGAGGCGTGACAACATTGATACAACCCTCTGCGACAGCGCCAAACGCGAGTACCGCAGCCTCCCGATACGGCCAATCAGCGTGCCTGATATTTTTATTCAGATATGGCATAATGGACTCAAATACCGGGTCCCTAAAATCACGAGCAAAGACATCAAGTGCAGCTGCAGAGCACTTTCGTAAGGTCCATCGCTCATCCGGAGTCGCGTCATCTCCATCATCAAAGTCATCAATCTCGCCTTCCTCCAGGTCGTCATCCATGCTAGCCAATTTCTCATAAGCATTTCCATTCTGGGCGGAATCCGCAGAACCATCTTTGTTAGCTTGTCGCGCCGATGGCTTCTTTGCGAATTGAGGTTTAATATCCTGTTCAAGATCGTCCTCATCCTCGTCGTCAGATGCGCCGCCGAGGAGCGCAATATCCTCAGCGCTATATACCATGCACTGAAGAAGAACTGGGATGATCTTGCTGATGTACGGGGTTAGGGAATGCCAGAGGTGCTCATGTTCGCCTACCGTAAGCCAGAACTCGGCAGCGTCGGTGGCTAAATCCTCATCATCGCTCTGCTGTTGCGTAATAATGTAATCAACAAGGCCGGGGAGATGAGGCTGGATCTTGTCCGGGCGAGACTCAACAAGCTGGGCAAATGCCCTACACACTTGCCTTCGCACATCGTTACTGGAATCCGCTGCGAGTGCGAATAAGTGCTGGAGCAAATCGTCGATGGAGTTAAGCATGGCCTGGGATTTTCGAGGTGTAAAGACATTGATAGCGGTCAAGGCATGAGCGCGAACCTTAGGCAACGAACTCTTAGTAGCCTGAATCAACTTGGGGAGAATGAAGTTAAGCGGTCGTTCACCGTTCAGCTCGCGCTCCAACATCTTAGTGTTGTCTTCGCAAATCTTAGCCATGGCCGCCATAGCACCTTCCTGTGCTTCGTTCGTAATTTGGCCAGACTCGTTGCCGATCATCTTCAAGAGCTCTGGTAGTAGCTCGGGCCAGCTCATTATACCACCTCGACGAATCATCTCAGTTGCGATAACACCTGCGTAATTACGAATCTGAGCATTCTTGTCTTGCAAACACATAGGAATCCCCATCTTAATCAAGGTCAAGCTGCTGTCGGACACTTCTTTGGTGCTCGTCTTGATGTTATTCTTTAACATAATTGCGGCGGAGGACCGTATAAGAAAGTAATCCTCAGCTGAGCACTGCAGGCCACTTGGAGGTTCCTGGCTGGAGAACAGATAGACGAGGTAGTTGTTAATATCGGGAGACGACTTCGCTTGCGTGAGCATCTGCAAGAGAGAAGCTTCGTATTAGCTCGAATTGCTATGACTATTTATATATCAAACCATAGCTATGGCCTGGTCAGGCATCACAAGAGGGATTTCTTACAATCTCGGCCTGTTTCTGCGCAGCTTTATCGAAACCACTGAGAGAATCCTTGAGACAAGCAGCGAGCGTGCTCAAGGACTCGGGCGAGGGTTGCCACGCCATGATGGGCGGCAAGGAAATGAGAATATCGGGATGTGTGCGCGATCGAAATCCCAAGCCTAGATTGAAGGCACTCTTTAAATGCCTATGATCTCACGATGGTAATAAAAGAGAAGAGAGGAGGAGGGAGGAGGGAAGGTAGGAAGATCAAGCGTTGATTGTCAGGAACATGGACTCTGGGACTCTGGGACTCTGGGGATGGTGGGGTCCTAAGGCGATAGACCAGTTGGCGATAATGGAAAATAAGGTGAGATTATGAAAACTGAAGAGTAGAGGGATGGATGATGGATGGAAAGCTTTGACACCTTCTTTGGTCCTTTTCCCTTTTTTCTTCTTGTTTTTTTTTCTTTCTGTCTGTTGTCCTTCAAAGTTCAAAGTTTAGTCTGGATTGTCGCGATGATGCAAAACAGGGCAAATGACCTGTTGCGGCCAATGTCAATTTCCTGCTGGCTTTGCGAGGAGACCGTGACCTTCCGGTTACTGAACCATGATCTAAGGGCTTAAAATCCTCTTTTAGAAAAGGTTAATGGTGGGGTGGTGCTGGGTGTGGCAGCTTTTACGTTAAAACGTGCTTAGCTCTTTTGAGAAGTGCTACCTAGGCGCTTCATAGTATATAGTTAGTATATAGTACCTATCCTACCTAGCAAACCTGGCAAATATATTAAGTCACAGTACATACCTCTTATAAAATAATTGTCCACCGCCCATCTAACCTAGCCATTATCGATACGGAGGCCCCAACCGATTATACTTACCAAAAAGAGCCTGGCAAGGAAGATTTGTTAGTGTAATAGTGTAAGACGCTCATTGTTACAGCGTTTATTATGTACATGCCTTGTACATACATGTACCTAACGTATTTACACTAGAATAATGTACCTATATAAGTACATGTAAGATAAGTACTTCCCAAGATACCTCAAACTATATGAATATGTATAAATAGATAGATATTGTCACAATTTTTGAGACTAGGTAGGTTCACAAAAAATAGGTATGTAAGAAGTTTGAAGAAAAAAAGGATAAAAAAAGATGCAATGCTATATATTACTCCGTAACGCATAACTTTTTGCATTACATATATGCGCCAAGCCAGTATGTAGGTATCTACATGTACCTACCTATATAAAGTCACTCCTCTGAATCTTAAAACTCCGTTATACGCTATTTTCGAATAGATTGAAGGGACGATCGTAACAAGATACATATATTTAGCTTCGTCTAATGTTACCCCTTAATCACCAAGGTCACCAAGGGCAAACAACATCTCGGAACCGGTTGCTTACTAACAACCTGGAAGTTTTCCATAGGACGGATATATGTATAAGACAAGGGCATCAGAACCCCGGTCAAGTTTTGACATGACTCAAAGCCACGAGCTCGCTTCATACTTCATATCTCCTAGTGTCAATAAATGAGCCGGGCAAGCAACACGTGAAGTAAACACCCAGGCTGCCAGGCCAGGCCGGGATCTGCCCGGGCCTTCGTGTACGCAGTGTGCTATGCTGTCGTAACCTGCAAGGTGCCAAGTCGGACTGGAATACGAAGTATGCATACGTATGAGGTCGATAGCATATGCTGAGATGCCACGCACGACAAGCCCCTGTGAAACGAGAATCAATATGGGTGTAATAATGAGCCAAGCTGCCACTGAAGACGGACAGTGTGGATTTAAGGCAGAGGGTACAGTCAGTCAAGCTTAGTTATTATATGCTAAGACGACACCCTATCGATAGATGATTGAGATCCCCAAGCATTCTGTGTCCTTTTATATGGAGTATGTAGTTGACTGTTGGATGGATAGGAAGCGAGTAGGTACTATGTTGAGAGCAATGTATTGTACGGGACATCACCTAATAAACCAACTCTGCCCATTTCTACCTAACGACAGCTTTGCCAGGAGGCTGGGGTCATTGGGTCGAAAAACAGTCCTCACGGGGCCTTTACCAAGAATGAACATGTTCCACAAGATAGCCAGACATCTGCGGTAGCCAGGATGACCAAGCTCTATAGGTAAGTTTGTTGCATTTCCTGAAGCTACTTTGATGGCGGACGTCGTGTGACTCGGGGATCTGCACAGGAGATTATTTGATCCGCCAGCTCTATAAACGGCGCCTTGCTTAGACCCTGGGTTCCATGGCCCTGAAGAGGTTGTGTTGCACGTGTATTGGGATGATCAAGGATTCAGACGTATGCAGATAGCCGCCCGAGCTGCCGATTCGATGCAGATCAGCCGCTGCCCTGAGCAGTAGGCGACAGGGAGGATGGTGATCGAGTATCTTGAGGGCTTCTGTCGAATAATTTCTCGAGGTATAACATCTCTTTCTTATAATCTACATATCACGAATATGTTAAAGCCTTGATATAGGCAAAGTGCTTAGCGCTGTTGTGCATTAAATGTAATCGAACGATGGTAGCCACTAAATAAACACTTGATAGGTAAATGCTTTGAGTAGATAGGAGAGATAGCGTATAATCCTCATCCGAATACCTATAGGATAGATATATTAGAGTAAAGTGATAAAACTTGAAACTGTCGACTCTTTTCAAATCACATTAACGCTAACAAAGTACATATCAGCTAGAACTATATCGATCTTGTTTTGCAACTGTGGTTTATATAGTCTAAAATAACCCAGTAGAGCGAGGATGAGGCAACGCTCCTGGATTTGGCTTTATAGTAAATGTTAAAGCCAAATGAAGACGTAAATAAGTGTAAGACTTGACTAGTTTTAGGATAGACAAAGATACTCATCATAGCAGAGATACCGAGTAGACAATCTATCAAAATTATCAAGGCTTGATTGAAAGTCATCATATTGCTACTTTCATAGAGCTCAACGTCCTCATAGAACAGCCTCACATAGTAACTCATACCTTAGATACATTCTCGTCATCCATACGCACTTAGAGAGCATGATGTGAATCTATAGTCTATTGATCGATGTGACACTCAATGCTCGGGTAACCCTCCAACGGATTACTTAGTATAAGTTATCGGTTTCTGAGAGCTCGTATGCTGGTAGACCCTGGATAGCTTTACAAGCAGTCCGCATATCTGATTTCGTCTTTTGAAATGCCGTAGTTATAGGTTAAGGTTCTGCACAGAAAAATATGTATCTGCTCTTAGGGGCAGTTGCTATACAATGCGAACAGCATTTCTAAGAACTACCCGTTCCGTTTGGTAGGACGTCAGGCGATTTGACGACGACGCCTTGGAGTTTATCAAGCGAAATTTCAACGACTCTTTTCAGAGCTTCCATTTCCTCCTCTACCGTGCCTCCTAGTCCGGTGTTGGCAAAGCTAATGGAATTGCCCACATACACTGGCATTTGTGTCTTCTTGACTAGGATTTTGGCCAGGCGAGTAGTAAACTCTAGCGTTGCTTCTACAGCGAAGATGGTTGTTGAAAGTGGCTGGCTTGGATTATATTTCTAGGGTTATGTATTTCAGTAAATTGCGAATTTACTTATGGCAATAGCAATAGGATTACATACATCGGGCAAAGCGTAGACGAAGGATCCCATTGGCGCTGCTTGGTCTTCCTCATCTGCAGCTACAGTTGTGAGAAACAGCATGATGACTTTTGACTTGATGGTCAAGCGCAGGTGAATCCTCGTATCCAAAGACCGCGGCAGGGGAAATGAGAGCTGGGTGGGTTCATCAATAGTCTCTGCCATTTCGATATGTTTTTACCGCAGAGCAGATTTAACCGTGGTGTTTAACGAAGTCAATAATATTCAAGGGCGGTAGGCAGTAGGCAGTTGTTAGCGGCTAGCGGGTTAGTGGTTAAGGTACAGCCGCGATAGAGCGATAGGGCAGGCGATAGGGGTGTTTAAGTGAGATTTAGCTTAGGTTTAGGGCAGCTAGGTCTTTAACAAATAGGTAACTAGATGTTTGTTATAACTTCCATATGATCCAGTCTACATAGTACTGTCGTACAGAAGGCGATACCCCACATCAGATCTCCAAAACGACACGACTGGGGTTCCACTAGGGGTAACTACATCTACCTAAACTAAGTGTCTTACCTAAGGGTAGGTATCTTGTATGTAGTAAAGTTCCTCCAGGCAATCTCGAAGTTCAACTTTTTACCATCATCTACCTTTCTTACGCTACATGTACATTTCACACGAGATTGTTGCAGACCCTTGAACTTAGAGACATAGTTTGTTATTATGCAATTGGTATAATCTCTATTCTATATTTCCAGCAAAGATGTGCCAAGGTTAAAGAGAGTTCAGTTATTCAAATAGCCGTGTACCCCTCCATCTGGAGATATCCCTCGCTCATATACGATACATAACGGCGGACCCCCACCATTACCTATCGTAACAGTTCCCAATTGGAGGTGTCGATTATATAATAAGACTATTCTTCGTTTGCTAGCTCTTGAATTTGCTATCATCCACCATGGAGTTAGCGAAACAGGCTTACAGAGATGATTCCCAGTGGAATGGGGTCGAAGAGGCCATCGAAGACCCAGAGGAAATCAGAGTCATATTCTGCGCCCTCGATTCTTTTAGGTTAGTAATACGAGGTTGTTGTGATGTTGTTGTGTTGTTGTTGTGTTGTTGTTGTGTTGTGTTGTTGTTGAATATTGTTTGTTAAGTGAGGTCGCTCATCCGCACACGCTTCTAACCCGTTTATATATACTAACAAATCTCATATAGCCAATACGCGAAGACGGCGCACCTAAACTGCACCCATCTTCGTAGACAGGCGTTCTACGCTCTCCCTCAGGCCCATTGGCAATTGCTCGCTCAGCCGCCTTTTTCGTATCTAGATACGTTAAATCGCATAGACGATGCTATTGAGAGCAATGCGGAGCTAGCCCGCATCATCGTCAAGGTTGGCTTAAAATCCTTTGGCGTACTTGAAGCTGTCTCGGAAAAGGAGCTCACTATGCCCGAGGAATGGTCTGGTGTTGCCAAATATAATGATCTGGATAAGGCCCGGAGCACTATTAGGCAATTCTACCGTGACTGGTCTGCCGAGGGTGCTATTGAACGTGATGCCTGTTACGGACCTATATACCGCGCGCTAAATGATGAGAGGGCAAGACATCCTAACCGACAGCCGATGAAAGTTTTGGTACCTGGCGCCGGGCTGGGACGACTAGTCTTTGATCTCTGCCGGACGGGGTACCATACCGAAGGCAACGAGATTTCCTACCATCAACTGTTGGCATCGTCGTACATTCTTAACTCTACCGAAACCGCTGGCCAACACACTATATTTCCATGGATCCACTCCTTCTCAAACCACAAGAGTCGCGATAATCAATTTAAATCTTACAAAATCCCAGATATTCACCCCCAGACGACATTGGCGGGGACAAGGGAAATCGGCTCCATGGAAATGTGTGCCGCAGATTTTCTCTGCCTGTACGGAGATGAAAGCCACAAAGATACTTACGATGCCGTAGCTTCCGTCTTTTTCCTTGACACGGCGCCAAATCTGATTCGCTACCTCGAAGTAATAAGAAATTGTTTGAAACCTGGTGGTGTTCTTATCAATGTTGGACCTCTGTTATGGCATTGGGAGAATCACGTCCCCGGCCATCACGGATATGATGGAGACGGTGATTACGATGAAAACAATACTTCAGGCATTGCAGACCCCGGAAGTTTCGAGCTTACCGATGACGAAGTTGTCGCGTTGGTGGAGCGTATGGGTTTTATCCTGGAGAAACGAGAAACAGACCTACACGCCCCTTACGTGCAGGATTCTCAGAGCATGCTGCAAACGGTATATAAAGCTAGCCACTGGGTCGCGCGAAAGCCGGAAGACGAATCTAATTTGATGTCTGAAATCTAGACCTGCATATTGGTGGAATCCGGGACGCATCGCATCTGGTATCGCAGCTTGATTTTTGCAATGATATTATCTAGACATACCTAGCATTGTAGACCTAGATCCTAGATCAAGGTACATAAAGAATGAGAACATGTGTAATGGCTCGAATATCATTAATCATGGTAAACAAAAACTCCTGCTACACTGGCTATGCCACCAATACTATACATACAGATCATAGCTTAGGCTCCGCCGACCCGGCTTCTAGGGAGTGCGTATCCCACAACGCACCACCATCTATCTGTATCGTCGCGCCGTTAACATGCGATCCTGCCCGACTCGACAGATAAACGACCACGCCGGCGATATCCTCAGGCCTACCGAGCCGCCTGTTCGGGTTGCGCGCAGCGTACTTCTCGAGGCCGCCCGTCATGGACAACAAACCCGTCGCCATCTTAGTCGGGAACCAGCCGGGGCAGATAGAATTAACAAGAATATGGCGCGGCCCCAGCTCGAGCGCCAGATTGCGGCCCAGCGCAATGACAGCCGCCTTGCTCGCGCTATAGCCAAGCGTAGCCTGCGGGCCCGTGGTGCCGACGCCCAAGCCGGCGACGCTCGAGGTGATGATGACGCGGCTGGGGTCCTCGACGGTGGCGCGCTTCTCCAGCAGCGGCGCGAACTTCTGGATGCACAGGAAGACGCCCTTGACGTTCAGGTCCATGACCTTCTGGAACGCGCTGTCGGGGTGCGTGTCGAAGGCCTCGCCCCAGGTGGCGCCCGCGTTCGCGAACAGGATGTCGACGTGCTCGGTGTGCTGGGAGACCTGGGCCACGAGGGACTCGACGCCGGCGAGGGTGCTGCTGTCGGCGGGGACGGAGATGGCGCGGGCGCCGGGCTGCAGGTTCGGCAGGGCGTTGAGCTGGGCGACGGCGGCGTCGCAGGCTTTGGCTTTGCGCGAGGTGATGAAGACTTTGGAGCAGCCGGCTTGGAGGAAGCTGGCGTGTGGGTAGGTAGAGGTTAGCGACGATGCGAGAGGGGAGTGTTGTGTAATTGCAATTGTAATTGTAACTGGAATTGTAAACTTATGGGCATAACTCACGCTGAAGCTCCGTTTAAACCCAGACCTCGAGAGCCGCCTGTGACGACGGCGACTTTACCCTTGAGGGAGAAGAGCGACGGGAAGTCGGTAAGAGCTGCTTCGGCCATGATGTAATGTTATCTTCGAAAGTAGAAGTATATGTAGAAGTATAGGCAGCGTGATAGAATATATTCTAGTTGATCCGATGGCGAAAGAAAATAGTCGTTGGTTGGTATATTGGAACACTCTTCTCTCTATCGAAAAAAAAAAAAACAAGTCTCGTCGTTATAATTCTTGACTAGGTAGGTTAGGTAATTATTAAAACAAGAAGTTCAATGTCAGGACCATTGGACAATGTAAGTCAATTCAATAACCTAGTTGCACCTCCTATCGATAGTGATGACCGAGGAGTTTGCGGGGACGTGCCGAGGTTCCCCAACGGAGATGGGCCGGGATGAGGTTAGATTCAAGATCTTGCACGGATGGAATCATCCTCTCCTCTTACTACATATGTACATGGTAGGTTCATGGTATTATCAAACAACAACTAACCTAGGTTACCTAGTTATATTGGAATTGTTGGAGGAAATTTAATTTGTGTAATATCCATCTAGAGGATTTACTATGTATACGAATATGCCAAGCGTAAATGTGATATGTCTTTCCCATAGGTATCCAGAAGTCTTATGTAGACATTGGAACTTAGACAAAACATTCCCTTATCAATATATCTTCATATAGATCAGACACCTACCACCACTTCTCGCACAGCACCCGATGGGGTTCCATCCCCAACCCAGCCTTCGTATCAGTCAACTTCAGCACGAACTCATCCGTCATAGTAGGCACACCGCATACATACACAACCGCATTCTTCCTCTCCTCAGCATCACCCACCGCCACCGCAATATCATCGACCGTCATCCTCCGCGCTTGAAACGACACATCACTCTCTCTTCCCTCGCCCTCGCCCTCGCCCTCTCCCGCACAATGCACAACCCCATCCCCTTCATCCCCACTCCCACCCGTAAGAAACAGCCTTAGCTGCCCCTTCACCCTCCCCGAAGCAAATATCCCAGCCAGCCTCTCCACAAACTGCAAGCGGTCCGCGTGTCTACCTCCCGACCCATCATCTTTCAGCGAGTACAAAAACTGTACCTGGAACAGCGCATCCGCGCCCGTCTCCGCGATACTCGAGAGCATGCTCATCAGAGGATTAATCCCCACGCCGCCAGCGACGAAGACCACATGTCTTAGAGCTTGCACATCGATACCCGCGGGCGGCCACACGAAGCTACCTCCGACGCGGACCCGTAGTTCCGCATAGGTAATCTCATCTGGGTTCTGCCATAGCCACGCCGCGGGCGGATCAACCGACTTTTGTACCGCGAGCTCTACGTACCCCGGACTTTGAGCATGTGCTGATCCTGGGGAGAGATGGGGCCGTGCCAGAGACGGCGGCGAGGTGATGGTGTATCCGCCCGCCTTGGATACGCCCGGCACGAAAACGTCGAGCCATTGACCCGGTAAGAACTATATTGTAGAAAAATAACGATACGTGTAAGAAGGTAATAAAATCGTTGCATAGTGCTTGCATCAAATAACATGCAAGGGGCTAGAAAGCAGAACATACCCGAAGAGGGGCCGACAGCTCAAGGCGGAAGAGTCTGATTTGGTCATTGATCTCGTCGATCTTAGTCAACGTGACGATGTGTAGGGACTTGTCAATACACGTTAGTAGACGATCCAGTAAACAAAATTATTATTAGTTTGGGTAAATATACCTCGTCCCGCGGTTCCGCTGCCGTCCTTTCTAGGTGGCTAGGCTTCGGTTCAGCCATGTTGGTGAGATAATAGCACAGTATTTCAAGTCAGCGGAGCGAAGTACGCTTTTGACAGTGTCGACTAAGGTATTAGATAGTATTAAAGATATTACTCATGAGTTGTTGCAGGTTTAAAGTAAAGTACGTGATCATTGCGTAGTAATATATGAGTTGAGGTTCTGGTAAACCCCAATGCAGCCAGCGGGGTTTAGATTACTAGTAAGACGTAGTAGATATCAAACAATTGCTTAAGTCGCACCATCAATTACAATTCATACGGATTAATATATATAAGCAAGCAGGTAGTCTTAGATGCCAATTTGCATATGGCGTAGTCGATTCCGTATACCTAGGTAGGTACCTACCTACGTATCTAAGCTACAGAAGTTAATAGTGCCTATACGAGCTAAGTTTCTCTGGCGCAGATTCAGTTATAGCAACATTACGCTCGACAATCGGCAATATGCAACAGCCTATCTAGATCCAGTTACCCGCAGGGGCTTCGTTTATGTATCTAGTGTCGTGTGTAGCACTTGCTCGGACGTCGCGAGGAACAGCTTTGCCGCCAGAACCTTTGATATCTTCATCGTCTCCCTGGCGGACAGGAAGTTCTATCATCGAAGAACGACCGGGGAGCTTTTCTGGACGTGGGCTCCATGGGTCCTTTCCTGGTCTACCTTCATGTCGCAAGGGTGATGGGGTCTGCCCAAGCCACTCTCCTTCGGTGACTTTTAGCTTGCCAACATCAGGGAAGCTTACATCGTTAAGCAAGTTTGCCTGCGACTTGGAGAGTGGCAGCTTGGCCTTAGATTTTGGTGATGGCTGAGCGATGGGAGAGTCAAATTGGTTAAGCTGCCGTTCAAGTACGCTGCCAGTCGTTGGAACATAGCCGGTCGGGGAAGGCCGTGCTGGTGAATTCGACGCTTCGGTAGAGTCCAATGAGGCTGCATAGTCCGAAGGCGACTCATCCTCCGGTTCGTAGGCATTCACATCTCTCAATTCCAATGCTTTAATTGACGCAGATGGTAGGAAGACCGACTGCGCCGTACCCAGCTTTATCTCCTCGTTCTCGAACTCTTCGCTCTTGACGTATCGTTTTAGAGACGGGGTCAGAGATGGGCAGCTAGAACGAAGTGAACTCTTGGAAGCCTGCCTAGAACTTGTCTTGGGAAGCTCTGGCAATGGCCTTTGTAGCAACTTAGCTAAAAAAGCCTTCCTCTTTGCCTTATCCACATCTTCAACGACAGTAGCAGGTGAGTGAGCCCCCGTGAGTTGCGGGGGGCTTCTCAAGGAGTATTCCTCTACTTTAGGAACTTCCGACGGGTCCGAAATAGCCATGCTAACGGGCTTGATGTGATCGTCGAACACGTTATCATCGAGGAACTCTACGCCGATAGCGAGTTGATGCGCGGGTGGAGAGGAGGTCGCATGGGCAGACTTCTCTCGAAATTCGGGGCCTGATGAGTTACTTGAATTTAGAGATGCCGGTCGAAATCCCGTTTCGTACTTCGGTATCAAGTTTCGCTGCACGAGATATTGAACGGATCGGTAATAAAAACAAAATGTCGCGTAAGGCGAATCTCTTGCATCCTCCAAATGGTATTCGTAGAAGGTAGCATCTTGAGGATTATCAACCAAGCCGCCACTAGGTGACCTGAAGACGATTAGCTAAAGGAACTAATATATAGGAGACGTTATTTAAGTAGCCTACGTGATTCCACGACGTTCTTGGCGAAGGTGTGAATAGGGGTCTAATTCGACGGCGATGCGCTTTCGTCCTCGACAGCGAAAGACTTGGACCTCGATCAAGCCACCATCTTCAGAAGTCAAAGTCTGGTCGAGGCCATGCACGAAATGGAAATATCGCGTCTCTATGCCTATAGGGGTGTTGCCGTTCTTGTCTCTCAAACCATCACCAGGCTCGAAGAGGCTTCTCGACACACTCCCTGTTGCACAATAAGTGGTGTCGATACCCCAGGAGACAGCAGGATGGCCATTGATAATCATCTTAAAAAAGACGAATCTTGAAGGTGGTGCTGGCTGATGAATGAGGTATTTGAGCCGAAACTGAGAACCTGAGAGCCAGTTTAGATTGGATATATCAATGATTTGAAATATCAGGGGTAAGACTTACCAGGGCTTGAAGGAATATAGACCGATACGCGGGGGTTAGATTTCTTCAGGGTGGGCTCGGCATTAGGATAGTTAGAGGAAGAAGAAAGGTGCAAGCCATTTCGCACCTTATCTCTTAGATCGTGGCAACCAGGACCAACCCTTGTGAGACGAACAGACGATCCATCCGGGTGAGGATACTCGGGTAGCCTCTTAATATCCGAGCTGGCTACGATGGATATCTCAATGCCACGAAGAGAGGGCATGTTGGCAAAACAACGAGCGTGAAACACGCCTATATGTCCAAGGATGCAGGTACGATACCACCGAATCGATGAAAAAAGGGAGAAGTCAGAGATATTTGAAGATGGTAGAAAGGAAGAGTAAGCGCATTTAACAAAGCAGTTTGGTGGGCAGCAAGGAAAGTGCGTGTATGTGAATCACGGGCGGCTGCAATAACGGCTTGCTCTTGCCTAGGTATCTCTTGGACGTGCCTACCTTATAATATACCTTACATATGTGCCTAATGTAGTGGCTACAGGTAAGTGACTACCTACATGTAGATGTACACATGTACGCACTTGCCCATCTTATGATAACAATGTAGACATGCTTGCACACGTGTATTTTTTTCTGTTTGTATAGCTTCATCTCTTAGAGTAATGAATGTATAATGGTTTTTCATCCGAAATCGAGATATGCCTGGCTAAACAATCTCATTAAACTTACTAAGCCTGCAAATATGAGCCTGGGCTAGAGCTGGCCAGCATTAAACCTTCATCGTGTGTATGAGTCGCAGTGGTGATTTAGTGATACAGAGTTGGTATCATTATAACGTATACCGATGCTTCTATATTTGTGCCTTGGGTTAGGAATATCTGAGCAATATTGGTCCCTGATATCTGTAGCAAGGCTGCGGTCATCCTAAGCAACTGATCCCGCTGATATAAAGGACGCCTATTTCGGGTTTCGTTGATCCTTGAATTCATATGCATCGAAGACCTTAAGACCTTGTACGTACACAGCTCTGCCTCTTTTTTGAAGCATCGTAATCATCCGCCAAGGACCTGTTTCGTATCCTCCTCCTTGCCCAACAGGCCTAGGTTCCTTATTTGACCAGCACTTGGCGCATTCTCTCGTGCTGACGATGCTTCTGCCTTTCGATATGCAGCTTGCAATGCTCTTACTCTCGTAGCCTATTCCGTTTAACAAACTTTAGTCAGTCGTCCGGCTAGCAAGTGGCTATAGGTAAATCAGGTTGGATTCTAACCTCCTTCTTGTGATGTAAGCACTCGTAGTAGTCCTCTAGAACGGGCGCGCACTTCTTCTTCCCCGAGTCGTCCTCTGCCGAGGTATTCACAACGTAGCAAGCTAGAACCTCTTGCCAGAAGGGAAAGCACCGGCCCGGACCTATTCACCCAAAATATGTTAGCACTTCCGAACCATTGGATATTCTTTGATATACGGACCGCCATGAAGACCGTATCCGGATGACATGGCGTCGAGCTATGCGTGTGGAAGTAGACGTCGCTCGGTGGTTATGGGAGGGAAAACGCGCACTCAATTGCGGTTGCTGAGACAGATTAGGTTATGTCGTTCAAGTGCTCCAGGGCCCTGCGACGTTCCGACGAATGATGCTGTATCCTGGACGAATTAGATAAGCTTTGGGTCTGACGAATTAAGAGGTGGCCGTTCTTAAAGCTTGACCTGACTAACTGTATGTGGTTTAGACGTGGGTAGTTGCAGCTTAAAGTGGTCTGTGCATTAGACTTGTGAAAGCATTTGGTATACCTACCTATGGCAATGCTTTATAAAATACCTCTTGTATGATTAAACCTTCAAAATGAGCAATGATTGGTTTTAATTGCTAGGAACAACCCTAATTGGAATACATATCAGTCTACCTATATTACGAATTTCTAATCATGTGCATGTATAAGTGCATGTATAAGCCGTGTATGTTTTGTTTCTTTTTCTTTTTCTTCCATGTCATGATAACATGTACGTCATATTTGGAGATGCATGGGCTAGGTACATGAACTTACATAGGTCCTGCCCGAAAGCCACATGCATGTACAAAGTACCTAAGTGTCTAGGTAGGTTAGGTCCACTGTAGAGCTGCCCGGCCGGAGCTGCCCAGGTTGTAAAGTGTAGGTACCTTAGGTAACTAACACGTTTGAATCTCTCGAATAGCAACTTTTATCTCTTTACTTGCCCTTCACTCAACAAAGCCTCTGGCAATAGCAAGCATTACCCAACCTCGTTGGGTTCCCGGCTCCTCTGCAAACGAGACCATGTATATAGCGCCTTAAAAATGATGACAATTCCCTCTGCGCCGCGCATCGTACTCCTCGCTACGTACCTAGCTGCCAAGTCCGACATCGAGAGCTTGACTGTGCTCGCCGCTCAGCATAGCAAGGTCCTACGGCAGGACTTATTACTCCGAATACTATTAACATGTTTACCCGAGACCTTGCCGCCTAGCGAATATGTCTCCCTCGTTCAACACCTCGAGTCGGGAAGCTTGGAAACGGATGTCGAGCCGCGAGAGGTTGATTGGTCTTCGGTGGAGGACTTCACAGACGATGAGGCCGCAAAGAAGGTCCGTAAGCTACGACTACTTCCTCTCGCATGGGAGGGCGCGCCTAAGGATGAATCTCAAGATTTCATATCTCTCTTTTTAATCCACCGCGCGCGTCGGGTCGACGAAGAGGCCGGTCTACTTGCCCAGCTGCCCGATCTAATAGTACCATTCCTCGACCATGCGCCCGCTATTCGGACATGGATGGTTTCGGTTTTACTTCCCCTCCTACGACGGAACCATGAATATTACCCACATCATCCAGCTGTCCAGACTTTGTCCGCCTTCGAGCGCATGAACGATCAAGCCGCAGTTGACTTGCTACTGTCGCAAACCGGCGCAAGCGAAGAAGATCTCTCCCACGTTGGGAGGGACCTTCGTGGCCTAATAGGTCCGTGGCTATATAATGACGCGAGGTGGGCTCGAGGTGATGAGAATGAGCGCTCTTCGGAACAGGGTCAGCTCGCATCATATACTCTCTGTCCAGGGTGGGAACATGTCCTTGAGTGGATCACAGCGCAAGCCTCCAAGTCGTGGAAAGTTGCAGTGAGAGCTATAGATCAATGGGACGGCCCAGGTGATATTGACCTGGGCGGCTATGCTTCTATGTGGCTAGAAGACGATGAGCAGGGGCATCTAGAGCAAAGATACGCTCGTGCTGCGCTGGCTTCGGCATATCTGATACCGGAAGCTTCACTCGAAGCATTGACCGGTGTCAACAGCATTGTCACAAAGATTATGGCCTTACTAGATCAAGACCCCTGCCCTACTTTACAAGTTGCCTCGTCTTTGCTCCCGCCTTATACTGATCCTAGTGGAGAACGCCTTCTGTTGGCTAAGAACGCTACTTATATGCGCAATGATTTGCTCGCAGATTCAAACCCGCTTACTGCACCAAATGAGACATCTACACGACTCTTACATATCTTAACACTCAGTGCTTTCATCTTAACCAAAGCCGATGCTTCTTGCACCGTCCGAAAAGCAGGAGAACTGGCTTTTCTGCAAGATGAACAAGAACAGAAGGCAACAGCTACGAAGTATATCAGTAACTTGAGTGGAAATGGTCCCAAAAGCGACGACAAGTACTGGATCAGGGCGAGAAATGAGCTTTTATGGCTTCGAGATTGGGGCGCAGAAGAAGCTCAAGGCTCCCCCAATACTCGGGTCCAGGGGGTCTTTAGTCGGCTAAAGAAGGAGTTTCTCGAGGTTGAATGCCTCAAAGCCTTTCTAAACAACACACGTAAGGCTCATTGCACACTTTTATTAAGACCACATGCTAAAGTTATCAGGCTACTCCCTGGCGAGGTCTATATACGAAGATGCGCCTGAGGAGCCCCTTGATAGTGATGTATTACGAGACAATATCGTTTCTTGCGCAATGAAGGCCTACGATAGCGCATCGAATCCCCACCGCGGTCGTGGTGGTCTCTTGAGATGCGACGACATGTAAGCTTTCTCTAATCAGTATGCAGAATATTCCTCTAAGTGATGTTAGAATACATGCATTTCCCCAGACCCTACCAGAAACGCATCCCGAGTCTAGAAGAATTGAGGCTCTCTTAAGGACCACGCATGCACTCAGCGAATACCGCTTGACGCTGAAAAAAGGAGAGCCGTTCATACCAATTATGCTTCGGGTCCATCCAGATCCCATCTCCATAATTGGGAAGGTATTAGAACAGAATCCCAAGAGCTACACCCGGGTCCAGGACTTTCTTGAAATCGGCTCCAATATGGCCGATGCTGGTCTATTAGCTCATACTAAACCCGGACAGTCCTACTCAGCAGCAGAACAAGCATGGCAACGGCCAATCATCGAAAGCCGGATCATAGCTATGTGCGTGGATGCCGCACTTACAGAAGATGACTTCGAGACAGCGTATTCCTACGTCGTCAACCGCCTAGCCGCGGACAGCAACGGTCCCTCCGTAAATTCCGGGGTCACCTCGAAATCCGGCCCAGCTCCAATAACGGATGACTATTCATGGAAAGCCGCGTTGCAAGCGGGTAAGTACCGCCGGACAGCACGTACCATCAAGCCCACGCACATCGGGACAGCCAACGGCAACCTCGATATCCGACACCTGGAACAGAGAATGGAATGTCTCGCAACTGCGCTCCGCATCGCACCGCCCGCGACTCTGCAAGAGATCCTAAATGTGTTCCGCAAGTGTGAGGAGGAGCTCAACGCAGCGGCCAAAGCAGAAGAGGAGCAGGAATCGGCGTGGGACGATAGGGGCGACCTGGAGGTTATGCCCGGCGCTTTTAGCGGTACCGTACCGGCGGGCGTGGTAAGAAATGCTGCCAAGGCGTCGTCTTCACGCCATGTTGAGGAGGCGCCTATGTCGCTGTTCGACCTGTCGCGCGCTAGCATGGCCAGGGCGCAGCGCAATTTGACGGCCCTGTCTAGCTTGCAGCGCAGCGAGAACGCCAGATCAGACGAGGCCCGTGAAGACACGGGAGAGCCGCGGGCTAGGAAGAGGGATCAGCTGAGGGATGTAGCGGTCGGGACGTTGGCGTCGGGTGTAGGATGGCTAATTGGGGCGCAGCCTGTCGACAGGGCTGGCGAAAAGAGTTAAATGGGACGATGGAATAACGAAGTTTAGGGGGTTATGTTTGGGTGATTCTACTGTTGCACTACAGCATGGGGATAACGATATCGAATTCAAAAAGGGGTTCATGGATGCGGATTCAAAAGTCTTGGTTTTGGGTAGTGTCTGACTACAGAAGATACGTATCACCGTGATATGATGTGGCGCTTCCCGCTCATAGGGAGAAATGGGAGTGGACATAATTTACGAAGAGTGAAAGGAAGCGCAGTTCTAAATAATACATGAGATTAAATGTGGTCATTTCATATATTCCGCATCTCGTACACAAGAGGGTTTAGTAAACTAACTACCTCCTAACCTAGGACACAAGTAGATATATTTACCCAATCTTAAGCAGTTTGGGAACCAACGTCCCCTAAGTACGCCAGGGGTGAAGCCTTCATCAAATCTATGTCAACTCAAGTATGTATTTCTCTCCTCTCGACCCCCCCTCCAGCGTCTAACCACGCCCCATCGTATGCTAACCCACGCTATCGCCTTATTCCATCCTCGATCCACTGCTGCTCATTAAGCAATATCAGTTAGCGCTAAGATGCTACGATAGAGTTGCGCCGAGACGTACAGACCAACAAGAAAAATCCAAGGCAAGGCAATGAATGAAGAAAGCAGCCGGGCATGCAAAAACAAGATAAACCCAGCCCAACCTATTCTACCCCTAGATACCTCACAGCTAACCAGAAGAAAGAAGAAGAAGAAGAAGAAGAAACAAGAAATAACTAGGTTAACAGCAAAACTAAAAACTTATCCTACTTACCAAGGCCCCTTTATGCCCCCTTTCCATCAGACACCCATCCACCCCCCCTCCCCCCAATCCCCTTCTCACCTTCCGCCCCTCCTAAAAGTCAAAGTCTGCGTCCCCCCAAACCGCACATGATGCCCCTTCTTGCGCCCGCGTCCGCCCCCACTCTTCGCAACGCCCGCCGCGGCGCTCTTCAGCGGCAGCGCCGACCGCAGCGGCCTAGCCAGCTGTTGTTGGTGTTGGCCCGCTGGCCCCGAAGCCGCTCTGTTGCTCTCGGAGAGGACCTGGGCTTGGAGCTGCTGCTCGGTGTCGTCGGTGTCGCTGGTGTCGGCTGGAGGGGGTAGTTGGAGCGGCTGCAGGTTCGGGCCTGGGTGGTAGAGGGCCGTGTCGACGTCGCTGCTGGTGTAGTGCCACCATGGGTCGTTGGCGGTGATGGGGTTGCTGCTGCGTGGTGGCGGGGGGGCTGGGTCGGTTTCGGTGGGGGTGGGAGGGAAGAGGGAAGGGAGAGGGGGCAGCGCGGAAGATTGGGATGGTGGTGGACGTGGTGCGGGCTCTGATATCGGCAAGAATTGCTGTTGCTGTGGTGGTGGTTGTTCTTGTGGCTGTTGCTGCTGCTGCTGCTGCTGCTGCTGCTGCTGTTGTTGTTGTTGTTGTTGTTGTTGTTCTGATGACTGGTGTGGCTCCAATACTTGTTGCTGAACCGGTATCTCCTTGGGCTGTTCCACGAGACGAACCTCCCTATCTCTCTTCGCATTTCGAACCTGTGCCTTAGGTCTCACCACCGACGCGTTCTGATATATTACCGTGATGGGCCTATTATCCGGGGCCTGTTTCCTCACGCCCGAGGGATTATAGTTATTGTTATTGTTATTGTTATTGCCATCGTTGGACTGGAAGGTTGAAGTGACGGGTGAGTCGACAGGGTAGCGGTACTGAGCAACGGGAACGTTTGCCGGATCTGCGGGATCCGGTAGTGGTTGTTTCAAATACGGGTTCGTGTGGACGGGCTGTACGGGCGTAAAAGCCTTTGGCGTTGGCTGAAGCGTTATCACCCGGCCGGACGGCCCTTTCAACGGTAATCTCGGCGGCGTTGGTAGAGGACCGCGCATCATATTTTGGTCGCTCAACCTCGCTGGCAAAATAGCCGGGACCCGAGAGTATTGAGTATACTCAATATTCATCTCTGCCCTCTCAAAGCCAGCTCGTATTCTTTCAAGTGAGATCTTGGTGGTGATGTTTGCCTCTAAGGGGAGTCGCTCTGCACCGGGCCTGGACTCGTTTTGCTCCCTTTTATCTGGATCCCACGGGGTTGGGTCTGGTTTATCTGTGTCCAAGTATCCCGGATCCCATCGGCCGTATTCTTCCCCCATCTCCAAAATCGACTTCAACGTCGGGAAGGCTTTCTCTTGTTGCTCCCAGGTCATGATCCCTATCTCTTCGGCAGGCTTGTCGGTACGAACGGGTGTACTGTCTGCTTTGCTCTCATTCGAAATGCCAACATCCTTCCACTGTTTAGGATCGTAGTACTCTGGCTTTGGAGTGGCGGGTTTGTCTTGTGGTCTTGGGTCCTTCTCCTCTTCCACGTGCGGCGGCAAATGCAACTCTGTATCGTTTTTCGGAGGCCCCTTTTTCGCGTATTTGGCGATGACCGGTTGCGCGAGCTTGTCCGCCCAGTCTCCAGGTCCTGGTGTGGCTGCGACTCGGGCCATCAAGGCCGCTGCAAACTTGGATGTTGGGAATTCGGATTCGCTACTACTACTTAACTCGGTCATGTTGGTATCACTGTCGTCTAGGTAGCTATCATTACCGTCACTAACGTCGCTTTCGTCGCTGTCGTTATAACCGTCGCTGTCGTTATGAACATAACCTATAGCTGGGCGTTCCCCCCGGGATTTCTTGTTAATCAAGTCCCCAACCATCCTGGCGACTATCTCCTTAGAAGAACTCGGCGTGCGATGGACATCGGCGTGGCCTTGCCCGGTTACTAAGTTTGTCTTGCGGTACTGATGGCCGGCAGTAGCGGCGACGAGTAGCTGGACTGAGGTTCGCTTGATGCGGTTTCGATACGACGCTATTTTCCTGTCGATCTTGCTGTTGATATCTTTTTGAACGTCGGTCAGCGAAGGCGAAGGCGGTACATGTAACCCCAACTGTCTCCTCCACATGCGTTCGCGAGCATTTTGCGCTACACGACCACGCTGTCTTCGCCGTTCTGCCCTCTCCCTCCTTTTCTGTCCACGTTTAGAAATCCATCCTTCCCCAGCCCAGTCTGTTATGCAGGTTAGTATGAATGAATGACCGCATAAGGCAATGAAGGGGGTTGTGAATCCTCCGAACTGTATAGTGATGTTATATACGTACCCTCCGTCTTTTGCTCTGGTAGTCCAAGGTCATATTCTAGGACGGCCAAATACGTCTTGAGCCGTTTTAATTCATATCGTAAGTGTCGTAGCTCGGAGCTCCTCCTACCACTACTCGTATGTATAGATGTCACCTCCATTGCAGGCCTGTCTACATCTACCATGACCGAAATTCGAATTGCGATATCAATGAAGCGAGCGAAGCGACGTAACCCTCGTGTCGTAACATGAAAGGTCAACGGAACAAAGTGTAGGACGAACGATTTCTAGCCTCAGAAGAGGAGTTGCCCGAATACATCTCCATTATCAACTAAAGTCTACAGACAGCTTTGTGTTCTGAGTTTTCCTCTTTCGGCCGGCTGTCATCATGGTTAGCTCCAGACGTTTCCGTCAAGCTTAACCCATTTTCCTTCCGTACAATGTTTCTACAAAGACTGCTCTCAGAAACATGCCTCCTCAAAACTTGACCTCTTCTGGCATTAGTTAGGACTCGAACAAAGCGAAGTACGGAATGTAATATACCATTGTTGCTGGTTTCAGTGATCAATCCGCTTTGAGACTAATACTATCCACGTGGAAGTCATCATCATTCCTTAACTCTGAAAAATGAAGACACGAGAATGATATAGTTGGCTGCAGCTTTAATTAAATGTAGCTACCCAAAGTATACTATGTACTCTATCTAAGCTTAGACAATAGTCACATCACAAACGCATAAAACTAGGCCAACTGGGGCATCTAACGGGTTACACAACCTACAGAAGGATCCTTATGGGCTCAGCTAGAATGTGGAGGGGACATCATCCAGGCATGCCCACGCATTCCAATAGATGGTTACATATAATAATATACTGCAAAACACAACATTCGTCAGCAGATAGTCCCGAAGCTGGGGGGATTTACCTTTGTACACCCTTGCTAGCGCAGGAGCAATATCATGAGCCCGAGTAAACGGCTCGATTAAAAGTTTTGTTGCGAAGGAAGGTGACTATGGATTATTGGCAAGGCGATGCAAAGGCGTTGAAGCGAAAAGGCGGCTCCCATTTACAATTGTTGGGAGCCTATTAGGAACATTAAAAATCGTGTCGCGTGGCGTTAAAATTGTATTGCTGAATGCAGCGACTTAGTATTGAGAGGCCAAATTCATGGTATTTACGGAACATTAGTCGATTCGACTCAAGGGTGCACCTTTCTGGGAATTTGCGATCAATTATGTGTTGCATTCTGCGGGTCCACCATTGCAGAGCTGTCTCGAATATCCGCCCGGCAAAATGCTGATGGATGTTGCTCAGTCGTCATGCTCGTCAAACTCGAGGAGAGAAACCTCGGAAGTAAAAAATAATAGTACAAGTAGCAGGTTGAAAAGGTGAAAAGATTGCTGTGTTGTCCACGCCGCAGACGCATTTTCGTGATCCAAGGAGACGGGTGACTGGGTGAAAGGGGAGGGGAAGTGTTGCCTGTGCCATCATCCTAAAATCGTCGTTGCCAGGCTGACTCCTATATTGACTCGCCGAGGAAATTCGCCCACAAACAGGCGAAAACAAAATGACAGCACCCTCAAACCCGTGTCTGGCAAACCCTGTCTAAGGATCAGAGGTCATAGGAAAAAGAAAAAAGAAAAGAAAAGAGAAAAAAACATGGCGGTCGATGCCTTTTCCTTCCCTTTACCTGCCGTATTAAACTCCATATGTCACATCTTTTATGGTATCCGCCGTACTCGCAAGCCTGAAGAGAAATGACATAAGATGAAGGAGACGCCCGATACTACCATCGAGCACCGAGCCATTATGGAGACGCGAGTGCAGAGGAAATACCCTTAACGCGTATATCGACCGTTTCCTGAATGACGCATTAGCAGCGGCAGGCTGAATATGTCGGATTATCGTTCTCTCGGTGATCAAGGCGCACCTCCGTAAGTTTCGCGGGCCTCAGGTCGAGCTGCAGATTCGCCATAGCCAGATGCGGCAGGATCGCGAGCTCGGGCACCGCCATCGCGATCGGGACGGTCAAAACGTTCACGTTCGTAGCCAGGGCCACGTCGTTCATCTCCACCTCGAGGTCCGTAGCGGTCTCGCTCCTCACGACCACCAGCATAGCGGTCAATTCGTCCATACCCTTCCTCACCACCACCGCCACCACCGCCGCTACTACTACCGCCAGCAGCAGCAGTAGCAGCACCGCCACCACGCTCACGTCGATCTTCCCTGCCGTAGTTACGGTCATAGCCGCGGTCGTATCCGCGATCCTCTCGGCCGCCGCTATAGCCGCCGCCACCACCTCGAGCATCACGGTAGCTACGATCATATCCACGTTCCTCACGGTAACCGCGGTCGCCGCGCTCGCCACGCTCCTCGTAGCGAGGTCGATCGTAGCTTCTGTAGCGGTACGGATCGTCACGTCCGCCATAACCACCACCACCATAGCCACCTCCACGGCGGCGCTCGTCAAAGCGAGGACGACCCTCTGGAACAAATAAATTAGAAAAGGAACACATCAAGTCTCAAGTTTGTTTACTAACCTCGCTTGGGAGGGCCGAAGTACTTGCCAGGAGTAGGAGTTCGAGGGCGGGCGCGACGAGCCTTCTCAATGCTGAGGGTTCGGCCCTCAATTTCCTCTCCCTGCAATCCATCCTTAGCTGCGTCGGCTTGGTCAGATGTAACCATCTTCACAAAGCCAAATCCGCGTGACTCCTTGGTGTGAGGGTCTTTCATGATCTGACACTTCTCGACCTCGCCATACTTCTCGAAAAGGCGGGTGACCTCGGCTTCGGTCAACCTGGGATGGATTCCAGTCACGAAGAGGTTAGATCCAGGGTTAACAGAACCATCCTCGTCCTTGTTGCCATTTTCCTCTTTGGGGGCACTAGTTTCAGATGTTAGAAGCGTGCTGAAGGATAGGTATGAGATTATCATCTCCATCTATGTAGTAGGGACTTACCGATCATGATTGGCGGCGGGAGAAGCAGAGCGGCGGCGCGATGTCTCAATTCCGTCATCACGGGAGGCTCGGGGAGACGCGCTTCGCTGATCACGCTCGTAACGGGGACCATCATCTACAGAGCAGACATAAAATTAGTATGATACATTATATATATATATATATATATTAGACATAGTAGTTTGAGGCTGTGACTTACCATCAAATCGATCGCCATTGGCGGTTTCGTAGTCCATTGCAGTGGTAGCCATGGTGAAGGCTGTTAGTATGTTATGACTGTGAATGCGGTAAGTAAGTTTCGACGCGACAATAAACCAATAGGCGGTGCGGATGAGGACAGACGCGTTTTTGTGCAGAAAGCTAGTTGCGGAAAGGAAAATGGTCGCGCCAAGACCAAGGGAAACAAATAGTTGTCAAGGTGATGGCAGAAGAAGCGTGGTCAAGATGAGGGAGGTTGTAGAATAGAAGATGGAGATGAAGATGGAGATGGATAGTGGTGTAATGAGAGGGTTTTATGGTTGTGCGGGCTGATGGTTAAAAAAAGAAAGTGCAAGATGTAAAAAATAGTCCGACTCACCTGCTACTTTCAATGGCTGTAGACGTAAGTCGTAATCAGAAATCACAGTTGCACAGTTGCAACCTGTTCTGTTCTGTTCTGATGCAGGCTGCAGATCCACTCTCCAAATAAAAGTCGCGTGATGCAGTGCTGTGCAGAAAATCTCGTGAGTCTCAAGCGCGAACACAAACAACCCTTTTCTTTGTGATGATGCAAACTGAGAAAGGTTGAGGTCTCGGGCAAGGCTGGTTGAAAAAAAGAAAGGCCTGCTGCAAAAGGAGAAAAGATGGAATGGGTGAAAGAGAAACGGGAAGTGTTGAAGGGGCGGAAAAAATGGGGAGGCAAAATTGTTCAGCTGCGGATGTACCGTACCTACGGTAGGCTCTACGCATGTACTTTATTATTAGTACCTGCCTAGGCTTTCCCTAAGCATTGTCGCGTCTCCACATACATCCATGTTAGGTACGCATGTACGCACCTACCCCTACAAGGTACATCTAATCACGATGCAGGTGCGGCAGGTACGAAGGTCCGTTTAAAGGGATATGCTTATGTACGGATCCGTAGTTGCTTACGATAATATGTGCCTATCAACTACCCGCCTGAACCTTGAACCTACATGAATTATCCAATCAGTTCTTTAGGTTACCTCCCAATCATCTTATCCAATTCAAAGTTCTGTCGATGCGGGAGAATACGGAACTACAACTTGTAAATTGTAGACGAGAAGCACTTGCAGATCTAGAATTACATCTTCCTTTATTCCTTCCTTTTTTTTGGTGGTAGTACAAAGACGAGCGCTTCCGGAGGACTCTCATGGAGATATTCCTACCCAAGATACCTGAGAGATAGGTACATCCGTACAAACAATCTTTACAATTTTACTCTAACCTCTACCCAATATTAGGTACATATCCAGCACAAAGTATCTTCGATGCTAGAGGAAGGTTAATAGTCTCTTCATCCTATATGCTCACTACAATTCCCCCATATCAGGCTGGTTTATAGCGATTTCCCTTCTCAAGGCTTGTTCAACATCAATCTCTGCAGGTGCCACTTCGTCAAGGAACTTTAGACCTTCCGATGCTCTGCCACCACAAGCTCTCTCCAACGCGAGGAATGCAAAGTGACCTCCTACTACCGGGCGAGCCATAAAATCAGGTCCAGGAAATCCGCCATCACCCTCCGTCTCGTAAAGGTCCGTCAGTGGTCGATCTGTGAAGAGTTAGTTTAGAATAGACCGCTACATTGAATGAGAATAAAGCCATAGTAATTATACGCACCTGTTGCAGTCTCATTGACCCAAGTCGCAACGTGTTGTAGAATCTCCGTGCGTACCTTCTTGCTCGTCACAGCGGCCGCAAAGAATTCCCAGTCGCTCTTCGTATATAGATGACGGCTATCCAGCGGCAAGCCGTATCTCTGGAGCACAGCATGGTACCAGTCACTCTGGATCTGGTAGATTTTATCTGGAATGAATATTGATTTAGGTTTGGGGATAGCCTCGTCCCCTATAGGTTGCTGCTCTGAGCCCCATAATCTACTCGTTCTTAGCGAAGAGGATGCATCCGCAGGCAGATGGAAGCAGAGTAGAGCATCGGCGAACAGGTTATAGATCGTCGTCCACGATCCGTACCAGGTGTACGCTAACTTCGCATGTGTCTTATCTCTAGATAGTCCCAAGTCCTGCCACTTGTCGATATACTCGTCGGCTACGTTGCTGTACCACTTGGAGTCGGCCTTCTCACCGACAACGTTAGCAATCTCGCTCATGGCCTTAATGCCAATGATACCCTTCAACGCCAAGTTCGTCTGATTAGCCAGCCAACCAGCAAAGTCATCAGTGCAAAGTTGATTCGCAGGGATGAGCGACTCTCGGACGAGATACCCTGTCCATTGCTTCCATAGCTTGTATGAGCGTCGTACCCATCTTGCAGCCGCTTTTTCACCCGTAGTGCCCAGGTCTTCCCATGTGCGATCCATTCCATATTCATTAACTAGGGACGATCTCTTCGCAGACTCCAAGTTGAGTGTTAAAGCTTCTTCTGGTACAGTGCGGACGAACTGAGCTTGCGAATCATCTCTGAGAGCATTGACAAGTGCAAGACCCATGATTAGCATATCGCCACATTCTTCGACGGGCATATATTCGTCATTACCATCACCGTGCCCTGTCGCGTTGGGAAAATGGAATCCAAGATCATGCATGCTGTAATCGTTGGGATACTGACCGCTCAACTGGTGTTCGAGGAGAGGCTCCAGTAGATATGCTAGCCACTGGGGGTTGGTATATAAGAAAAATGGGAACGCCGGGAATATAACGTCGACTGTCTGGAAATTTCCGTTCGATGAGATCTCCTTGAGGAATATAATAGGGTTATCCGGTGTACCGGAAAATTGTGTCGCTCCTAGCACTTGGCGAGCTGACAACGCCGCGATGTCTTGGTAGTCTTGTGAGCCCGAAGCATACGCGTCTTTAGCGAGTTGCTCGGAGTAGTTGCTGGCAAGATAAGCTGCAGTTTCATAATCGTCATAGTGGAACTGCAGCATTTCATGAGTACCAGAGAAATAAAAATCCCACAGGGGACGCATCCAGGTCAAGCCCCTGGCCGAGGCAAACTGAACGACAGGATTCTGAGTGAGGGCAAAGGTAAAGATAACGCTATCCTGGGCGACACCAGACGACTCGTTCGACCTCTTCTTAAGCTTGAAAGTCTTGGAGAAGGCAAAGATAGGTTCCTCCTCAAAGATTCCACGGTAAGAATCGTCGACTTCATTCTTCAATGACCCGTGCTGGGCAAAATGACGTCGTATATAGTTCGATTCGCCAGACTGATGTTCAACGTCGGCCGGAGCAGAAATATGAATGGTTCCCCATTCGGAGTGATCGAAAAACTCGGTTAGGAGCTGCTCATGACGCCGTGTGATACTCCAAGTCTTGATGGGAGTCTTTGCACTGTTACTCTTTTCAGTCCGGACGAGCCCCCACTCTATCTTATTGTCTCGGTTGCCGCTAGCCCATTCTCCATTTATGTCCACGTATATGCTTACATCTGTCGAACCTTCCACAATGCAAGTGAGGTATGACGCCGGTAGGGACTGTCTAAATGTCGACGTGGGCGTGATAGGAGACAAGAACGAGAGAGTAATCCTCACGTCGGACTCTGGGATAGAATAGGTAAGGTTCGTAGTTGAGGCATCAAATGTAGCGCCGTCGTATTTAGGAAAGGAGACTTCATAACTACTAATAATTAGGCCGAGAACAACGCAGGTTGATACTGGAAGCTATTCACTAACCTAGGAGACTTCCTGAGGAAATCTTGCGAGCGACCTAGCAGGGGGTATACTGTCTTAGTCTCGGGCACCGATGCTATAACAGCAAAGCCGACAGTGCTGCCAGTCCAGAATATCGGCCAATTTTCCCACGGGGCATCTCGGGCATGGGCAAGCCATATACTCAAGTAGGGATTTCGTACGATCAATGGCAGTACGGGCGGCGTCAGGGACGAAGCATTGACGAGGACTAGACACAGCGCCGAAAGGGCCGGCCAGAGACACAGCCTCATGGCGACGGATCAAGCGGGTACTTGTATATTTCTGAACTATCGGAAGAGAGATGTAACGAATTGAGGAAGGATAATGCGTTGGCTAACTAAACATAAAGCTAATGTATGCGTGATGTCGTCGAACACCTGGAGGACGAAAAATAATGCTATCTGAGATATCTAGAGTTCGGTGCGAAATCGACGATTAATCAATGAGCAGCACGAGAGTGAAGTGCGGGATTCAAGAGAATGTAGATCTAGAGAATACCGAGCCTCCATACGGAAGTTGGAAGTTGGAGGAGAGGAGAGAAGAGTGAGTTTCAATGATGAGTGCAGGCTGAACACAATAAGTACATGTACCTTACCTAACCTCCTTACAGTCTGGACTTGCAGGTAAACAGGATCCACCTCCCCCAGGTTTCGAAGGTACATAGGGAAGGCAGGAAGGATGAACGAACGGAAGCCCGAATAAACCATTGAGAGAGAGGAGTGACGACATTTCCCCACAAATTCGAAGTTTCGGGGGCTAAGGGGCACCTAGGTAATAGGTAGGTACCAGATAGGTAGTATCAGTTGGAGCTAGGTCATCAGGGGTCATGCGACAACAGCTTCTCCCGCCATGTGTCTTACATAGTATTTTGCATATCGAGCTAGAGAATGAACTGCTAAGCTGCAAGGTCCCTTCTAGCTAGGTTAGGTATTGAATTGAGGGTGCCGAGGCTGGGGAGCTGAATCGAAATCGGACGAGACGGAACCCCTCCTGTATTTCAACCCCTCCTAAATTAACATGTTACCCCACAGTCGTGTTAGGTATACTTATAGGCTTATACTGATAGGCTTATAGGCTTAAACAACTTTAAATCTATAGAAACGGCAAGCTATCTATCGTGTTGCCATGAAATGTCGAAGAGGCGCACCAATGAACAGTCCTCCTAAAAAAACCAACCCATCTTCTCCGGTTTAATCCACCTTAAGCCGTTTCTTCCCGCACTGAAGCCATTCAGGATCGTACAGTATATCCACTCTCTCGATCTAACGGTACATTATAAGTCACTAAAGTAGGTAAATAACCTGTAAGTAATGATATGATAGACACATTACATAGTAGAGGGGCAGAACGTCTAGTTTCTAACGCCGAAAACCTATCCCCGTTTCCGTTGGTATCCTCTGCGTTTATAGCTTCGCCAACTCCTCGTGTTGTTAAACCGAAAGATGGAGGAGTTGTCCGCAAGGCCCTTTTTAAACCTTCAAACCTCGGTGTCCACTAGCCCGCAAAGCCGCATATTAAAACCTCTTAAAATTTATATTGTCATTATCTAGACGATATTACCCCGCTAACACTGCGTTACGGTTTTTATAACATTTACTACCAAGTAGAGAGCAGCCGAGAGCAGCCGAGAGCAGTCGAGAGCAATAATGGCAACCCTTGACGGAAAAGTATTCGCAATTACTGGTGGTGCTAGCGGAATCGGGTTTGCAACGGCACAGATAATATCTAAACGCGGCGGGATTGTTTGCCTAGCCGATATTGACCCGGCAGCCATAAGCAACGCAGAAGAATACTTTGCCAACAAAAATGCACCTTTCACTGTTACTAAGGTAGATGTTTCTAATCGGGACGAGGTTGAATCTTGGATCGACGGCATCGTCCAGAAATACGACAGACTTGACGGCGCCGCCAACGTCGCGGGTATAATCGGCAAACATCATGGCATACGAGAGGTTGCTGATCTCGACGACGACGAGTGGCACAAGATAATCGCAGTTAACCTTACGGGGACTATGTATTGCTTAAGAGCTGAGCTCCGGAAAATCGTTGATGGTGGTTCTATTGTGAATGTTTCCTCTATTCACGGGCTTCAAGGTAGTCGATGGCCGAGTCTCGCGTCTAAAGAACGATATAACTGATCGCTAATCTAGGGTTTGCCAAACATGGAGCGTATGCTGCCAGCAAGCATGGTGTCATAGGTCTGACAAAAGCTGCTGCCAAAGAAAATGGAGTCCGGCAAGTGCGTGTCAACGCAGTGGCCCCGGGAGCCATATTTACTCCGCTGATGGAGAAGAACTGGAAACTCCACAATCGACCATCCGATGCACCTTTTGATGATGGGGCAGCTTTCGGAAGACAGGGCACGGCAGAGGAATGTGGCCACGTCATTGCTTTCCTTTTGGGCCCCGACTCCAAGTACGTGAGCGGGAGTGTATATTCTATAGACGGCGCGATGTAGCTCGGAAGCATAAGTAACTCCATTAGAAGACATCCTCAGGCTGAACATCGTGATTCCTCCCATCCTCTCGAATGTGTTTTAGTGTCTTATCTCGGGACATGGGCTTACGCATGTCGTAGGCGTCTTCACCGTGAGCGGTGGGGTCGTTGACATTATCACCATAGTAATCTTTGACCACACGATATACGCTGTAACCCATACTCTCGTAAAAGTTGATAGCTCTCGTGTTGCTTTTCCTTACGAACAGATCAACGAACCAAGAGTCTCCAGCTTCTGCAGCAACTTCGAGGTTTTCGGTGAGAATCTTTCCAATGCCAAGACGGCGAGCTTCAGGGGCTACCGTGAGGGCAGTGATATGTGCGTGCCATGGTAGGTAATGCTCAGAATACTGGAAGTAGTCTGGAGAGCTTTCCAACTTGCCCATGACTGTAGAGTAATGTATAACCTCGTTAGGCTGGGATTTTATTTTTATTATCATAATAGAAAAAAGACTGCCACCTACTATAGCCGATAATGTTTCCGCTGGGATCCTCAGCGACTCGGAATAGTGAGGGCCATTTGGCAAAGTATTGGAGATAGAAACTTAGATCGTACGTCTCGGTCAACGGGTCAAGATTGCATTTGGAGAATTTGTCTAAGTCATCGGGGCGGAAACGTCGAAAAGAGGCCATGATGTGGGATAATTATTAATTCCCACCTAGCTACCGAATAGTAAAGAAAGGATTCTGTATCGGAGACGCTTGGACATATGTCTAATTTGCTGGCATCGGGTTGCATAAAAGCCCAGACGGAGGTAAGCGAATAATAGAAAAAGGGGGGTAGTTAATAGAAATAAGATTACGAGTATACTAAGGGTCGTAGATCTTTTCCCTCTAGTTACTTATTTATCGTAGATGTTGGACGGGACATAGAAGCAAATTGAAAAGCGATATAAGTTCTGTTGGGATAGCAAACGCGGATTTTAGAGAATGCGCAATTATCAGGTAGTTATGCGAAATAATCGGGAAATAATAGCTGAATAGATCACAGCGCACAGCGCATATTGCCCCTCCAAAACATCAATGGAACACAATAAAAATGGAGGTGGGGCTAGCGGCGTGCTCTTTAAGCGTCTCTCGAAAAGTACATATCCCAGTTCCCAGTTGAAAGGGCCGCTAAAGTTTGACGGTTTCGCGAACACATGGTTTTCGCTAGGCACGCACCTACCTAATGCTAAATATATTGTATCCATGTACCTCCGACTACTAGGTTAGGTCGTTTTACATTTTACGCACGCGGGAATCGGCAGGTGCCTGTCACCGGAATACACATGCAACGCTGGCATAAGTCAGTAGGTAAATGTGGTTCCTATTTTTACATCTGATTATTACACAGCAGTCCGGGTGGTAGTGCTAACCCTTGCTACCTCGTTCAATATCGGCCGTCTATTATTGGATGTACTTGATCCTTTTCAAACACTTTTCGTGCGTACATACGGTACCTACATAGTACATATCCAAATCACCAACTCAATATCGAAAAAGTTTCTTGGACGGTCATACCCTGCGACGCGGATTCTCGGAGGAAAACACAAAGACAATAACACAAAGACAATAACAGAAAGACAATACAAACGATAGCCCTATTCTTGACATCTCAGTTCCTTTGTATGACAACTCGGACTAAGACATCGTTTCTACTCCATGGTCTGCACGACTATACGCACAACGAAGTTATTGCTTCCTCGAAACTCTCCTATATAATACGCTTCGGGATCTAGCATTTCGTATCGGATTCGTAATTATGTCGAGATCACCGCACACCCCTAGCCATTCCCGGCAAAGTTCCGCTATCGATACCTCTTTTCAAAGCTCGAGTCCCAATATGTCGCCTCGCAGCCGACGCCAGTCGAAATCCTCCTTTCAAGACCCTTTAACACCCCTACGCAACAGTATGAACGAGTCTGAGCTTAATGATCTCAGCAATGGTGGTATGGGTCCGGATAATGGCCTTGGAAATTTGGCTGATGAGTTGGCTGATGCTTTGTCTGGATCCGGCGAAGAGGAATATTATGAGGACGGGGAAGAACAGTCGCAATTCGGATTCGATGAGGGGGACCAAGGTCAGGCGCCAGCTGATGGGATTAGGGATAGCGGTGTTGATGTAGAAAGCCAACCGGAGCACCGAGAAAAGACTAGGAACGCAAGCCTAGGCATACCATCTCCCCCTGCGCGCGGCCACCGACGGACTGGAAGCGTATACGACGGGAGTGAATATGGTTCTGAATCCGACTTGGAGTCGCCTGGCATGCCGCCAAGTCTGGTTGCTAGGATCGATGCTGTAGAATCCCTAGCCCGAAGAGGGACTGAAAGCAATGGCAGTTCTAGTGACGCCGTGTTTCAACGGTTAACAGACGGACTGAAAGACCTGGGGTCACAGTCTGGTGTAGAGGGTAGCACCACGAGGTGAGCGATGATTCCTAGTTCCACTGACCCTTTTGAATATTCTCTAACCAAATCTTTGTCGAACTATAGATTAATAACGGCTCACTCAGCTTTGGCAACACATCTGGCGCATCAGACGCGGCAGATTCATAACCTCACCTTCCCTCTATTATCTCCGCTAGTTCAGCCCCCGGATCCCGATACTATCGATTCCCTTCTGCCGCTACTAACTTCCGTCTCGGACGAAATGCCGCGGCCCGCGACCTCGGCTCTTAACTCTCTAAGTGCTTTGCATTCCGTAACGTCGGACCTCGTGCAAACGCTGAATTACCTCTCCGACACACTGCACATGTCACGACAAACCACAACCACCGCCGCAAGGCGGCTAAGAATGGCCAAGGAAATGGTAGCGGAGATAAAACGCGAAGAAGAGTTGAAAGAGGAAGGGGAGAGGTGGTTGACGAAAGGTAACTGGGGCGAGAGGTTACAAAAGCGCGAGTGCGCCGGCGTATGCAGAGAAGTCGTTGGAGGCTTCGAGGAAGTATGTAACGGCTGGAGGGCCCGCCTATTAGCCCAGGCAGAGTCGGCATAGAAACGACTTGAAGCGCAGGGACACGCGTTCGTAACGAAGCCAGGAAGCAAGCATATTTTGTTTTTCGAGCATAATTCGGAAACCTACGTCTGTAATATGCGGCTGGGTTGGCCTTGTTAACTCAGACTTTATTTTGTCTTTTTTTTCAGCATTGCGGTGGATACGTATTGATTACAACTCAAGAACCTGGTGGCGTTGATATCAATTGGGCGGTTTTGACCGGTTCTTATGGCCTCGGGATAGACATAAAGACTCGAATGAAAGCACAGTACCCGACGACGGTGGTGCTTCGTTAATATACACAATGGGAATGCTCGCCGTCTTGGGTGTGGAACCTGTTGGTGGACTGTGGTTTACTCATATTGAGACTTCGTGGGTATCCCTTTCGGGCCAACCTCGTCGTTGTCTCAGTCCATAGTCTAACATTCTCAGCAGGCTTAAGAGCAGACTAGATCTCAATAGATTATAGGCTAGAGTAACACTGGAGTATCTTGATTTAGAACATTGAGTTATGTATACTTCCTTCGGCTCTAACATAAAGATCTGAGATTGACGCCAGTGAGATGTAAGAACCGAATCATGCCATTATACGTAGACAGATCGAACTTTGTAATCATATATAGCATTCAGCGTGACAAAGATACAGGCCTGCAAGGAGGAGTAACCACTATTCCTATTAAACAGGGTGGGTGTATGTGTACCTATAGAATAACATAAATTTCAAGACCACCTCTACTTATATCTTAGGTATCTAGACATGAGATTTGCTGATTAAACAGTGTGATTAGAAAGTGAGTATTAGGGAGAACGACTACCAGCTCCTCCCATGTTACCAGCATGTTGGACAGGCCGGTTACATCGTAGCAGATCCTGCCTCCTTGTGTGTTAGGCCACTAAATCCTGATGTACAAGCTTCAATGTCCACGTCTCCTGAAGTGTGTCCCAAAGCCGACGAGGAACGACACCCATTAAGACCCCCATTCGTGTTACCGTTGCCAGAACTTGTATCCTCTACATCAAAAGGCCTCTGCCCGTCGATTTTCACGTCTACGAGCGGCGCGTCCCGAGAACGTCGTAAATCGGCCTCCGCGTCGTCGTTAACAAGCACCACCATCCACACACCCACGGCCCCGTTTGATCCCAGCAGCGGCGTGCAGTGTATCCACTTGCTCTTCCCGTAACTGTCCATCCGGGTCACCCAGCGGACCTTGGCGGTAATTCCGCGGCCCTCGGCGAATGCTTCCCGAACAGCGGGTGGGCCCCTGATTCGCGACATGAAGCTGCTTTGCAGCATGCCGGGGAAGCGGAGGGACGGGGAGGCGAAGAGGACCCGTAGGTGAGGGTGTGGGCGTACTAGGAGGTAGTGTTCGAAGAGACTTGTAGCGCGACTAATCGACGTGGTCGATATCCGAGGCAAGGGATCGGAGTCCACGCGTGTCGGGCCATGATGTGTCGAACCTGTCTCGGGGCCTGCCGCGCCTTGCCGGCGACGGTGCATACTACCACCTATCTCCTGAACTATCTTTAATTCCGAGTCAGTGAACATTTTTGCGAGCTCACAGAATTCATCTTTGCCACTCGTATGAGCACTGGCGTCCTCGTCGTCCTGTCTCTGGTCGACAATGCGCCTGAGAGACTCAAGGCCTACACATTCCTTCGCTAGACCCGAAACGTCTACCTGGGCGCTGATGTGGTACCGGATGATTCCACGACTATCTAGAAGAGGTGCGGCCATGACAAGATTCATGAATGGGGACCCGTCCCGGCGGTAGTTCAGTAGGACCTCGCAGTGCTCCTTTCCGGCATCCAGGTGCTCTTTTATTCTTCTGGCGCTCGATTGGTTCGTGCCGGGCCCCTGAAGGAAACGACAATTTCGACCTAGGGCATAGCTGGCTCCATACTGTAGTAGTTGGTGTTATTAGTTACTATCTACGGAGTCTAAACAGTTTTGTAATATGATGTATGAACATTTATATCGGATATCTCCCACTCACCTGTGTCATTTGATGGAACTCTGATATTATTTAGCTAAACTGTTGCTTCATTACTCTGTGGTTGAACTCACCTTTGCTAGCAAATATAATTGGATTGTCATGTCTCGATGGATCTATCAAGCAGAAGACATCCGCTAATCCTTCAGAGAGGGGTTTGAGATGGTTAGGCAACGTATTTGTAATCCGCTGCTTGATAGTGACGGCCACCGTCTGGACCCAAGTATGGGTGATATAAGCAGGTAAGTCCTCTGTAGCCAGAGTTTGAAGTACCTTGCTAAGCCTTGCTAATAGGGATTCGTTAGTAGTATTTGAGATTGCCTCTTCACTAAGGCCTGCTCCGTTGATGGAGACCAGTGATCGAGTAATGGAGTTTGAATATCCTATAGCCTTTAGTGCTTTCAGAGCATCTAAATAATATACTAGAAGAGGGACAGATTTTGGCCTGGAGACGCAAAGGAAAGCTGTAAACTTTTCAAGTAGGAGCTGATCGTTGAAGATAGCGTCTAGGTGTTCTGCTGAAAAGAGAGCTTCCGATATTATTTCCAGAGAATACCGAGAAGGGGCATTGCTGCATGGAGATACAAGATCAAACGGAGCTTGGTCAATTTCATCTCCAGTTAAAGGCATAAGTTCGTCATACTCTCTCGGCCCCTTGCTCTGGAGACCGGGAAGAGCTGTGACATCCTCAGGGGTGGGGGACGTAGATGATGATTTCTCTCTCGACTTTGTAGACTGAGATAAGACTATGTACATTACAGGTCAGATCCTATCATTATTTGAATGCCTTTTTCAGAGCATAGGGAATTAATAGTCATGCCGCATCTCGGAAAAGGGTAAAGAAAAACCGTTCGATGCCATAATGAGGATATAGTTGGTAGAGAATCTGGAATATACTCACGACTCCTGGGAGAACTTGAGGCCGAACGAGTTTCGGTGGAAGGCGGGTCTATAGGGGATGATATGGAGGAAATGAGCCCCGTCCGGCCACGTTCAGGATTACCCCGAATACTGTACAATTGTCAATATTCAAATTAACGAAGCGCATGATCGGCAGCTTACCTATTCTGACGTCTCCTACGGCTGGGTTGGCGGTCTAGGGAAATGGCTTCTATTTCTTGCCATATTCTTCTAAATGTCGTTGGTGAAGAAACTGCATCAACAACAGAAGCCCCTAAGCTCGATCGTTTCTCGAGGATATCTATAAGGCTACACCCGTCTTCGCTTTCATCTTCGCAATTCTTAAATGCCGCGAAGGACCGCACACTCATTGCGACGCGGCTCTCATTATCGACCTCTGTAAACGATATCATGTCCCGTCTGCAAGGCGAATCACCATGTCTCGGGGGTTGTGCCATGTCGGTCTCGTAGAAAGAAAAGAAAAGAAAATAGGATGCGTTGATTATAAGAATTTTGAGCGTACTTGTGCCATAGCCAGTAAATTACAAGTAACTAGAACTGGCTGGCCTTTAGAGCGAGCACGTCTCTCCTATTATCCAGTCTGGTATCTTGGAGGTTGATATATAAGGATATGATACCCGAGTACTTGAGCGTACGACGTTGGGATAAGGAAGAATAATATGAATTAGGAGGAATGAAGAAAGGACGAGTAGAAGACCTTGAGGGAAGTTAACACTTGTACAGGACCGTATCGGGCGTCTGAAGGCACATCTTTTAGAACATCAGGCATTAGATCTCGCGCATTGACGGGTCAATACTCGAAGAAAAAGCTCTTAGCTTGTCATAGCTATATGCTCTTATTCATACTAGGAGGCCGGCTGTGACGCCGGACACTTAGTTATGTTGCTAAATCAGAAACTAATGGCAGACATAGAAAAAGGAGGGATCATGTTTGCGGCGGCTAGGCTTTCACGTCAAGCTCCTTAATCATCCTAAATGGGTTTCTTCGCAGCTCATGGTGCATTTTATAGATTCTAGGCATCACAAAACGTCTTTCATAGTGGTATCATAGGATTCGTGATAATATAACGGAACAATGAGGATGGTGTTATTAACCTTGGCTGGAAGCAGTTTTGAAAATAGCAGCTTTGAGACTGTTATACACGACTAGTCGAATCTTAATAGAGCTGGATCCTGGGATAGAGGAAGTAGGTAGAGCCGCCATTGTTTCGAGTGTTGCCTCTACTTTATATATTAGGCATTCAATGAAGATAGGGGCCTAGCACCTAAATACCTAATTGTAAGAAGTGATAGATGTTACGAGCTTGCTGTAGCATCATACACAGCCGGCTCAAAAAGTGTGTTTGAAAACACTCGGGTGTAATACAGCTCTTGGCTGGCCGAGCGGCCTCCGTAATAGATACGTAGGTAGGTATTGGCCTCGAAAAGCTTAATGTCTAGTCGAAGGTCTAAGGGCTTACCGGTTTTTCTCTAATAGGCGTTAATATGTTAGTAGAATAAAACTGATCATATGTGACTGCTGACGTTGTATGTTGAAGATAGTGGTGATGGTTCATTTTGAGTCTCATTGAGTGTATCGTATTCTAACTAATATTTCATATATAATTGCGTTTGTTAGACGAGGGCTGTATAAGTTTTTATTAAGAACATTCTATGTTAAAGAGGTCTGTAGGTCAAGCATACATATGGGGAGCTGTTACCAGGTTAGGTAAAATATTTCGAATAGAGGTACGAATAAGAATACTGGTAATGTCTAAAGGGCGCTAAACTGGCAGAACTGGGTCAACTAGGCCAAGCTATTTTGTTCCGATCATGAAATATTACTGGTTGGGGAATGTTTTGGTATTTTTTGGGGGGATGACGGATAAGGAAGCCTTGACGCGCTGCTGGTAGATCCTGCCTACATGTATGTATTGTTTATGTACCGCAAACATGTTCTGTTAGCTTGGTAGATACATCTGTGGTACACAAATAATGATAGTGGGAATCCCACATAGCTGCCCTATCAACTGGGAAATCCGGGGACCACCTGGGCAGTCTAAACAACAACCCCTGAGTGGGAAAGCGCGTACATCCAGTCGGAAAATTCGATGCGCGTCCATATCCCCTGTGAAATGTTGCTGGTAGGTTACGTATGTACCTAAGGTAAGCAAAATAATAAACAACCACAATCGCGCCACTTACAAAGAGGTACATAGGTAACCTCCTTTTAATGGCGAGGGGCAGCTCCGCTTTCCTTTTACTTTTTCTGTTATTATGAAAAGGGAAAAAAAGGGAGAACAGGCGCGTCTCGTCAATCTTGCATCGCGATGGAATTGGGCCGCACAATGGGTCCTAATTCTTGACGTGTTGAATTACTTACAGGGTAAAGAGACCTGTTAGAGACCTTATGTTATTGTCTTATTCAAACTAATAAACTGTCCGCTTTGGTTTAATGGTGCTTGGTGCTTGGTGCTTGGTGCTTGGTGCTTGGTGCTTGGTGCTTGGTGCTTGGTGCTTGGTGCTTGGTGCTTGGTGCTTGGTGCTTGGTGCTTGCAGCTAGCCAGCCCCCGCAATTATACTTTTTTTGCTTTGTTTATATACCTGCAGTTCCATTCTGACAACCGTGAACAAAGAAGGGAAATGAAACTATGTAAATACTGTTTACATACGCGTTTCCCAGCCACTAGCGGGAACCCGACCTTTGTCTGTAGCATAGAAGATTTCCCATGTGCAGTAACTCGTTTTCGAGACTTAGATAGATACTTACAATACCTATCTATTTCTGCTTAAGAAGAGTGATTCATTTATGATTTTGGATTTCTTAACTGCTGCCTTCAATTCAATGCTGAATGCCTTTATCATTGCGTGCTGCACTGCAAGTCGTGATCGGTGTTGATAGAAGAAAGCCAGAGGGTCAGAGGGGCATGTCATATCGATTTTAGCGTACCTTGATTAGGTGGTATTGAACACAGTCCGCGGCCTTTTAATGTCGGCTAAAAAGTTAACCGGTACTTGGTAACGTAGGCTTTTCGTGCTTATGTGGAAGTATCTCATATCATCAAATAGTGGGGGATTAAGTTCAGCACACTGGTAAACCCCCTGTGCTATGTCGTTGTAAGGCGCGACATGCAGGCACGCCAAAATCATAGCAGAAGCAAGAACAGAGCCAAGTCTTCCTTCCCTAGCACGGTCCATTCAGCCATTCAACCTCCATCCAAATCCACGAAACCGCTCCGCCGACTCTTTCCCAACTTTGCTGTTGCCCGCTGCTGCCCTCTGCAGTCGTTTACGAATTCAGCTCACCTGCCGTGATTCCTCCCAATAGCAAACTCCTTTTTTCACCATATTCTATTCATTTCGCTCTTTTTTATCTATTTTTTCAATTCTTTCCGACATACAAACAGTAGCAGGAAGCGATCGAATAATAGGCCTATTCTCCCTTGCAAACCATCTCGGACACTAATTCTGGTCCATATCGTCGACGGCAGAAGAGCATGCGCTAGAAGGAGCTGCATACCCCTAGGGGCCTCAGGACATATTTGCTGATGATATCTACCCTTCGACGAAGTTTCTCATCAGGCCTGGCTTTTACCAACTAACTGATACTTTCGGCTTCAACTCATAACAAACCTGATCCGCGCCTTTCGCCTCGATTATCTCACCTACCGCACTCCCTCTACCTTAACAACTTACCCAGCTTCTGCGACCACTACATAAACCCCATCTGCATGAGAGAAGATGACTATAGAATCTGAGTCAGTATCGGCGGCGCCGCCGCTATTAAAGCGACAAGCGCACGATACGACAAGCCCCGCCGCGCGCACACCTTCGAGGATAGGCACTCCTCCCCCACCCTCGGATCGAGGAACGCTACAGGTGATGAATAATGTCGAAGGTGGTAATTCGAGAAATATACGTCATGGCGGACGGAGAGGTGAGAGGGCGAGTATAGGCGGCATCGATCCGGATGGTTTGACGCGGGCTCTTTCGAGGGAACTTTCTGCAGACAGACGAGATAGCGCTTCGAGTGCTAGTCCTAGTAGGAAGCGACAGCGTATCAATGGCGACAGGTTAGTGAAAGTGCACTTTGATTCATTCTAACGATTGAATGTCTTTTCTGGGGTTGTGACTGGTTGTATTGGATTCTACCATGACTATTCTTTCCCGTTATAAGATTTGTTTTTGTTTTCTTGCTATGCATACTAAGAAATTTCCCAGATTTATACCCGCGCGCGTTGGCCAGGATATAATATCTGCCTTCAGTCTCATGCACGAAGAAGGGTCGCCAGCTACACCTTCACGACAGAAGAAGCGAACACCACACGGGGAGATTGACTTTCACCGAAGTAAGCTGACTTCAACTTCCTTCTACGTAATGACCTAGTGCTAATTATACCTAGCTGAGGAAGCGAACGATAGATTCTCTCGAGTATTAAGAGCGGAACTTTTTGAGAACACCATACCGCAGGCCACGCCGCAAACGATGTCTCCAGATGCCAACTTACCAGGTTCAGCACACTCTACACATACCCATAATGGTACAAGATCCCACACTCCACCTAATAACCCTCCTCCATCTCTACCCTCAAGCTTCACGCCATCAACGCCTCACAAGAATCTCTTCTCTTACATGTCTCCTCGCCATCATTCCAACGTCGCTGGCCAGCCGACGCCGTCCCGAACCCCACAGAGCCGACATGGCCCCAATCTGGATATACGATCAGAGATATATAGCTTGTCTCCGGTTCGCTTCGGAAGCCAACAAATGCTATTAAGCCCGAGGCGTCAACCTCGAGCAGTTAGTAAAGTACCCTACAAGGTACTAGATGCTCCCGAGTTAGCTGACGACTTCTATTTGAACTTGGTTGATTGGGGTAGTGCTAATGTCTTGGGTGTTGGCTTGGGCTCGAGTGTCTACATGTGGAACGCCCAAACAAGTCGAGTCAATAAGCTCTGCACACTTGAAGATGACACAGTAACGAGCGTATCATGGATTCAGAAGGGCACACACATAGCCATCGGTACTGGAAAGGGCTTAGTTCAGATCTGGGACGCTGAGAAGACAAGACGCCTAAGAACGATGACAGGGCATACTGCACGCGTAGGATCCTTGGCTTGGAACACCCACATCCTCACATCAGGATCTCGAGATCGATTGATATATCACCGCGATGTCAGGGCTCCCGACCAATGGATGCGAAAGCTTATGGGACATAAGCAGGAGGTTTGCGGCTTGAAATGGAACTGTGAAGATGGCCAATTGGCAAGTGGCGGGAATGATAACAAACTCATGGTTTGGGATAAGCTCTCTGAGACACCTTTGTGGAAATTCTCTGATCACACGGCTGCTGTTAAAGCAATAGCATGGTCCCCTCACCAGCGAGGTCTCCTGGCCTCGGGTGGTGGAACTGCTGATCGAAGGATAATATTCCATGACACAGTTCGTGGGTCAGTC